TGGAAGAGCCAGACGGAACTTTGACAGAGTTGTCTGCCTTTGAAAGTGCCGGGACTTCTGGTGTAGGTGCTGAAGAAGAGCCCATTCTGGAAAAGCCAGCCCCTGGAAACCCCAGTAATCTCTCTTCCTCAGAGGAGCCCCCTAACAGTTGGGTGGGAACTTTGAAGGCAATTCTACCCACTAAGACAGCACCCCTGCCCCAGTTTTCTGAGTCAGAGTCATTACTCAAGGCCCTAAGGAGGCAGGACAAAGAACAGGCAGAGGCACTGGTGCTGGAGGGGCGGGTTCAGATGGTAGTGATACAGGGAGAGGGGCGGGCCTTCCGCTGCCCACACTGCCCTTTTGTTACACGCCGGGAGAAGGCCTTGAGTTTGCACTCCCGGACTGGGTGCCATGGTCGTCGAGAGCCCCTGCTATGCCCTGAGTGTGGGGCTAGCTTCAAGCAACAGCGGGGCCTCAGCACCCACCTGCTGAAGAAGTGCCCTGTTGTGCTCAGAAAGAACAAGGGCTTACCCAGACCAGATTCACCCACGCCTCCTCTGCCTCCAGGCACCCAGGCCTCTGAGGATGCGGAAGGTGGGAAGCCCCCATCTGCACCATTAGAAGTAGAGCTAGTGCCCCCCAAAGACACTCCTGCGCTTCCTAGGGAGCCAGAAGAAACTGAGAAGCCTCTTGCTATATTCTCTGACTCCCCAGTCCCTCCTGCAGCAAACTCTTCACCCACAGAGACCCCTGAGAAGTTCCACTTTGAGCAGGGCAAGTTTCACTGCAACTCATGCACGTTCCTTTGTTCTCGGCGCTCCTCCATTACCTCTCATGTGACCGAAGGCTGCCGGGGCGGAAAGCGAAGGGCCTTCCAACCTGTTGTGTCCCTGCTGGGCGATGGGGACTCTGCTCCCCTAAATAGTGGGAGCAGAGAATGTAGCCCTGGCAGTGGGGACTCAGCTCTGACTCCAAAGCAGAAGGGGGCTCGCTTCTCCTGCCCCACATGTCCCTTTAGCTGCCAGCAGGAACGGGCTATGAGGACTCACCAGACCCGGGGCTGCCCCCTCGAGAAGTCTGGAGAGCTGCACTGCAGCCTCTGCCCATTCACTGCTCCTGCTGCTGCTGCCCTGAGGCTCCACCAGAAGCGGAGGCACCCCTCAGGAGCCCCAGCCCGCGGCCCCCGACCCCCTCTTCAGTGTGGGGACTGTGGTTTCACCTGCAAACAGAGCCGGTGCTTGCAGCAGCACCGGCGCCTCAAGCATGAGGGTGTGAAGCCACATCAGTGCCCTTTCTGTGACTTTTCCACCACCAGGAGGTACCGGTTGGAGGCTCACCAGTCCCGACACACGGGCGTTGGCCGCATCCCCTGCAGCTCCTGTCCCCAGACATTTGGTACTAACTCAAAACTGCGCTTGCACCGGCTAAGAGTCCATGACAAAACACCAACCCACTTCTGTCCCCTCTGTGACTATAGTGGCTACCTTCGCCATGACATCACACGCCACGTCAATAGCTGCCACCAGGGCACCCCAGCCTTTGCCTGTCCCCGATGTGAAGCCCAGTTCAGCTCTGAGACAGCACTCAAACAACATGCTTTACGTCGGCATCCCGAGCCTGTGCCCCCAGCCCCAGGCTCTCCTGCAGAGGCCACTGAGGGCCCTCTGCACTGCTCCCGCTGTGGGTTACTGTGCCCCAGCCCTGCCAGCCTTCGGGGACACACCCGTAAACAGCACCCACGGCTCGAGTGTGGGGCCTGCCAGGAGGCTTTCCCTAGTCGGCCGGCCTTGGATGAGCACCGTAGACAGCAGCATTTCAGCCACCGCTGCCAGCTCTGTGACTTTGCTGCCCGGGAGCGAGTGGGCCTGGTGAAGCACTACCTGGAACAGCACGAGGAAACTTCAGTAGCAGCAGCAGCCTCAGATGGGGATCAGGAAGCTAGTCAGCCCCCTCTGCGCTGCCCTTTTTGTGACTTTGCATGCCGCCATCAGCTGGTGCTGGACCACCATGTGAAAGGCCATGGGGGCACCCGACTCTACAAGTGTACTGATTGTGCATATAGCACCAAGAACCGACAGAAGATCACGTGGCACAGCCGCATCCACACTGGAGAAAAGCCCTACCGCTGTCACCTCTGCCCCTATGCCTGTGCTGACCCCTCCCGCCTCAAGGTAAAGTTAGAGCCATGGGAGCCAGGAATGGAAGGAGGGCAGGCTGTGAAGTTAAACTACCCGAGTTCTCTAGCCTTGTGACCCTGGTCAGGTGCCTGAAGTTCTCCAAGCCTCAGTTCCTCACATGGGAATAGGGGATAATAGGATTATTGCAAAGGCAACATGCCATGATATTTGGTTTGTGATAAACACATGTAATAGGTTTGGGATAATCTGGATAATAGCAGCTGACATCTGTTGAGCACTTACTGTGTGCCAGGCATTGTAGTTTTGAGTCTTTCAAAAATAAGTTACTTTTACTATTTTCCACTTAATGAGAATTAGGAGCTAGGTCACCCCAAAACACAGCTAAGTGACAGAACCGAGGTCACCAAGGCAGACCTGGGGCTATACCAAATGGGTTGGGCTGGTGTCAAAGTGGCCAGATGGTGGGGGTGGGGCAGGGGGGCCTGATTAGTCACAGGAATATAGATAGGAAGGGAGCAGGGCACAGGGTTATTTGCCAGCAGTTTCTCTGCCTACTTCCTCTATTTCCACATCTAGCAAGTGACAAGGGGTGCACATTTTCTGGGTATATTCTTTGCTCTTCCTTTCTCTAGTACCATATGCGAATCCACAAGGAAGAACGGAAGTATCTGTGCCCTGACTGTGGCTACAAGTGCAAATGGGTCAACCAACTCAAGTACCACATGACCAAGCACACAGGTGAGTCTGCGTGCTTTTGACAGGCCCAAAGATATCCCCCACCCCCTGACACTCCTGGCTTCTCTGAGGTATGTGTCCTGCTCAGATTCAGGGCACCCATCAGTTTTCACCTCGGGGGTAGTGGGCAGGCTGAATGCCCAGAATAGCTCTCTAGACCACTGAAAACCTCTCAGAATCAGAAGAAAGAGGAACCTGGGCATGTGTAATCATGCACAAAACCATCTACCTACCGGTGAGAACTTGCCAACTCATACATGAGAGAGGGTAGGTCTGCTGGGTTCCTTCACAGACATGATGGACCTATAATGAGTAAGGAAGAGAAAGTGGACCCTTCACCTGTTTAAACTTGTCCTTTTTTTTGTTCCAGGGCATAGAATCCACAAACTGTAGGTTCTCAGGAAAGGGTTAATTAGAGTTTGTCTGCTGTTGTTGTCTATGGCCCCATTTAAAGGAATTGATCAGATGCATTTCAAGGCACTCTGCATCTATGAATATTTCTTTCACCTCTACCTTGTTCAATCTTAAACATTTTCTTTACTTACTGAGTTGAACAGGAGTTATTTTAAATGGATTCCCAACTTCAACGAGTCACCCATGAGCAAAAAGGGGTTGGAATTTTCCATCTGGAAATCCAATCATATCTAAGTATTCATTGCTATCAAACGACCGCTTGGGGGTCCAGTTAGTTATCACATCCTTTGAGCACCCGTTATATGCAGAGGCTGTATTGGGAGAGGGCACAGAAATGTCAGACAGGACTAGAATGTTCCAAAGATGCGGTTATTTGCTTGCTGCTTGTGTTCTTCATGTCCCAGAATCACAATGAACCTTGTTCCACTTCCTTCAGTGGTAATTTGTTCCCTGTGCTTGCCCTGTCCTGCAGGACTGAAGCCATACCAGTGCCCCGAGTGTGAGTACTGCACCAACCGGGCTGATGCACTGCGTGTGCACCAGGAGACACGGCACCGGGAAGCTCGGGCCTTCATGTGTGAACAGTGTGGCAAGGCCTTTAAGACTCGCTTCCTGCTACGCACACACCTCCGCAAGCACAGCGAGGCCAAACCCTATGTGTGCAATGTGTGCCACCGTGCTTTCCGCTGGGCCGCAGGCCTACGCCATCACGCCCTCACGCACACTGACCGCCACCCCTTCTTCTGCCGCCTTTGCAACTACAAGGCCAAGCAGAAATTCCAGGTGGTCAAACATGTGCGCAGGCACCACCCCGACCAAGCTGACCCAAACCAAGGCGTGGGCAAAGACCCCACCACCCCCACGGTGCACCTCCATGACGTGCAGTTGGAGGATCCCAGCCCTCCTGCTCTTGCTGTTCCCCCAACTGGACCTGATGGCTGATCGCCTACTTCCCCTCCCAAACAGAAAGAGGACATCGTCCAAGATGTGCAGACTGGAACCAGAGCTAGCCTGAGGAGCTCAGGGCCTTAGGAAGCGCTGGCTTTGGGGTGTCAGGGAGGCTGGACCCCTCTGGGACACAGCTATATTGCTTTGAATTTGATGGTCATGGACCACAAATTGGTTTCTTATTGAGGCATATTGTGTTTTTAACTTCTGAGTTCCTAGTTTCTTATAACTCCACTGAAGTTGCTGGCTGTAAGATCCTGATTTTATTCATTCCATCTTCACTTTACCTTTTATTATGTCAAGTCTTTTTTTCTCTCAGCATCCTTGAAACAGTTGTATCTAACTGCATGTGCTGTTGCACCTAATGGTCTATAAAGCATGTTAAACAGAATGATTACTAACTTGTAGATTCGTCCAATTCCGTCTTAACATTTCCAGGCTTCCTCTCCATCTGCTCTGTCGCCTTTCAGACCTCTGCTTCTCCTTTGCCTCCTGTCTTCACTAAGTGATTGACCATTGAAAGGCCCAGGTGTGCCTTCTCTCTATCCCTGAGCCTGTTTTGGCCTTCACCCTGCTCCTTATTTCCAAGCTCCTTTGTCTACCTGTTGAATGAGGGTTTGCTACCTATAAAGCCTCCTCAGTCTGGCTCAGCAGCTACTCAAAGTATAAGAATAGTATGAAAGTCCAATCATTGACAGGGTAAATCTCTAGAATTCTGTAAGTGCCTCATAATGACTATATAATAAATCATCTAAAACTTCCCAGGTACACTGGGAAATTAATTACGCTGGTATAGTAGACAAACCAGGACTATTCCAGACAAACTGTTCAGGAAGACTAGGATCGCATAACCCTTTATCTCCTTTTGCCCTGCCCCTTCAATATTATAACTCTATACCCTTCTTTTGTAGCACATTTGGGGAGCCTCTGGAAAGCTAGTTTTCCACCTTTTCCCTGTACCACCTTATCTACCCAAATGTCCCTCAACCCTCGTGCCTCTCCCTGCCCAGTAATGATAGACCACACTCAAGCTGAGCTGGGAAAACAAGTTCTATTTAAACCAGTGGGGCTAAGGAGGAGCAGCCCAGTGGGGACCCTAAGGACTGTGCACTGTTATATCTTGAAAGTCATAGTACACTGCTGGCATCATGTCTCCTTCCCCAGTTTTTTGCCTGGGGAGCCCTGAGGCTTCATTTATCCTTCCATTGAATTACCCTATCCTTGGACTTTGACGAAGTTAGGGGTGAAGGAGAACATTTTCTTCGGGTTCTCTGCCCCAAGCCCCTTTCTGGATTTCCAGTTACAGTCTGTATTTTGAACCAGAGTTGACAGGAGATTAGTTCTAGGTCAGGTCTGGGATTGAGCCTTACAGCAAGAGAAGGAACTCCAGTATAGAGTACACAAAAGGGAAGGGCAAGATACCTTCAAAGGCTTGTGAAAACAGAGAGAAGAAAAAAGGTGAAAAATCAGGTCCTACATTTGCTTGTTGGGAAGAGTGAGGTAATTTTGTGCCTTAGAATACACAATCCAAAGCTTGGTTTTTACTACCTCTTTCTGCTTTCTGAAGCATCAGGTTTTTCTTAACATATAAATCTAACACCCTCCCCCCCCCCCATTCCCATGAAATGTCCACTTCAGGATTCAGCCTCCTCGATCTCTTCTCGGGTGCAGATGTACACGAAGATGGAAGCTGGGTGGAGGCTGATGCCATCCTTGGAGAGCAGGTGTATGTGGCGGTAACCTGGACAGGAGCAAGACAGCATTAGGGAGGCAGCCAGAGCTCGGATGTTGGTCAGGGGTCATGGGCTGACTCACCTTGTCGCATACAGGTCCAAGGCAGGGTGTATTGACCAACAAAGTCATCTCGGGATGTCCAGTTGTAGTCCTTCACCACAAAACGCAGCAGGGCCAGTTCAGGCACCAGGAGCCTGAAGCATAGTGTCTGTCCCCAGTATGGATTAAAGCCTGAGACAAGGGAATCAAGGAACAGACAGTGTGACTTCTTTAGACCCAAGCTGGGTTGCTCTTCTCAGTAAACTTTCATAGCAATCAACATTTTACAAATGAGGAAATTGAGTTCAGAAGGGTAAGCAATTTGCCCAGATCACTGTGAGTGTCCCAACCCTTCTTCTTTGTCCAGTTCCATACTGCCTCCTGTGTGGATGGGATGCTCCTCCTACCTGCCTCCTCCCCCACTGTCCATACTCACCATTGTTCTCCACGTGGTTGGTGTCGCGCCAGTTTGTGTCTGGACGAACTCCAAAGATCTCCACTCTCACAAGTGGGTCCGTAATGGACGCTTCTTTGGTCTTGGCCCCTTTGGGGAATTGCTGCCCACTGATCACCTGCAACCAGAATTCTTTACAGACACATCACCCAAAGCAGTGATAGTGAAGGCAAAGATAAACAGCTGGGACTACATCAAATTAAAGAGCTTCTGCACAGCAAAAGAGACTATAACCAAAACGAGGAGAAACCCCACCAACTGGGAGAACGTTTTTGCACCCAACACTAATGATAAAGGACTGATCACAAAAATCTACAAAGAGCTGATGAGACTCAACAAAAACAAAGAAAATAATCCAGTCAAAAAATGGGCAGAAGAGCTAAAAAGAAACTTCTCTGAAGAGGAATTCTGAATCTTTTTAATTCCTGCTCAGCCCAGCCTCCCTCCTACCCTCACTTCCCTAGGAAGGGAAAAAAGAAGAGAGAAGGGGAGATGCAGAACCTTGCACTATATGTCGCTTTTGGGTTTGCAAAGCTAATCTTCCATGGGTAATAAGTTCTAAAATCTCTGCAATTCAAATAGAAATTTAACAAGGTTTGGAAGCAGGCATAGTAGTGACAGCAGCCCCATTCTATAGCACTCAGCATGCACCAGGCTCTGTTGTAAGCACTTAATATTTACTAATCATAACCCTGTTAGGTGATATTATGAGCCTCATTTTGTAGGTGAGAAGACAGGTTAAGAGACTTGCCCAACTACACAACTGGCAAATGGGTTCAGCCTACACAACAGGCTGCAAACTATGCTGTTAACTGGTTGCCTACCCCTCATAAGAAACTTCCATTGCATTCCCGTCAGGCCTAGCCACTGCTTCTCCCATTCCCGTTTCTCTCTAGCTATCCAAGTTTCTTCCCAGTGGTTTCTCTTTCCCCTGTACCTGGATTAGGAGGATCTGGGCTTTGAAAGGGCTGATGGGCTTCTCAGGGTGGAAGGAGCTCTGGGCATCGCGTAGGAAGTCCGGCTTCAGCACGTAGCCACAGCCACCATTCTGGCGGAAGAAGCCATCATAGATGTCCATCTCAAGCCCTGCAGTCTGCACATTCATAGCCACTAGGGATCCCAGGGGGGGAAAAAAAGGAAGGATTCATTTTGGGGGCCACCCATGCCCCCTTTCAGGGAGTCAAGGAGACACATTGTGTCCATAACAGGGCCTGCTGGGAACACCAGGCATCTTTCTCAGCATCTTCCTTGAAGCAATCCTGGCCCTCTTGCCACACAGGAACATACTTCCTACCTGCTGCATTCCCATGCCCTCTTCCCTTGTTCCAGCTACCCTCTCACCCAACTGGCAGCCAGCATTCCAGAATTCCTGGGGGTTATAGTTGGATGAATCTGTCCTCAGGCCACTGGGATACACACGGCTCAGCTGCCAGGTGTTGTGCTGCACAAACTCATTGCCTATAAAAAGGTGAAGAGGCGGATGGAAATGCAGTGGCTCCTCCCACATGCCTGGTCCCAAGAACCTCCTCCCCAACTGACTCCACTCTCCTTACTAGCATCTCCTGGGGCTGGCTCCCAGAAGTTCCCCAAGGCCATCTTTTTAATCCATACCATCACCTCCCAACTTTCTTCCTCCCCCATCCCCAAGCCTACTCTTCATAAGCCCTGTCCCTGTACAGGTCTGAGGAGTTTCTTAGCTCCCTCATCCCTCCCTAGCTCCCCTGTTCTCTTTCTTAGGACTTACCAGCCCACCTGTCAGGCCTGACCCCACCCATCCCCATTTCCTCCCTCTCCCTCCCTAGTCCTGACCAGCCTCCTTGATGAGGCCCTTGGCCTTGGTTTCAGAGAAGGACGATATCTCATAGGAACGGTAGTGCTCCCTCGAGTGAGTGAAACTGTGGAATGAGACAGACTTCAGGTACACAACCAGGGCAGAGAGAGATGGGCACAAGATAGGCTTGGATTTCTGGAAAAGGAGAAAGTAGAGAGGACAATGGAACTGAACACTCAGCAATCTGAGAAGTCAGTGCCAAGATCTGAACTTCCTCACCCAACATAAACCTCTGCCCGCTGCCTCCCGCCTCAACCTCCCTCCTGCCTCACCTTCTTAAGAAAGAGAAGGGACCCATACTTGGAAATAGGAACTTGGGCTGTAATATGACAACAGAGAGGTGGACAAAGCAGCGGGCAAGTCACAACCTAGGGACAGGGGTGGGAATAAAGGCAGTCTGCATGTTCTGATGGGATCAGTTTCAAGCCTCTGGGCTTGAATGTTTTACTTCACATAATTCTCTAATCAATAGGTATTTAATTTATTGTTATTTTTAAACAGAGGTGTCATTCTCTCTAACTTTCACCTTTTCAAATAAATTAACAATTTTGGACAAAATGTACAGGAACCCAGACTGATGTCGAGGTAGGCAATGATCAGACAAGTCACACCTGAAAGGATGTGAGGGTCCCAGAATAATATCTTTAGGCTTTTCTCCTAAATTCCCATTTCCATCCCTGGACATTAAAGTGGGTTAGATACCACAGCCCCCGAGAGCAAAGGAGAAGCTTAGAAGCCAGCGGAGCTAACGAGCACGAGAGAGAGATGCAGACTTCTTGGCATTCCCACCAATGACACCCCTTTCCCACAGGGAGATAGGCCACAGGCCCAGCCTGCTCGGAGCCTTCACCTTCCCCACACTTCTTTCTGCTCCTCTTTGGCTATTTCTGGTTCCTCCTCAGACCCACCTTTTCCAAGAAGCTTCAACTAAGTCTACTTTAGTAGCAGTCACTATAGTAACCCCTACAGACCCAATATAATAATGCTGCACACACACCTATTGGTGGTTTTCAAATTGACCTTTGGGGATCCTAAGAAGTGGTACAAAGATAACTCAAGAGTCATAGGACAGAGCTCAATGGGTGCTCCAACGAGTATGGCTCTGCATTTATCTATGTTGTATATATTGTATATATCGTGTTTCCATGTAAAAACTTATTTTAAAAAGATTTCATGGACTAAGATTGTAAAGACACTAGTTTATCTATATATGGATATATATCTATAAATATATATTGACACCTATGCATTCTTATGCCGCTCTAGTGGGCAAGAGGTAATTTCTCCTTGACCTTCTATGCTATGCTACATCATTCTAGTCAATACAGGTGTACAGACTGAACAAATGTCAAAGTAGAAAAACCACTTTCGTGGCCTACCTTCTCCTTTTTGTCCTTACTGCGAGGACTCAACTCCTGATTCTCAGGCTCAATCTGGGCCTCCAGCTCCCTCTCAAGTTGAGATTCTAGCTCTTCCTCTTCTTCCTCTTCTTCAAGATCCTCTTCAAGCGTCCTTAACTTCTTCCCCTTCACCAGAATCTTATTCCGGAGCTCCTAAGGGAAAGAAATAAAGGGGCCTGTCTATCTGTCCCTGGGTACCCTCCTGGGGATCATGCAGGTTCCTCTGCTCTCACAAGGTCACCTCAAAGACAAAGGAAGTGAGTGAGTGGTCAGAAGTTCCAACAGGAAGGCTGCTTGATACAAACAGCAGGGATTCCCTATTGTTAAGCAAACTGGTATCATTTCTATATCCATACAGAAAAAAAAATAAATAGGGACACTTACCTTACATATGAAACAAAAACTATTCATAAACTTAAAGTTTACAGGTAAACATAAAGAACATAAGAATACTCAAAGAAAATAGAAAAATCTGCTTGAGTAATCTTATGGTGGGGAAACCTTTAGAAATGTAAGATGAAAACTCAGAAGACAAAAAAAAAACCTCAAAAAATTCAGAAGACATTGACAGATTTAGCTACATAAAGCTTTAAAACATGTGTAAGCCTGAAGAGGCTATAAAGAAAAAATAGACCAAAAAAAATTTCCAATGCATTAATATTTTAACATTTAAAAAGCTGTTATGGGGCCTCCCTGGTGACCTAGGGGTTAAGGCTCAGCGCAATCACCAAATGGCCTGAGTTCAATCCTTGGCCAGGGAGCTGACCCACATATGGTGCAGCAGACCTCTCCTATCTCACCCACTGCTCTGGTGAATCCTCTCAACCCCTACACCTCTGCCTGCACCCCAGTTCTACTACACAAAAATATTTTTTTTTAAAAATCAGTGTTATCAATAAAAGTTATAAACCCTAATAAAAGTAGGTAAATAATATCAATTCAAAGGAAACAAACACAAATCTTTGTGTTTTTTTTTTTTAAGATTTATTTATTTATGCATACAAGAGCTGAGGTGTTAGAGGTATGGGGGCAAGGGGGGTGTGAGAGGATTCATCAGAGACAGAGTGGGGAGCAGAACAGGAGGATCTACTGAAATACACTGCTGAGGGGAGCAGCAGGCAAGACAGGAGAGGTCTGCTGTGCCATGTGGGTTAACTCCCCTGGAGATTGAACTCATGCTGCAGTGGCTATAAATAGCTTCATAATGCTGAGACTCAACCCCTTGAGCCACCAGGAAGGCCCCTCAGACCTTTGTTTTTGAAGAACTTATTTTTTTTCCCTATGTTTGCTATTATGAAAAATCTCACTACTGGAATTATTTGTGATCACTCTCTTACACTGTTGGTTGGAATGCAATTTGGTATTTTTCCCCAGAGGGCAACATGACAATAACAACCAAAATTATCAACATAGAAATTGTTCGCTCCAATAATTTTGCTTCTAGGAATTCATCTCAAAGAAAAAGTAAATGGACTAAGTTAAATAAATTGTGGTAGAGAGCATAAAATGGGATATAATAGAGGGTCTCCCCTAGTGGCACAGCGGTTGAGCACTGGCTGCGAAGCTGCCCGCAGCCTCTGCAGCGCCAGTTCAATCCCCAGCCACCGGGCAAGGGTCCCACCATGGCATGCAAACCTCTCCTGCCACGCCCGCTGCTCCCCTCAGCAGTGTACTTCCATCCTTCTGCCTGTTCTGCTCCCTGCTCTGGCTCTAGTGAATTCTCTCACCCTCCCGCACTTCTGACTCTACCCAGTGCTTGTATAAATAGAGATGTTAAAAAGGAAATATATATATGAAAAGACATCCATGATATATTTTACATGTGAAATATGGCATATAAATATTTCATGAATATAGAAGATGATTCCATTCATGGTTTTTAAAATGTGAATACACACACACACACACCCCGTTATGAAAGCATTTAAAAAATCTTTTGACAGGTGTTATGGGTGTAGCTGAGTTAATGGTGATATTTCCCTTTATATTGTTTGTATAGTTTACAACTATGAACTGTCAGGAAAAAAATTAAGATTTTCCACTGAAAAAGGAAATATAAATTAAGTTGCTGATTTAAAATTTAGAGAATTATAAAGTGAAATCTTTGTTCAAGTCTTTTTTTTAAATAAAGTGGTCTTCAAGGACATGAAGGGTAAGATGGTCCATCTGAGGTAGGAAGAAGGAACAAGCAGGGTATGGAGGAAGGAACCAAGTAGGAAGATATGGGAGTAACAGTAAGACCTGGACTGGGGGAGCAGAGTGCCTACCTCAGGAGAGGGCAATTGAGTGGGCAGCAGCCCATCCAAGGTGGCGTTTATCAGCTGTTCCCCCAGGATCTCTGTTAGATGCTTTGCCAAGACCTCCTGTTGCTCCCTGCTACAGTGGTTCTCCAGGGACAAGATGACTGGATAGTCTGAAGTCTGATGGGGTAGAAAAGAGGCACTGGAACCAAGTTGTAAAGCCTATAACTTCCTTGCTTCCCCAGGCCCCTCAGGTTTCTTACTCCACTGAGCACCTCAATTACTAAACTTCTCCAACCCTATTTCAGACCTCAAGGGAGTCTTGCTGGGTCTGGGGTCCACCCCACATCTAAAAGGCACTCTTGGGACTCCTAATGTCGAACTATATCAGGTCTGGGACCTTTGAGTGTTCACACTCAGGACTGGAAGACCAGGCCATTACCTTGGTTATGTGCCCTCATGTTCCACTAGATTCACTTCACCCCCCAGCTCTACCTGCCACTTCTTCTGTTTCTTCTCCATCTTCTCCCAGACAGGTGACAGACATGGCTAGAAGTGATAGTTAGCAGCCTCTAGCAAGTACCTCTATGACTACTAATTACTAGTAATTCAACATTTATTCATAATAACTACCCTTAATATTTGCCTGAAGCATCACAGTTAAAATCACTTTTACATACATGCCATTTGACTCAAACTTCCCTGTGTCCCTCCACCCTCCCCAGACTCAGTGCTAGCTGCTCTTCTTTTAGCATTATACTGGCCTCACCAGTATTTCTGGAACTCCTACCTGGAAGGCGTACTGTGCTACAGAGGCCACAACATCTTTGAACAGGATCCGGGAGGTCAGGGTATGCCCATGGTAAACAATGGGTTCCCCAGTAGGTCCATCCCATGTATCCACCTCTACACAGCGGCACCCTCTCTTCAAGGCCCTGCAAGAACCCCAACCCACCAGAGACAGGAGGGGTCAAGGTCTGATATTTCACCGAGGGGCCCTCTCCCCACTCTGGAGAGGGGTACTTGCTGACTCCTACCTGTCAAGATCCTGTTCAAGCTACATCTCCACGGAGCTGTCACTGTCTATAGGGACACTGCACAGCTTATACTGCTCTCCACCCTCCACTCCATCCAACTCAGTCCTTCTATAGCAAGTCACCCCATATTGCCTTTTTATGCTTCTGGTATTTTTGTTGTCCAGTGTTATATAGCTTCTGGGTTATTCAAACTCTTGGTAAATTCAGACTTCCTTAGGCAGAAGTTACTAGTTAAGTTGCTCATACTGCAAAGATATCTTAACTATCTTTGGTCTAATCCGTAATTAATCACAATAGAAGCAGGTACTATTTATTAACTATTGACACATGAATTATCTCATTTTATCCTCACAACAACCCAGATAGAATAGGCACTGTTATCATTCCTATTTTAAAGATGGGGAAACTGAGGCATAGAGAGGTTAAATACTTAGCCCCAGAGTGCTAAGTAGGATTTGGCCTCCAATGGTCTGACTCCAGAATCTATGCATTTAATTCATATGTTCTGCTATGTCCCGTTTAACATTTGGTTTATTTATTTGTCCCAAATAAATCTATCAGGACCTCTGGGTCCTGAGAGAGTTTCAGAGCTTGTGAAAAGGAGGGAAGCTCCATTTATCCAAGGGGTTTTAATACCACTCTTCAATATCTCCTCCAAATCTCTCAGGGATCCAGGGATCCTCAACCCCCAACCACCCACAGTACCTTTCAATCTCTATTATCCACTGACAGTGCCTATCAATTTTTGACAAATGGTCCCTTTCATGAGCTGGGTCTCATTCTCCCCTCCTTCCCACTGCACCGTATATATCCCTCGACGCTGCTCTGGCCACAAAACTGGTCCCCCAGTAGATAGGTGTTGTGAGAGGAGTTGATGTAGTAGTGGTTCAGGGGTTGAGTCATGTCCTGGTAGATGGGGAGGCAGGTTGGGTTGAAGATGTCACCATCCTTTGAGCAGAGGTAGTTGAGAAAGCCATCCATGCTCAGCACACAACGCAGTTTGCCTTGGGTGTGAAATAGGGGAAAGTTAGAGCGAGAAACTGAGTGGGAGCTCCCAGCACACCTTCAGCCCATTCTCTACCCCACCCCTCTCCAAGGTCCTGACTTTCAGGTGGCATCCACTTCCAACCACCAGACCCCAAACTTGCCCCCTAGCCCCAGTATCTGTCATTTCAATCATCCTCACCTTCTGAGGATGTTAAAGCTATAAGGGGAATAATAAAGATCATTCTAGTACATATGGTCCAATAAAACTTTCTACAATGACGGAAATATTTTCTTTTGTGCCCCTAGACATATATAGCAACTGAACACTTAAAATGTGTTTGTGTGACTGGGAACCAAAATTTAAATTTAATTTGAAATTAATTTAAAAGTTATACAAAGCTAACAGTTACCCCAGTAGACGTTATTCAGTCCAAAGGGCTAATTTTATTGGTGAGGTCCAGAGACAATCAAAGTCAAAGACTTCTTAGTGGCATCATCAAGTAACCTATGTTTTATTCCCTGAACTATCTGGGTGTTGCCAAATATGATCTGAGGGTTTCTTCCTATCATCAATGCCCCTATGGTGTTTTAAACGAGTGTTTGTCCAACACCCCCTTGGGACTTCACTCTTTTTTTTTTTTTTTTTAAAGATTTTATTTATTTATTTATACAAGCACTGGGCACAGTCAGAAGTGGAGGGTGAGAGAATTCACCAGAGCCAGAGCGGGGAGCAGAGCAGGCAGAAGGACCGAAGTACACTGCTGAGGGGAGCAGCGGGCGGCAGGAGAGGTCTGTGCGCCATGTGGGACCCTCCTCCGGTGGCCGGGGAGCAGCCGGGGATCGAACCAGCGCTGCAGAAGCTGCGGGCAGCTTCGCAACCCAGCGCTCAACCGCTGCGCCACCGGGGAGGCCCGGGACTTCACTTCACTCTTTTTGAGGAGAGCCCTTTGTTGCTCCTTCCTGACCACATGTCCCATGCCTCTGCATTCCACTTACCACTCTCTGAAGGTTCATAGAGGTTGATGAGTTCCAGAGCAAGGTCAGATGCTCCATCTCCTTCTTTCTGCTCCTCTCGGAGGAAATCCACAAATTCCAGCAGAGTTAGTTTCTGCCCGTCAGCAGAAAAGTTTTCAAACAGTTCCTGCACCTCAGTTCGTTTAGTCAATGCCTTATAGAATGTTACAAATTCTTCTCCCTCTAGAGTCCCAGACTGGGATACATCTGCTGTCTGCAAGAGAGGATTCAGAGGAATATGGATGAACCCATAAACTGCAACAGCTTTGACTTGCCTTGTAAGGGTAATTTAACTGATATGAGGGATCCAAAGATGTTTCCACAGAACTCTTAACATTTAGTATCCATAGGGTCCCTTCGTAAGTAAAAAGCAAAATTTCAGACATACTGCTTACTACCAAAAAATAATTTCAACTAGTATGAGTTAAATGCCCAAAAAGTCTCTGAAAGTTCAGAAGATCCCTCCTATTTACACATTTCAGTTGGGGTTTTCCATTGCACTAGGCACCTGTGAAAACCTGGCCATGGACAGAGAGGTTCTTGAGGACTGACCTAGTAACATGTCATTATTTACCCTGCAAAGGATTATTAATCATCTTTGCAACAAGAATGAAGGGTAAGTACCATGCCCACATCTTTCACTGGGCCTGGTGTGATGCTAAGGTACTTAGCAGAGATTCAACAAATGAGTGCTGCTGGATAGGGTCAGACCACTTGTGGCCAAGTGAGAATGTGGCCTTAGCTGACTTCTGCAAATCCTTCCTCAGAAGACTCACCTGGAAAAGCTGGAAGGCATATTCTTGGTCCATTTCCACATTCATCAGATGCAGTAACCGCTGGACTTCTTGGAAAGTGATCCGACCATCCTGGTTTTTGTCTCCACGCTGGAACCAGTCCCTCAGCCATCCAGGTCTGAGTCAAGGCAAAAGCACTCTGTGTGTGTATGTGTGTGTGTGCATGTATGTGCATGTTCATCCCTCATCATTTCTCCTCTCAGTCTGTCCCCATGCCAATTAACTTTCCATATGAGCTTCCAGAATAATCTCATCTCCCCAGAGCACCAATCAACCTCATCATTGCATGGCTTAGATGTGACTTCCCTGTTGCCTGCAGAAAGAAGTCCAAATCTCTTAATACAGAAGGTCTCCTTCATCTCCATGATCTGGCCCTAAGCCAACCTGCTCAACACATCTCTGTCTTCCCTGGACTCTGTCTTCACCAGACTCAGCAACTTACTGCTCTGTAATGTCCTACTCTCTCCTGCTCTTCAGCTTCTTGACTCTGGACCTTTACTCATAGTCTTCCCTCAAACTGAAATGACTTCTCCCCCTCTCTTCATGTGCAAATTCTACTTACTCATTGTCAAGGCTCAGTTCAAATGTTTCTTCCTCCCTGAAGCTCTCTCAGTACCCTCCCAGCTAGAATTAAGTATTTCTACTCTTTTTAAATACCCACAAAAAATACAAGTAGCATAACACTTCTATAATACTTACTCACATAATTCCAGCCTCTCTACCAACCGAAGCAATATCGGAGTCTCATTGATCTTTGCACCTCTAAAACCTGGCATAGTGCTTGACATATTCAGTTTAATGGATGGTTAATGCATAGAAGGTGAATACAATCCAGGAAACTGGAAGTAATTTGAAACCACTAAGCTCTCTAAGGAATTTCTTCCCACCCCTACAGTAGTTAATGCTCTGGGATAGTCTGTTCAACTCTCAGGATCAGAACCTTGTTTGGTCCTTTGCCTCACACTGTCCCTTTCTGTAATCCTGCAAGGCCTGATTCATGCCCAGGCTCTACCTGGCTGTGTCTTTGCCACACCAAGCACCCATTTCTCCCTCTGTATCCTTAGGCTTACATCAGTTTGAGCTGTCTCTGCCCATTCCATCTGGACTCTTGGGCCTTCTTAGCCCTGCGTCCCTCCCGCTGTCCTGAGCCCCACAGCATCTGGCTCCTTCAGTAACCGCAGCCCCGACTCTGACTCCAGTCGATACTGGTCCAGTCGCTCCTGTTGGTCCATGTTGGTGACAAAGTTCACCAGCTGCTGGAGGCCCTCCATCCAGATCTGAGCCTCCTCCACACTGTTAGCCACCAGGTCCAGGTTGGAGCGGCGACCCCGGAAGACGATGGTGAAACCCTGCTTCAGGGGAAGCTCCTCTGCCAGGCTGCGCAGTAATTCAGACTCATCACCCTCACGCACTGTCTCCACATCAGAGATTGAGACTGCCAGAGAAGGAGCAAGTGGGGCTCTGAGGAAGTGAATCTGCCAAATTGCAAGAGTTATGGGCCAATGACGGGAACTCCCTTATTTTCTGTGAATCCACAGGGAATAGCAACCCCAGCCTCCACAGGTTAAAACCCCAAAAGGCTTAGTGCAGGGACATACATGTGCCTGGGCTTTAGGAATCCACATGAGTCATTGCTATTTTCATAAGCAGCATGGCAAGGGGCCTTTTCTGGGAACAGCAAGATCTGGCTTCCAGCCACCAGCTAGCAGTGTGACACAGACCCAAATGACTTAACACCTCTGTGTCCTCATCTGAAATAACGGTGGTCCCCTCCATGGCTACTCCACATGGTGACCACGGAGGCTTCTGAAGCTGACAAATGGAAGCTTGTTTACAGGGTAGAAGCAGGTACACCAAAGCATATTCCCAAGTTCAGTTCTCCCATTCCAGGCTTGAGGGCTTCCTCTTTCCAGATGTCCAGGAGGGAGTCAGAGAAATTCTCCCTCCTGACCTTAGCTGGGGGTGATAAGGATCATGGATTTTGATTATTATGTCTCAAGCAGACTCTCTTGGACATATCTGGTGGTCAGAATTTTAGAGGTATCAGAAAATGTGTGGCCAACAGGATGATGATTTTTGACATTTAAAAACATGCCTCATAATCACTAACACTATTAAATACATCCTGACTTTAGGTCCCATTTACTGCAATGTGCTTTCACACTAACCACTAACTTATTAAGTCTCTGTGACCTTTTAGGCAGCTACTGTTTAAATCTCTCTTTTTTTTTTAAAGATTTATTTATTTATTTATTTATTTATACAAGCACTGGGTACAGTCAGAATCCCAGGAGGGTGAGAGAATTCACCAGAGCCAGAGGGGAGAGCAGAGCAGGCAGACTGATGAAGTACACTGCTGAGGGGAGCAGCAGGCGCTGCAGGAGAGGTCTGCGCGCCATGTGGGACCCTCGACCGGTGGCCGGGGGTCGAACCAGTGCTGCAGAGGCTGCATGCAGCTTCGCAACCCAGCGCTCAACCGCTGCGCCACCAGGGAGGCCCTGTTTAAATCTCATTTTACAGATGAAGGGAAGCTCAGTGTAAGTAACTTGTCCTTAAATGAAGTCATTCAGAGCTAGAAAGTGGCAGAACAAGGACTTCAAACCAGGCAGTCTAATGCCTGAAATGATGCTCTTATTATGATAATGATAGTAAGATATAATCTATGATTTTTTATTTTTTAAAGATTTATTTTATTTTATTTTTGTTTTTTGTTTTTTTTAAAGATTTATTTATTTATGCATACAAGAGCTGGGGTACAGGCCAGAGGTGTGGAGGGTGAGAGGACTCACTAAAGACAGAGTGGGGAGGGCCTCCCCGGTGGTGCAGCGGTTGAGCGCTGGGTTGCGAAGCTGCCCGCGGTCTCTGCGGCGCCGGTTCGATCCCCGGCTGCTCCCCGGCCACCAGAGGAGGGTCCCACATGGCGCGCAGACCCCTCCTGCCGCCCACTGCTCCCCTCAGCAGTGTTCTTCGGTCCTTCTGCCTGCTCTGCTCCCCGCTCTGGCTCTGGTGAATTCTCTCACCCTCCCGCGCTTCTGACTGTACCCAGTGCATGTATAAACAAAAACAAACAAATAAATAAATAAATAAAACATGCCTCTATTTAAAAAAAAAAAAAATTTTAAAGACAGAGTGGGGAACAGAACAGGCAGACTGACTGAAATACACTGCTGAGGGGAGCAGCAGGCCAGACAGGAGAGGTCTGCTGCAGCATGTGGGTTGCTCTGACTGGCTGGCCAGGTTGAATTCGTGCTACAGTGCCTGCGGATTGCTTCATAGGTTGCGTCTTAACCCCTTGCGCCACCAAGGAGGCCCTATTTTATATTTTTAGGCATACAAGAACTGGGGTGCGGGCCAGAGGTACAGGTGGGGGTGTGAAAGGATTCACCAGAGACAGAGTCGGGAACAGAACAGGCAGATCTACTGAAATACACTGCTTAGGGGAGCAGCAGGTGAGACAGAAGAGGTCTGCTGCGCCATGTGGGTCACCTCCCTGGCTGGATTGAACTCATGACACAGTAGCTGGTGATAGCTTGATACACTGACACTTTAACCCCTGCACCGCCAGGGAAGCCCATAACCTAGGATTTTTGAAACTTATTATATGCCAGGACTCTTCTAAATCTTTAAATGCAATCACCGATTTTATTACAACAGAATTAAGAGGCAAGTGCTACCATAATGTCTATTTTACAGGCTCAGACACTGACACAAATGGTACAGCATAAGAGCACATCAGAAGGCCCTGGACCCTCCACTGCTCAGGCTCCTTGGGAGCCTATAATACCATGTGCCCATCCCTAGCTATCCACATCACTTACAGCTGGGCTTGGCACTTGCTCCAACTTGTCGGGCATGCCAGACTGTCATGCAATCTTCCTGAAGTCTGAAGTATCTTAGCTTCTTCCAGCTTTTGGATCTCACTTTGCGCATCATTGTGCCTTTCTGCATCTGTAGCAGGTCTTCACTGACAGGTAACCCTGGGTTGGGAGAGGCAGGGACTAGGTAGCCAGAAGGGAGGATGGAGGGTCCAGGAGGAGCTCTTGAGCAGGGGTCCAGTCTTCTCTCCATCCCTAGGCTTCCTCCCCAAAGTCCCTTCCCCTGCAGGGATACTTACGCCCTTGAAGTAGGGACACCATCGCCCACTGCTCCAACAGCTAGCGCCAGAGTCACCTAAAGGAACAAGCCATAGGAACAGCTAGAGCATGGGCTAGGCAATATATGCTGTGAATAGTATATAACTCGATCTGATCATCAAATGCACAAAACTTCTGTTCTGCCAGGCCTCCCTGGTGTCCCAAGGGGTTAAGCATCAGCACTATGAAGCTATCAGCAGCCACTACAGCACGAGTTTGATCCCCACTCAAAGAGCTAATCTACATGGCGCTGCAGGCCTCTCCTGTCTCACCTGCTGCTCCCCTAAGCAGTGTATTTCAGTAGATCCACCTGTTCTGCTCCCTACTCTGTCTCTGGTGAATTCTCTCACCCCTCCCTCCCTACTCTGGCCTACACTCCAGTTCTTGAATGCATAAATAAATAATTTTTTTTTTAAAGAATAATAGTCCAAGGGAAGAAGAAAAGGAAACCAGTGCTTCCCAACTGCCTACTATGTGTCAGGCAAGTCCTCTACAGAGTCTCAAGTATTTTTACTTCTGAGTTTGGTAACTCTGAGGCTTAGAGAGGCTAAGAAACCTATCTCAGATCACATAGGGCTTCAGAATTTAAACCCAGGTATGTCTGATTGTAGAACCTCTATTACTTTTGGTGACCATCCCCAGAGACAGAGAAACCAGGACCCTCTACCAAACACCTCCTTTCTCCCCACAAGCCACCTCCTGCTAAATCTCAGCTCTGCTTTATTATTATTATTATTATATTTTAATTTATTTATACATATAAGAACTGGGGTATAGGCCAGAGGTGTGGTGGGGGGTGCTGAGAGGATTCACCAGAGACAGAGTAGGGAACAGAACAGGCAGACTGACTGAAATACACTGAGGGGAGCAGCGGACAAAACAGGAGAAGTCTGCTGTGCTATGTGGGTCAGCTCCCAGGCCAGGGATTAAGCTTGTGCTGCAGTGGCTACAGATAGCTTTGCAGTGCTGAGACTTAACCCCTTGAGCCACCAAGGAGGCCCAGCTCTGTTTTATTAGCAGCCACCATCTTGCTGGCTGCCCTCTTCCAGAACTTGGAGGGTCTCTAGCATTCTTTTCTCCAGGTGGACCTATTCCCCCCCAGCTTCCATATTCTGGGAGCCCACTCTATGCTCCCATGTTAGATAGATCATCCTCCTCCTGATGGGCTAGGATAGGTTTCTTTTGTTTCTTCTGCAACACAGTGCTATGCTTAAGTAAAAAAAAGTCTTCTACTATCTTCACATTTTGTGAAGCATACATTTTGTGCTCTTTTTCATTATGGTTATTCTCACAGTTGTAATGAATTGGGTAATATACATAGTCTCAAAACTGCGTTTTTGAGTTTGCTTTACCTACTAAACGAGTATCACCATTAAGATAATTACTGTCTAATTTAAGACAAGGCTAAGTTCTTGTAGGAGGTAACAATAAACTTCCCTTGAAAAGAACCACAAGACTTGACAGGTGCCTCTTTGAGTCTAGCTTTGCCCCTAGAAGAAATACTCAACTCATGATCAAATCATGATGAAACTGGAAGTTCGGAAACACAAAGTTGCATGCTTTCGTTTAAGTCAAGACTCTACACTTGGATAGAAGTGCTGTGTTTTGAAATCAATACCTTTAAAGTTTTGACAGTGGTAAATACCTTAAAAACTAAAAGAATCTCTAAAGCACCATTAGAGATTAGTTGGTGCTACATTAAAACATCATGCAGTTCAGCTGTCTATACTTTATTTATTTATATATATATTTTTTATCAAGCTGTCTACATTTACCAACGAAGAAACAGAAATCCAGAAATGTGATGTGGCTTGCTGAGGTCACATGGCATATTAGTGCCCTCTCTCTCTCTAGTGGAAAGAAACTATAAAGTCCCCCAAGGAAGAATGTAGAAGTCGCTGAAAATACAGCTTCTCTGACTAAAAGACCTAGCCATATGCAGAGGTCCAAAGAAGGGGGAAGGCTGGGAATCAGTTTGGGCCAAACTGGGAAAGAGAACTCAAGCTAGGTGTTAGGGGAGAACTACCCTGAGACAGTTCCAGGAAGAAAAGGTCTGAGATGAGTGTGTGTGTCCTGGTGGCACCAGAAGAAACCTCTGCATGGAGGAAGGGATCCAGAGTGCTCCTTAAAAGATAGAAGAGCCCCTCTTTTCTGGATGGAAGGGACCCAGAGTACTTCACAAGAGGAGACAAACATCTTTGTTTGGAGTCTGAAGACATGTCACTCAAATGTCCCGCAGATTCCAGGGGAGGGGAGTCAGCCTGGGGCTGAAATTCAATCCCCTCATTAACACCCTGCCTCCTCTCCTCTCTGAATTTCAGCTCCTATGTCTGTGGCACAGGGACTCTGCGGTGGGAGGAGATAGAATTGCCTCCCCTCACGCCTGTGTCCAGAGCCTTGCAAAGATGTCCTGAAACCATGGAAGCCTGAGAACAGAGCCCCAGTGCCGGGACACCTCTACTTTAGCGGCTACCTCCTTTCAAATCAGTCAGAAAATCGTTTTACCTTTTGTCGTCAAACTCTTCCAACCTTAGCCGTGGCAAGCTCTTCCAATCCTGCTCCCACTATTTTAAACCTGTACTCAGGTGTCAGGTGGCATAAGAGAGACAATTTCAACTTAGAGAGACACACTTAGAGAGACACAATGTCAGAGCTGGACTTCATGTTATAGAGAAGGGGTGTCGTGAACTGCCAGTCACCAAATGGATTAAGTAGCAGAAGTGGCACTAGGATCAAGACCTCCATCTGACCTGCCCAGAGACCGCCCTGAGAGACGGCCTTCAATGGGAACGAAGTAAAAGCAGGGCTAGACTCAGTGAGGGACATCGATGATTTGTCTCTTCCCTACGTCATTTTCTGTTCCCACCACATCGCATTTTATAGCCTTTCCCTTCCCCCCCCCATGCCCTTTCCCCAGCCTCCGCCTGACCCCTTCCTTTCCTTTCTTCCCAGCTCACTCTTTCTCCGGATACTCTCTCTTCCTCCCTGTTTCCTTACTTAAGTCAGCTGCTCTTTGCTCTCCTGTATTCATCCTTCTCCCCACTATTTCTTCCTCTCTTTTTTTCTCCACTGATTTCCCATAGCCCTGATTTTCATCCCCTGGGCAAAGTTTGAAACTGTGGTTCAGGAGGGAGAAGATTTGGGTTCAGATACTTAGTAGCACATCCCTCCATTCTCTTTCCCCTGTATCCTAGGAGACTGACTAACTCACCCAGACAATGCAATTTAGAATCCCTGTGTTCTAGGTCTTGGTGTTTTCTCTGGTGCCTGAAGTAGAATGGGAAGGATGGTTATAGCTGGTGCCCGAGCAGTGCCAAAGGATTGGGAGTGGGAACAGGAGAGGCAAAGAGTAGAGAATGAAGACTGAGAGAAAGAGAGATTCGATCTTAACTGTTCTCTCCTAGACAAGTACATGGTGATTAATTATCTCTATAATACAAATGAGAAAACAGACACAAAAGAGGTAGGAAGTGGCCAGAGCTGCTAAGCAAGATTTGATCCTCAGCTTCCAGGTGTTTCATTTCATGTCACCTATGGATGGATTTTGGCAGAGTTGCTGATGGAGTCAATGGCATTAAAGTGGAATTCAGGGTATCTCAGATCTCTTGGAGGGGCAGGAAAGAAGAGGGTCATTTTCTACTCTCTTGCGTCTGAGCAGGATTATGCCTGACCTGGTTTATATAAAGGGGACAGAATGGCTCTGGCCATAGGTCACAGCCCTCAGAATGTTAAAGATTAAAGCCTATGTTACAACATATCTAATCCAGATGATCCTGTATGTATCAATATCCCCTGGAGAGTGTCTTAAAATGGAGATTCCTTAATCCCACCTCAGTTCTACCAGGTCAGAATTTTCAAGGATGGGACTCAGGAATGTTACCTTTAACAAGTATCCTGATAACACAAGTTAACCTGGGAAACCCTAAACTCTTTCCTATCACCAATCAGGAAGTTGCAGTTCAAAGTCACACAGCTAGTGAATGGCAGAGTCAGATGCTAGAAGCAAGTGCTTTTTCCAGCATTGCACTCTGGCACCCCAGCAAACCACCCTGGCCCACCAAGCAGCTAAGAATGAGGTATAGAACTCAAATCCTGGCTCTTTCCAAGGATGTCATGTAACTCCCTGTTACCATTACTGGGGTCTCAGCCAAACCTCATTTGGTAATCCTCAACCATCTGTGAACGAATCTCTGTTAAAGTCAGGTTACTCCAAGGCTTTCTCTTCTCTGACTAGGGCAGGACTCCCTTCCCAGCGGCAGCCCTCTGTTGCCAAGAGGTTGCACAGAAAGAGGTGACTGACACAGTCAGGAGGAAAACTTAAGCCAAAAGAGGATATGCTCGAGAGAACCAGAAGGTCAAAGCCTAGACCTGCTCAGGCAAAGGACTCCAGGGTACAAATTAATCAGGATGGATAAGCATGCAGAGGGCAGAGCCCCGAGACCCTTACCGTGGCAGGCCAGCTGTCCTGTGTGTGCCCTGCGGACAGTCCACTGTAAGGAAATCCAGATGGGACTCTTCCTCCTTTGCTCCTCTTGTTCTTGCGCTCCCTCCCCTCTTCTGCAGTTTGCTGCTGGAACTGGCACAGTTACCGCCGGAGGGAAGGTGTGAGGGGGAGAGATGTGGGCGCTCACCTCAGTCCAGCCTATCCAACTCTTAAAGGCCCAGTATACCCGACAGTGTAAGGGAGATGCGGGGGGGGGGGGGGGGGGGTGGCGGGGTGGAGAGAAAAAACTAAGCAGAGGGATTGACAAGCACCGCGTCTCCAGGGGGGAGGAGCCTGGCTGCCCTTCATCTGGAAGCCAGTCCTCACTGACCCCAATCCTGCAGTGGCTTTCAAAGTGAAACCCAAGGCGGTCTCAGTTGCGGTGCTCCGTGAATCCCTGCTTTTCATTCTGGTCGTCTTCTCTTTGCATGTTCTACAGCTGTCTTTGCCCTTATTTCACCTGGCTCCTTTCCATGGTATCTGTTTCCATTCCTGCTCCTGTATCTGCATCCTGCCTCGCAGGGCACTTGGTTTAGCTCCGTGGCAGAGGGAAAAAGAAGAAAGAAATAGGATGGGAAAGGAGGAAGGCGAGAAGAGAGGAATGATCTTGGAATCGAGAGGGGCGGATTAGTATCTATGTATGTATTAGGTATTTGCCAAATATTGAAGGGATGCATACATGAACGAACAATCCATGTGTTCTTCCTTTACATTCATGAGTTCTACCAGCTTTCGTTCAGCACATCCAATTTGTTCAGCAAGGACATACATGGATGTTTATAAAAGTGTGTGTAGAGATGAAGCAGACTCATGACGTACAAAAATCGAAGGTAAAAAGAGGAACACGAGATTGGCAAGGTACCCAACTGGGAAAGGAAAGAATGAGCTTCTTACAAGGGTGAATGAACAGGCAGCTGAAATAGAAAGCGAGAATGAAGAAAGGGAACCAGGTTAGGTGAGGGATAGGGGTTTGTACAGGGCTTTATTATGGCTCCATACTTCACAGTGAGAAACTCAGGCTCAGGGAGGTTTAGGAGGTATCATGGCCACAGCAGAAATAACCATTCCCTTGCACTCTCCCAAGCACTGTGACCTGGCTCCTGGGTACTTCTGCTCTGTCTTTGCAAGACTGCAGGGTGTGGCTCTTTCTGGGCCAGTGCATGACAATAAAGCAACTGAGGACACAGAGCATAGCACTGTACTTGGACTTCTGTGGAGTCCATTTCCATCGAAGTGTATCTTAATCATAGACATGGAGGGAAATAACTGTATGAAATAATGTGATTTTAATGTGTGGTAAGGTCTGTCTCTCATGGTTTACTCTGCCTAATAGTCTACCATTAGTGATTATTTATAGCTAAATCTCCAGCCCCACTAAAATGAAATCCTCCTAAGTGATACCATAAAAGTCAAGATAGTGGCTACTTTGGGAAAGAGGGGGTTCTGAAGGAATAAGGCATATAGCTGGTTTCTGTAATGGATGCCCAGGTTCTATTATATCCCTGAGTGCAAACAAGGGTCCTCGTTTTATTAACTTATCTTTATGTATCGTGATTCTGTTTCGCAATGAATAAAGTTTTCAAAATTTTGCAGCCTTATTGGTCTTTCAGAATTTATACCTAGTTTGAGTTTATGATACTCTGTCGAGAGCAGGTTTTGATAAAGAGAAGTACATTGGGATGGAGAGAAGAGGGAGGTCATTCATGGGCAACAGGAAGATCAACATTTACACTGTGCTGATTACAGACAGCTTCTCACATGCTCGTCTCGCTCTCCCATGTCTACTCTCCCACTACTGTCATGTTCTTGTTTTTCCAGGTCTCCCCTATACATTCATTACTCCTTTTTTGTTTCTGGATTATATACGGTTTGCCTCTAAGTCACTATTTGCGTCATTTAATCACCCCACAATCTCCTTCCCTTCTGAGTATTCTGAAGGGCATTATCACTCATGCTGGATTTTCTGGGAGAGTCTGGATCTTAAATATTCTATTTTAGTGTTTCCATAAACACACCTGTACTCCCCACATCACGTGTACTGACTTTCAAGGCAGGCATTTGGAGACCTTCCCAAGGTTAATAAGAGCGGCTTAGAAGACATGCCTGCTACAGGACACACTTTAGATCCAGGAATGGAGCAGACAGGGCCCCAGGCACAGGAACTGTCCATCTGGCTTGGTTGTTCCTATTTCCATAGCCATCCTAGCCCTTCCCCCATTGTTGTCTATTATTAACGGGTCCAGAAACCTGATCAGGCCAGCAGCAGCAGAGGGACTTTCTGGGAACCATGCCAGGAAAGGCCTAGACCTACATTGAAATGAAGGACCAGATGGTAAAGAGGAAGACCTACACACTGTAATCTGGGGCTGGCACCCAGGCAAGCCTAGACCCTCCTCCTGATCCTAGGGCAGACACATCTCTGCTTTTCAGGACAGTTAGGCTGAGGAATCAGATAGCTGCCCAGGCCATTCAGACAAGTGACTCAAACTTCTAATAAGGCCCATATTCTTGGTGGTAAACAGGCAACTCAAAATATTAAATTCTATTTAAGAAATCATGAAATGAGAGCACCTGTAGAAAAGCCAGGATATATAACTTTAAAAGACCAGAAAATATTTTTTGCATTCCAGCAAAATTTAAAAAATAAACAAGGGGGAAAGGGACGTATAAAGAGAACAAGATGAGAGAAGTTAGAATGAAAAATACAAAGTGCTATATTCCAGTGTGAGACAAAACTTTTAGGAAAAGTCATAAAAGGTTGAAGTTCAAGGAAGATATCTAGGAGTGGAGAGATTCCAATTTTGTTCTTGACTCTAGTTTTCTGTGGCTGTTTCAGCACTTTGCATTTCCATACATATTTTAGATCAGCTTGTCAATTTTTCACAAAAATAAACCTGCTGTAATTTTGCTTAGAATTTGATCAGTAGATCATTTGAGATCATTGGCACCATCAACAATATAGTTTCCCAGTCCATGGAGATGATACAGCTCTCCATTTATGTAGGTGTTTAATTTCTTTCAAGAATGTTTGTTGTGGGACCTCCCTGGTGGCACTAGGGGTAAGTGTCAGTATTATGAAGCTATCTGCAGCCACTGTAGCATGAGTTCAATCCCCGGCCAGGGAGCTGACCCACATGGCATAGCAGACCTCTTGTCTTGCCAGCTGCTCCCCTCAGCAGTGTATTTCAGTCAATCCACCTGTTCTGCTCCCCACTGTCTCTGGTGAATCCTCTCACATTCCTGCACCTCTGGCCTACACCCCAGCTCTTGTATGCATAAATAATCTTTTTTTAAAAGAATGTTTTCAATGTAAAGGTCCTACATATCTTTTGATATATCTTTGAACTATTGTTATTACATATCTTTGAAATATTCTACTGTATTTAGAAATGTGATCGATACTTTTGTGTGTGGACTATTGTGACTTTACTAAATTAAATCCTAAGAGTCTGTATACTCTTTTGTATTAGATCTAGGTACACAATCATGTCACCCACACTCTTTATAATCCTGTCTTGATTTTCTTGGTTTATATCATGCTGGGTGGGACCAATGTAATGACAAAGAGAGGTATGATAGTGGACTTCCTTCTCTCCCTCCTTATCTCCTGGAAAATGATTTCAATATTTAATCATTGAGACTATGGAATTCTTGTTGATACATTTCATTAGATTTTGGATGTGCCTGTCTATTCCTGGTTTTCTTTTTAAAGTCACAAGTAGGTATTGAATTATATAGTAGGCTTTTATGCATTTACATAGATCATTGTGTGAATGTTTTCCTTATGGCAAATTGTATTAGTTTTCAAGTACTGAATCAATCATATTTTTGCAACAAACCCAAATTGGATGATATATTATTTTCATAGATATTTGTGGGAGAGGTTGGCCTGTTTTTCCTTTCTTGTGATATCCTTGACAGGTTTTAGAAGCTGGCTTGTATTTTATTTTTATATATTTTACTATTATTTTTTTAATAGAGGCATGTTTTATTTATTTGTTTGCTTGCTTGTTTGTTTTGTTTATACATGCACTGGGTACAGTCAGAAGCGCAGGAGGGTGAGAGAATTCACCAGAGCCAGAGTTGGGAGCAGAGCAGGCAGAAGGACCGAAGTACACTGCTGAGGGGAGCAGAGGGCGGCAGGAGAGGTCTGCACGCCATGTGGGACCCTCCTCTGGTGGCCGGGGAGCAGCCGGGGATCAATACTGGCGCCGCAGAGGCCGGGGGCAGCGGGCAGCTTCGCAACCCAGCACTCAACCACTGCGCCACCGGGGAGGCCCTGGCTTGTATTTTAAAAGTGAATTGAGAGGTTGCTTTTTCTAGTCTCTGAAAGCATATGAGATTGGTGACTAAGATAAGCTACTCTTGTTCCCACTTCTAATATTTTTATCTTTTCTGATCAGTCAACCAAGTTATTTATTAATTTTATTGATGTTTCCAAGGGAATCACTTTCTTTATTGTACATCTTTTCAATATATTCTTCCTTCCACTTTTTGAATTTGCTATTTTTTCCAAAAACTTAGATCACTGACTTCAGCTTTCCTTTTGCAATGTGTAGTTATATATTTCTGCTGTAAGCCTTGCTTTGCCGATATATAACATTTTGATAATAGCTGATCTTACAAAGTTTTTCCCTAATTTTCTGTTAATTATTTAGAACTTGTGCTGCCTTTTTTTTTTTTTAAACACTTATGGAACTTTTCAGTATTCTTTTTCCTAGCTTAATTCCACTATATTGAAAACATTCTATTTTGAAATTCTTTAAGGCTCGCTCAATGGTCCAGTTATGATCAATTTTTGTAAATACTTCCAGAGCAACTAAAAAAAGTATATTATTGGTTTAGAGTCAGTGTTCCAGGGCCTCCCTGGTGGCTCAAGGGGTTAAGTCACAGCACTATGAAGCTATCCGCCACTGAAGCATGAGTTCGATCCCCGGCCAGGAAGCTGACACACATGGTGCAGCAAACCTCTCCTGTCTCATCCCTGCTCCCCTCAGCAGTATATTTCAGTCAATCTGCCTGTTCTGCTCCCCACTCTGTCTCTGGTGAATCCTCTCACCCTCCCACAACTCTGGCCTGTACCCCAGTTCTTATATGCATAAACAAATCTTAAAAAAAAAAAAAAAAAGTCAGTGTTCATATGTCAATTAAGGTAGGTTTGTTAATTGTGTTGTTCAATTTATCTTTTATATCTGCCTTTGAAATAAATATTAAAATATTTAAAAAAATTAAATTCCACAAAATTCAGGGAAAAAAAAAAATCTCATTTCGGGCCTCCCCGGTGGCGCAGCGGTTGAGCGCTGGGTTGCGAAGCTGCCTGCAGCCTCTGCTGCGCCGGTTCAATCCCCGGCTGCTCCCCGGCCACCGGAGGAGGGCCCCACATGGCGCGCAGACCTCTCCTGCCGCCCGCTGCTCCCCTCAGCAGTGTACCTCGGTCCTTCTGCCTGCTCTGCTCCCCGCTCTGGCTCTGGTGAATTCTCTCACCCTCCCGCGCTTCTGACTGTACCCAGTGCTTGTATAAATAAATAAATAAATCTATAAAAAAAAAAAATCTCATTTCATTTTATGGTTTCCTATTCCAAATGTTTCCCTTGGCTTTTGATAGCTGTAAGTTTATATATTTCTCTCCCTTCCTGGTCTTTGAGCAATAGAAATAGTGAACATGGGAATTATATGTGTGGATAGTACTGAAGGCTACATAGCACGTTACTCTGAAGGCTATCAGTGCCTCTCTTGCCTATTCTACCACTGAACTAGTCACTGGCCATTTATAGCCAAGGAGAAAAGCAGCCAGAAGTTGTTGACTATTCCACTGAGAGCCAGGAACCAGGCATGGAAATAGCTATTAGTCTGAAATAAATGTTTTAAGCATTACCTCTTCACTAACAGAAGTCTTTCCCTCACAGGCACCAAGTTCTGGCCACTGCAGCCAGGAGTGAGGTTTTGTCCCAGAAAAAGATGTTTACTGGCCACCATTTCTGTCTCCCAATAGCTTTTATACATCAACAGGGTTCTTCTCTCAAAGAACACACCTCAAAGGACTCACCATCTTGGGCAGGGCAGTGTGTATGTGTAGGTGAACACAGGGCCCAGGCAGGGGTGGCGAGGATCATCTGAACAAAGTACCTAGATATCTCCATACTGACAAAACAAAATCACCAATTTAAAGGAAAAATTATTTTTATAAAAACAAAAGCACGCTTTATTTCAATCCTGATGAGGGAGCGAGAAGGATGGAAAACACAAAATAAGGGGAGGGATCTCTTCATACGCGCAACATCAGGATCAACTGCAAGTAATAATATCCATTTTCACTCCTCCCCCAAATACCTATGTGGGGTCCAAGGCCAGCTGAGAATAGATGGAACAAGAATTAAGACATTATTGGCACGGTAACATGGCCAATGCACCGAAAGATGGAGAGAGAATTTCCCAGGGAGCAAGGCCCTGGGCCTCAGCTGCTTCCCCAGAGGGGAAATGAAAAACTTTGGCTCAGCAGGAAGGTGGTTGGCAAAAATCAGGGTTACCCTAGCTGGGCTCTCCAGAACACAAACTACGGGCTGAAGGGAGTCAAGCTGTCTATTCAGTCCATGCTGTTCTCTGCTTTCTCCAAGACCTCTTTTCTTTAGGTTTGAGATTGTGGAGAGCTGGCTTAGTGCTCCTCTTCGTTTTGGAAGGCAGGGGAATAAATGCTTATTCTACCCTTCCCACATACAGGTTACTTAATTACAACTTTCTTGGCTCTAAAGAGACAGAAGCCAACTAACAAGGCCGGCTCCCTTTGTGAAAGTCGGCTTGAAAGAGCCCTTGGGTTGGCAAAACTGCCTCTGCAAAGGTTTTTCTGAGCATGCCCTTTTGAGGTCTTCCCCAAATCATTCAGACACACTTTCAATCATGTGAGATGTGGACAGAAAATACTTGGTCCCTCTCTAGAGTTGGATTAACAATCCCATTTTGACTGGAGAGGGGGATGAGAGAACAGGTGTTGGCAGTGGGAGGTGGGGGGGAAAGCAAAACAGTTTACACTGGGTTATAGATTCAAACTTTCTGGATTACAAATAGAATAATCTGAAGCTTCAAAGACGCAAAGGGGGATTCTCTGAAAAATATGAAGAAGTGGAAAATATTTTAGTGGCAACCCTGTAATTCCCATAGGCCAAAAGGGAATGTGTCAAAAAAAAAAAAAAAAAAAAAACAAAACAAACAAACAAACAAACAAAAAAAAAAACAAACAGGCTGAGTGATGAGCAAGCAGAGTCCAACCCTCCATCTCGAATCTGAAAAATTAACTCACTCAGACAATACTGCTTCAAGTACAGTCATGAAGACAGATGGAGCTGCAGAAATTCACACTAGAGCAAAGAATGGCATCAAGTAGCCTATCATCGTAATCTCAGGCACCTCCCTATTAAAAGTCATTCAGAAAATATCCTTGAGGACTTGAAGGTGAGGTCCATTGCTGCTTCTCCTCCCCCAATACAATACCTTTTCCAGGACCACCTGATGAATTAAGACATTTGTTTAAATAGAGGAAAGTGAAAAAGGGGAAAGCACTGAGATTTGGAAAAGCTAGCAGCTAAAGCCAGAAACAAAGTTAAGGTCCTTGTGGCATCCAGAACTGGGGGGCAGAAGACTGGAAAAGGGGAGGGAAATAAATGGCGGGTTCCTGCTGTCCTTTGGCTTTTGTGTTTTTCCCCTGCCTCCCTTTCCTCCCAACAGCTCATGCAGCTATTGGCCTGCTAGAGGGGATGTAATGCCCAGACCAACTTTTTATTGAGCTTATGCAGCTAACAAACTTGTAAACAGCGCCAACTGACAATATTTTGCTGAATATTACAGCTTATGTCCACTAAGCACACCTCTCTCTGAGATTAAAAATAAACAAAAAAACCCAAAGTAAACAAATACTGAGAGAATGAAGAGACACATCTTAATCTTCCAGGAAGGCAAAATAAAAAAACGCCTCATGGCTTGGTCCCAGGCGTTTACCATGCCTAGAGTGCAGCTGCTGTCACCACTGTCTCCCCTCCCTGCCAGTGGCTAGGCAGAGGTGGGGAAGCTTGGGCGTGCTGCAAGTACAGCATTTGCTGGTGTTGACACCCTCCTGGGGCTGTGGTGGCAGACTGCTTTGTCAGGAGCCCAATTCCTGGGGGTAGCAGAAGGAGCCCAGGTCCTCAAGGCAGCCTGAGATGGCAGCTCACACCTCAGCGGGGTACCCTGCCCCTTTTCTCCAGTGCAGTTCAGCATTGAGGTTGTCTATTCCCAGTCGGCGATAAAACCTGAGCTGTTTTCCTTGCAGGTTCCCTCTCCTTCCCCCAACTTGGGGGAGTAGTAGGAGGGAACAGGGGAGGATCACTGAGGGGGCAGAGGGATACCCCGGGGATCGGTGACCTGGCCCTCTTGCAGGTTCTTCACCAGTTGTGCAAGCCAGCGTTTTGTGGTGGTGTCATCTTTTAGCACCTGGGCGAAAGTCGTGTCTTTCAGCTGGTCAGGGAGGCACTGCCTGAGCGCTTCACGTGCCCTACATCAGAAACAAACACACCAACCAGGGAGACCAACAAATAAACCCACATTTGGGGGACAGGTAAGAGCCCCCTCATTATACATAAATATCCATAATTCTGGGATATCTATAGCTCTGGATATTATATTCTGGGATTCTATAGCTCTGTCAAGTTACTTTAAGAATTCAAAATTCTTTAATGTTTCTATTAGTTATAGCTCAGAGATTTCCAGGATCTGTAGTCTGCAAACATTTTCAGAATGATGCCCCAATGTAGAATGTTATGACAAAGCAAAGTGGAACTAAACAGTATAGTAATTTACATCAACTCAATTTTTTACAATAAATACTGTCAATATATTCATGACATAAATGTATGGGTAATAAAAAAAGAAATATAAGGGTTATAGTAAATAAAACATTTCCAAAATCAGTACATTTATGGGATATAACATGAACTTTAATTTTAAACTAATACAAATTTGTCTATTTACAAAAACTGTTTCAGTTTTATAGTTAAACCTCAATAAAAGATGACGAGTAAAAACAAAATTATGGTAGCTACGTTATTGAACTTTTAAATCTTTCATTTTCTTTAAAAGATGACCAGCAGAAGGTCAAATTTGAAAACCTCAAATAGGTAAATGTTAACAATATGTCAAGCTGTTTCAAAAAAAGTGATGGCTTTTGTACTTGGACTATTCTCTTTGTACAAGTAGAAATATAAGTAAACATTTTCAAACTGGAGAAAACAGGAACCACTGAAGAACAGGACAAAACAGTAGAAGAAATAACTAGGATTTGAATATAGCTCAGTGGGAGGAGATAGAATTCATATTAAATCAAGTTATCCCTATTCCTAGGAACACAGAAATTACCCCATTATGTGGTTGAGCAGAATCTGAGCAAGTGGCTTTAAGCATAAATTATGGATTGGCAAAGCAAAAGGTCAAACATTTCTAAAGTGCATTAGATCTACAATGTATGATTTCTGGCAGAAAGATTATGAACGTAAGGAGATAAAAATAATTAGCTCAAGGAAGGAACTTACAGGAATCAAATAAAGAACTGGAACTATTACCCAAGAGCCCTCTGGGCATTTTCCCTTTCTAAGAGATCTTTGAAAATATGCCTCACTTTCTGACCACTTGGATAGCTATATACAGTTCAAACCACAGGAGTAATGAATCATAAAGCTTCCCTAGAAATTATCTGGACTTTGGAATTTTAGAGTAGGGTACAGAGAGACAAAATGAACACAGGGAAATTACAAAATTACAGTGGATAGATACAACTCTGATGAATTTTTAAATTCAGGACTTCAGATTTTAGAAGAGATTAATCAAACTGTCTTAGAAAAACTAAATATAGTTATATTCCTTCCTTCTACTAAAGATAAAGGAGTTATGCTATGGAAGGGGCAACAATTAGCCAGAGTACTTCCCCCAAATCCTAGAAATCCTGTAAATGTTTACCTGGGATTATCTGAGAGTCGAAGGTAACATCTCACTACATGCTTCAGCAGACGGGCAGAAGGCTCTTTGGATAGCTGCAGGACCATCTTACCCTAGTTCCCCCAAACAGGGTGGTAGAGTCAGAAATAAAAAAAAAAAAATTCTCGTTGACATTGGACATCAGATATTCCAAGAATCATTATATAAGGTTCCATAGTTGTTATCTAAAGCTGCTCAGTGTCAACTGCAAAGGGACTAAGCCCTGGGATCAGAAGTAGCTGCAAAAAGGGGGATGATAAAAGAACTTACCAAGATCATGGCAACGTGGGAGAAACGCTCATATGTTTGACATATGTAAGCCAAACCAGTGTCATCTAGGAGTATCTTCTGGAGGATGAATGTAGCAACCTGAATGAAGTAAAACAAAATCAAGGAGTCCAAAATACTGCTAAGACTTGTTTTCCAACTATTTATTCATTCTCCCCAAAATAATCATGAATTATCCACAACTTGATGAGAAAGTCATAGTACAAAAAGTATTATACATAATACTATTATATTGAACATTTTTCTCAACTCCAACATAGAAGGAATTAAAAAATATTAGACCAGTTCAAGTCAAACAATTGTTATGATTCTTTTTCTTGGCTGCTCATCAGAACCAACTGTGGGAATTATTTTATCTTACTACTTTACTGGGATAGAACAGAAAGTCATTAGAGAGCAAAGTAAGAGATAAAAGTCCTAGAAAATACAGCACAATAATGCTGCGAAAGCAAGACACCAGAATAAATGAAAGAGAAATCATCAGGCTGGCCCAAGACTTTACTGCAACAGTCAATACTAGAAGACAATAGGACTATGACTTGATATATATAAAGAACAGAAATAATACACTTATGCAGTGAGAAGCAGGTTCAGAGAAAAGGGAGAAACTTATGTTTATTTTTTTAATTTTTACGTAGAGACTGACGTGTAGGCCAGAGACGCGGTGGGGTGAGAGGTGAGGTGCAGTGGTATGTGTGAAAGGATTCACTAGAGACAGTGTGGGGAGCAGAACAGGTGGATTTATTGAAATACACTGCTAGGGGAAGCAGCGGGCAAGGGAGGAGAGGTCTGCTGTGCCATTCTGTGGGATAGTTCCCAGGCCAGGGATCAAATAGTCTGTAGTAGTGATAGTGCTAGGACTTAACCCCTATGCCACCAGGGAGGCCCTGTTTAACTTGATATTCTTCTGAAGGCTCTGGGTTTTAAATTATCATTTCATAACAGTTTTTATTCAATAGTGAAAACATTCACAAAGGTTTCAAAAAGCCCCAAGGGAGGTAGAAAATGAAACCAGGATCAAAAACAAGTAGATCAAGAGTCAACACAATGTAGACTATAAGATAAAAGCACATACTGTTTTAGAAAGTTCACTTCCAGATTCCATTATGCGCAAACACAAAGGAATAATTTCTGTTGTCAACAAAAAGTTGATTACTTCTTGCTCATCTGTTTTCACCAGGGCCCCTAAAGAAAATGTAGACAAATTTATTTCAAAGTGAGGATTTCCAATTAAAATTAACTTATATTGTTCATGAAGCTAATTTCTTCTTTGTTATGATGAAGGATTAGATCAAAGATTAAACACATCCCTTCTTTTATAGTATAAGCATTTAATACTATAAAATGTCCTTTAAAGACCTGCTTTAACTCTGTCTACAAATTTTTGTTTTTACTTTATTCAATTTCAAATATTTTCTGATTTCTGACATATTATTTCATTTATATTCAAATTTGCCTGGATAACCTTTGAACTGTAAAAAAAAAAAAGTCTTGGCCGAAATAGTCACCACTGCTTCTTCTCCAAATTAACTTGGAGAAAGTGAGTTTCAGAAAATATATGCAAGAATGGACAACTAGTTTAATACTGTCCAAATACTTTTTCCATTCTTCCACTGCTTTTATTCTTACATCATCCAACTGCAGTGGTCAAAAGAGAGCAAAAGTGTGATGACTGAATCACGTTAAGGACATCAAATTTTTTTTTTGGCAGAATCATTCTGCTGTTTTTAACCCTATGAAAGAAATTTATCTAGCTTAAGGAGCAGAAAAGAATACACTGGGAAAAAGTTTCTAATTAGAGTACCACTTGGAAGGAAATATAAAAAACAGAAACATTCATTTGGAGTATCTGCGATAACACTTCAAAAGTAGGAAAAAATGTCTCTTAGAAGTAGGTCTTAGAAATAGCAAATTTTAACTTATACTTCTAAATTCGTGCTTTATAATCAAAGAGATGAGAATACAGGTTAAATATAACAATAATCTAATCAAAATGATGCTTGTATAGCCAATGATCTTATTATTTGGGTAGTATCTGAGTAAAAGCTATGAGAAAAAGACATTGAAAGAAGAATCATTTGAAGAAACCTTCTTGAACGTATTTGCATTTCACAAGTACAAAGACAGTTCTTTACTACTTTAGAGTCTGAGTTCTAAAATAGCTGATCCATCATTTTCTTTTCTTTTTTTTTCCCACATTTTAAAAGGACAGGTTTTTTAGGGAAAGGGGAAAGAAAAAGAGACATCTGTACAGTCACAGGCAGTCAGGAGAGCTGCCTGATATATCATTTTTTGGGAAGATTTATTTATTTATGCATGTAAGAGCTGGGGTACAAGGCCAGAGATGTGGAGTGGTAAGAGGATTCACCAGAGACAGAACAGGCAGATTGACCAAAGTACACTGCTGAGGAGAGCAGTGGGCCAGCCAGGAGAGGTCTGCTGTGCAATGTGGGTTGCTCCCTGGCCAGCAGGGAGCCGGGGATCAAACTTGTGCTGCAGAGGAAACGGACAGCTTCATAGGTTGCGTGTTAACCCCTTGTGCCACCAGGGAGGTCCTGATATATCATTTTCTTAAGTAAAAAGTATTTTAGACACATCTCTCATAGTAAACGTATACGGAAACATTAAGCGTGCAAAATTTAAGTGCAATAGCAGAAGGCAAACTCCTCAAAACAAAACAGCTCAGAAGACAACACAAAACCCAAATCAAATTCTTATTTCTGTAATAATATTCTCTATCTGTTGACTGGTTTTCACTCGCCCTACAATTCCAGTAAATATTTCTACATATATCCTGAATTTAATCCCAAATGTTGGCACTTAATAATAGCCTTACTAACAATGCTCAGAATGGGGTTTCATAAAAGTCATCGTATTTTTATGGTCACCCCCAGTGGCGCAGCAGTTGAGCGCTGGGTTGCGAAGCTGCCCGCGGCCTCTGCGGTGCCAGTTCAATCCCTGGCTGCTCCCCGGCCACCGGAGGAGGGTCCCACATGGCGCGCAGACCTCTCCTGCCGCCCGCTGCTCCCCTCAGCAGTGTACTTCGGTCCTTCTGCCTGCTCTGCTCCCTGCTCTGGCTCTGGTGAATTCTCTCACCCTCCCGCGCTTCTGACTGTACCCAGTGCATGTATAAACAAAACAAACAAACAAATAAATAAATAAAACATGCCTCTATAAAAAAAAAAAGTCATCATATTTTGGATAACATTTATTAGTGAAAATACTCTACATCAAAGTAACAATTAATGAACAAAACGATAAAAGGTAAGATAGGACACCCAATTTAAGACCATTATTATGAAGATTTCAGACTTGGAAAACAACCTTAATAACTTACCAATAACTCCAAGACTGGTTAGCCGAAGATACTCAAAGGGACGTGTTTTGCTGACAGTGTGCAAAAACGGGTACAAAAAAAGTGGGATGTGTGCTGCAAGAAATGCTGACCTAGAATAAAAAATAATTTAGAGCCTAGAATTAATTCTAAGGATTTTGAATATTCAAATTTCTAGGTGATAAGTTCTTTAAGTTCTAAATACTGTCTATGCAAGAAAATCTTATAAAACACTGATGCTGGTCATCAATGAGGATCAGTGGTCACTTTTACCCTCAGGAACATGTGGCAAATTGGTTGTCAGAAATTTTTGGATGTCACACCTAAGGGGATACTACTGGCGTCCAGTGGGCAGAGGTCAGGAATGCTGCAAAACATCTTACAATGTACATGATATTTCCCACTAGCCCTCTGCCCCACCCCAACACTGCAAAGACTTATTAAGCCCAAAATATCGTTGGTACCAGGGCTGAAAAACCTGAGTTCAGGCCAATGATTAAGAGAATATGTGATTTTCCTTGTAGTCAGCACCAAATGCATTAAAAACTGATAAAATACCAAAGTATAGATTTTTAAAACTAGTTCATAAAATGCAATCATGTACCCAAGAGATTCTTCTAGATGTACTCTTCCATCAAACTTACCACCGAGTAATAATCACCACACGTACATTGAGACAAGATCTTATAAACTGATACAACAAAATAAAGCATAGTTAACAGGTTTATCTGCTATGCTTAACTGCATACTTTTCCTTTTTTTGGTTAGGGCATTTCACACACAGCAAACATTTAAAAAATATTTCAATCTCAGCTAATATGTCAGGAAACTAATTGGAAATCAGTCTACTAATTTACATTATTTAGAGTTATATCTTGCAGGAGAGCCAACACTCAAAAATATTTTTTTAATATATCTTTGACTTAACACTGATTTATAACATTATTTAAATTTCTGGTATACAGTATTTTAATTCATCATCTGTTTATACCATATCATGACCACCACCTAGTTTCCATCTACAACCATAAAAATAACTCCCTTTAGCGGTTAGTCACCCTCCACCCCCTCCTTCCCTTCTGTAACCACCAATCTGGTCTCAGTAAATCTGTTTTTGTTTTGTTTGTTTGCTTGCTTTGCTCTTTATATCCCACAAGTAGAATCACAGTATTTGTCTTTCTTCTTATGACTTATTTCACGTAGCACAATATCCTTGAGGGTACTGGTCATCCAAGTTGTCACAAATAGCAAGATTTCATCTTTTCTCATAGCTAGGTAGTACTCCACTGTGCATGCATGTGTATGTGTGCCAGTGCGCATCAATTTTTAATCCATTTATCTACAGATGGATACTTATGTTGTTACCATATCTTGGTTATTATAAATAATGCTGCAATGAACATTAGGGGTATAGGTTATCTTTTCAAATTACTGTTTGCATATTCTTCAGAAAACAGCCAGAAGTTGAATAGTTGGGATCATATGGTATATCTACTCTTAAATTTTTTTGAGGAGCCTTCATACTGTTTTCCACATTGGCTGTACCAAATTACATTCCCACCAACGGTGTCCTACCATTCTCTTTTTCTATATACTCATCAATACTTGTTGTTTTCCTTTTTGATAATAGCAATTCTCATAGTTGTGAGACAAAAACTCACTATCAACACTCAAAATTTTTAACACTCAAAGTACTCTTGCATTTCTTGAAAAACAGTAACTATTCTAGAGCTGTCAAGGGTCAGTGCCAACCAAGCACTCAGATTTTATAAGGAAACTTACAAGAGAGAGGAAGGCTTTAATTAGATGACGATTAAGTGTCTTAGAGCCACAAGTTACAAAGCAGGGTCCTCCCCGGTGGTGCAACGGGTTGAGCCCAGCGCTGTGAAGGTGTCCGCAGCCTCTGCAGCGTGGGCTTGAAATTCCCGGCCGGCCAGGGAACTACCCACAGGGCACGGCAGACCTCTCCTGTCGCAACTGCTACTCCCCTCAGCAGTGTCTTCGGTCTGTCTACCTGTTCTGCTCCCCACTGTTTCTGGTGAATTCTCTCATGCTCCCACGTCTCTGGCCTGTACCCCAGTTCTTGTATAAATAAATAAATCTTAAAAAAAAAAAAAAGTTACAAAGCAGGATTTCCCTTCTCTTAATTTGTCAGATTTGGCAGGAAGACAAAATGTTTCAATTTGTATGCCAATCTCATCTACTACACAGGTTGCTGAGAATCCTGTTTGTTAAGAAAGATTTTGAAGTCAAATCTGGACACAGTGAGAAAAGGCCCTTCAAATATTTACTAAACTCTCACATGGCATAGCGATGGCTACATGGGTTCAGGAGGGGGCTGTATGCCTGACCTTCCCTCAGATGTGACCACTACTCCTTTAAAGTTCATTACTATAAATGGGTAAAGAGCAATGAGATGGTATTTTTTGGTTTTAAAAAGGAAGGAAAATTTGACACATGCTACAACATAGATGAAACTTAAGGACATCATGCTAAGACAGACAAGCCAATTACAAAGAGAAAAGTACTTTATGATTAGGTATTCACAGTAGTCAAAAGCAAAAATACAGAAAGTAGAACAGTGGCTGACAGAGGCTGGAGTTTGGAGAAATGGTGAGTTATTATTTAATGGGTATACAGTTTCAGGTTTTTAAGGTGAAAAAAGTTATGGAGATGCATGGTGGCGATGGCGATGACATTATGAATGTATTTAATACCATTGAAATGTACACTTAAAAAGAGTTAAAATGAAAAATTTATGTTGTGTGTATTTTACTACAATAAGAAAAAGCAAAAGAAAAATATAAAAGAATAAGTTAAACAACACTGTATCATTATTACATGTGGTGAATTAGAAACCAGTAATTCTTTAGGGAAAAAAAGTAAATGTGCGTCCTGAAGAGTCACACCCCTACACATACACCCTCCTGCATGTCCTTCTTCCTACTATACAGAAAAAGTTTGGGATCACATTTGATACAAACCTTTGGTCAGAGACTTATCCAAAGCATTTACCTGGTTTCTGGGTGTGATGCCACACATTGCAATAATGCCAGAGCATTGCAAACTCTGTTAGACTGGTGTGCTGTCAAGGTGGGTGGGTTGATAGATGGATAAATATTTACAATTTCCTAAAAGAAAGGAAATTAGCACCGGGAAATTAGCACAACTTATTATAAAATTCATTGCCATGGTATTAAAACAAGAAACTTAAGGGCCTCCCTGATGGCGCCAGGGTTAAGACGCAACCTATGATGCTAACCGCAGCCACTACAGCACAAGTTGGATCCCCTGGCCAGGGAGCTACCACATGGCTCGGCAGACCTCTCCTGGCTGGCCTGGTGTTCCCCTCAGCAGTGTATTTCAGTCAATCTGCCTGTTCAGTTCCCCACTATGTCTCTGGTGAATCCTCTCACTGCCTGCACCTCTGGCCTGTACCCCAGTTCATGTATGCATAAATAAATATATATATTTTAAAGATTTTATTTTTTTATTTATGCAATAGCTAGGGTACAGGTTAGAGGAGTGGGAGGGTGAGAGGACTCACCAGAGACAGAGTAGGGAGCAGAACAGGCAGATGGACCGAGAGCATTGCTGAGGGGGAGCAGCGGGCACAACGGGAGAGGTCTGCTGCGCCATATGGGAATCTCCCTGACCGGCCGGGAATTGAACCTGCACTTCAGAGGCTGCAGACAGCTTCACAGCTCAATCTGCTGCGCCAACAGGGAGGCCCATAAATAAATAAATATTTAGAAAAAAAAATTTGAAACAAGAAACTTAAAGCCCTCTAATTCCACATACCCTGTAAGAACTGAATCATCAAAGAGGGAGCAGAAATAAAATATTCCTGTCATTTAATCAAATATATACTTAAGCCATCTGCGACACTTCTACATATCTCTGGGAAGATTTGTATGGGAGCAACTATACTTCCTTTTACACCCTGTATCTGCAGAGGCTTTCAGATTACTTTCGGTATTATTCATAGTAATCAATTTACATTCATAATCCCTCCTTTTGTCAACACACTTCTTTAAGTTATGGTGAAGAGATAGTTGGCCTAGAAAAAGAAAGCAAGTGAACTATAGTGACTCATAAAGAAGTCTGAGTATGGTCAGGTAGCAAATGAAAAATGGAAGAAACAAGAACATTGGTAGGGATGTATACAAACAACAACGCATGTATTTGCTCTCTGTAAAAGATGATCATTTACTAAATATAATACCGTTTATTTTAATAGCAAAATTTTACATAGAAAATGTTCCTATAAGAAAGATTAGTTTCGGGGGCCTGCTTCCCCGGTGGCACAGTGGTTGAGCGCTGGGTTGCGAAGCTGCCCGCAGCCTCTGCAGCGCCAGTTCGATCCCCAGCTGCTCCCCGGCCATGGAGGAGGGTCCCACATGGCGCGCAGACCTCTCCTGCTGCCCGCTGCTCCCCTCAGCAGTGTATTTCGGTCCTTCTGCCTGCTCTGCTCCCCGCTCTGGCTCTGGTGAATTCTCTCACCCTCCCGCGCTTCTGACTGTACCCAGTGGCTGTATAAATAAATAAATAAATAAATCTTTAAAAAAAAAAAAAAAAAAAAAAAAAGATTAGTTTCTTGGCTACGTACAGCAGGGATAGAATACCTATTTCACATGCTGCTCCCCTTAGCAATGTACTTCAGTGAATCTGCCCGTTCTGCTTTCCAGTCTCCAGTGAATCTTCTCACCCCACCCCCTCAGCTCTGGTCTACACCCCAGTTCTATGCAAAAATAAACAAAATCTTTAAAAAAAAATTAAGCAATAGATGATCATTCTACTATCTTGATATCTTAGGACTATACCTTATCAATTTATTCTCCACCAGGGACCATTCTGGTCAGAACCAAGTAAGTTTTCTATTCTTTGATGCCTAAGTGTACCTATCTTAAATTCTACAGCCATTTTTCTCTTGATCTTAACATTTTGTTTCCCCAGAATATATCCTGCGTCCTTATACTTTTCTTTTTTTAAGATTTATTTATTTATACAAGCACTGGGTACAGTCAGAAGCGCAGGAGGGCGAGAGAATTCACCAGAGGCAGAGTGGGGAACAGAATAGACAGACTGACGAAATACACTGCTGAGGGGGGCAGTGGGCACAGCAGGAGAGGTCTGTGCGCCATGTGGGACCCTCGCCGGTGGCCGGGGTATTGAACCGGTGCTGCAGAGACTGTGGGCAGCTTCGCAGCCTAGTGCTCAACTGCTGCGCCACCAGGGGAGGCCCCGTACTTATACTTTTCTTATTGCCTTTAAAAAAAAAAAATTTTGCATAGAAGAACTGGGGTCTAGGCCAGAGGTGCAGGAGTCGGGGTGGGGGAATGAGAGGATTCACCAGAGACAGAACTGGGAGCAGAACAGGCAGATTTACTGAAATACACTGCTAAGGGGAGCTGCCTGAGAAACAGGAGCGGTCTGCTGCCCCATATGTAGGTTAGCTCCCCATATGTAGGCTAGGGATTGAACTCAAGCTGTAGTGGTGCTAGTGCTGAGATTTAACCTCTAGGCCACCAGGGAGGCTCTTATACTTTACTTTTCACCTTTGCCACCGGCCATTAAGAATCATTTTGTCGTTTCCCTAAAGTTAAAGGTCTCAAAGTGCAGTTCTTAGACCACCTACATCAGAATCACCTGGGAGTGGAGGGAGGTGCTTGTTAAAAAAATACAGATTTCTAATCTCAAACTAATTAAATCTCTTGTGTAGTATCCAATAATCCTTAAGTGCTTTTTGTGAATAAATTTTTAGAAATGCTAACATTTAACAAATAATCCTCCTAAAATCTTCACAATCATTTAGACAAAGGCAGAGAGATAAATAAATGTGATGTTACAGGATTGAAATGCCACTTTTACTCACCTGTAAAAGTGCTGCAATAGTACCAAATGAATGCCACAGCATGGGTGCAAGGTCCGGAACAGATTCTCGCTTCTTACTTAGTTCCAGCAAAGCATTCTCCCTTGTCTCGGGACTGGACAGCTCATTGATCCACTGATAGATCTTTTCTCTATCCACTTGAGCCAGTGCGGTTGGCACAGGCTTCAGGTGAAAAACAAGAAAGCAAACATGAGTTTCATTAGATTCGAACCAAGTGTCACTTTGTAGTACTGCTTAGAGTAAATATATTTTTCATAAATACCGAGGGTACTTTTCTAAATGTATACATTTGACGTAAACAAATTTAACTCCTTTGGCAGTGTACTTATCAAAATCTAGAATGCACATACCCTTAACTAAGTCCACGTTTAAGAATTTATCCTAGGGGCCTCCCCGGTGGCGCAGCGGTTGAGCACTGGGTTGCAAAGCTGCCTGCAGCCTCTACAGCCGGTTCGATCCCCGGCTGCTCCCCGGCCATCGGAGGAGGGTCCCACATGGCGTGCAGACCTCTCCTGCCGCCCGCTGCTCCCCTCAGCAGTGTACTTCGGTCCTTCTGCCTGCTCTGCTCCCCGCTCTGGCTCTGGTGAATTCTCTCACCCTCCCACGCTTCTGACTGTACCCAGTGCATGTATAAACCAAACAAACAAATAATAAATAAATAAATAAGACATGCCTCTAGAAAAATTAAAAAAAAAAAAAAAAAAAAAAAAAAAAAAAAAAAAAAAAGAAGAAGAATTTATCCTAAAGATATACTTGGGCTATACCAAACACATACTAGGATGTTACTGTGGCCTTGTTTTAAAAGCAGAAACTTTAAGTAATAGCTATCAATAAGAAACTGGTTAAATATGCATGGTACCATTTTTATATAGAACACTATATTTCTAAAAAAAAAAAAAAGAGAGATAGCTCTCAATGGACTAAATGAAAACTAAAACAAAGTGCAGAACAGTATATACAACGTGTTTACATTGATATACATACACATAATGCTTATATACTCAAGCACAATGTTTCTAAGAAGACATATAAGAAACTATTAACTATAGTTATCTCTAAGGTTGGGATTTATATGGGAGACTTTTCATCCTATACAATAAAATCTTTTAAAACTTTTTCTTGTGGGGCCTCCCGGTGGCGTAGCAGTTGAGCATTCGGTTGTGAAGCTGCCCGCAGCCTCTGCAGCACTGGTTCAATCCCCAGCTGCTCCCCGGCCACCGGAGGAGGGTCCCACATGGCACGCAGACCTCTCCTGCCGCCCGCTGCTCCCCTCAGCAGTGTACTTCGGTCCTTCTGCCTGCTCTGCTCCCTGCTCTGGCGAATTCTTTCACCCTCCCGCGCTTGCTTCTGACTGTACCCAGTGCGTGTATAAATAAATAAATAAATCTAAAAAAAAAACAAAAAACAAAAAAACTTTTTCTTGTGCCTATAATTCTTGAAAGAAAAGTTACCCTGTCCCCACCCATTATCGGTCCCTCCCCAATAATTCTGTCACCACCCCCCCCACACCTTGATGGAGCAGAAAACCTATGTGACTTGAAAAATCTCACCTTTCTAATGTATCTTGTACATATTCTACCTCTATCTCTTTGAGAATCACTCATTTCTTACTCATGTAGTAGGGACTTGTACCAAAAGACATGCAGAATATGTGTTCACTGCTGTGCTGACAATCACAGTATTGTCCCCCAATTTTAGCATCTCTATAATCTTCTTACTTGTCAAATAGCCTTGTGGTCTTAGTTAAATCCCTTAATTATTCTTATCTGGAAAATAAGATGGCGGACTAAAAAAATGATTACTGCTACTATTTTTTTTTTTTTTAAAACTTTTTTTTTTTTTTTTTATAGAGGCATGTTTTTATTTATTTATTTATTTGTTCGTTTGTTTCGTTTATACATGCACTGGGTACAGTCAGAAGCGCGGGAGGGTGAGAGAATTCACCAGAGCCAGAGCAGGGAGCAGAGCAGGCAGAAGGACCGAAGTACACGGCTGAGGGGAGCAGCGGGCGGCAGGAGAGGTCTGCGCACCATGTGGGACCCTCCTCTGGTGGCCGGGGAGCAGCCGGGAATCGAACCGGCGCTGCAGAGGCTGCGGGCAGCTTCGCAACCCAGCGCTCAACCGCTGCGCCACCGGGGAGGCCCACTGCTACTATTTCTAGCTCTAAAATCCTAACAAATTCATGGTGATTGCTACCCTTATGCCCAATATTTTCTCACCTAGTTCCTCCCAAACAATGAGGAATAAAAGGGTGGGCAGACAGAAAAAAGCATCTATGTTTATAAGACATCACTAAAGTTTTGAGGAATTAACTTGCTCACTCCATCCAACTATAAAACATATTCCAATGTTTTCTTCCACTGTATGGCAGATTCTTGCAGTATTTACACGTTCCCATTATACCTCAGTATGATAGAATTGCACAGAGGGATAAGTTGAAGAACAAAACGGACAACTGTCTTTGCTGAGGAATAGAATGAGTCTAAGGTGGACTCTGAGGTATATTCACATTTACTCTACTAAACTGAACAGCTTTCTATAAATAAGATTATAAGCTTTTAGCTTGATGCTTATCAATTCATACTTGCTTGACAAAATGAATCACAAAGTATTCTGCTAAGTGGGCTGAAATACCATGCAGCTCAAGTCTTCTCCAAGTGCCACAGAGTGATCTGCTAAAAGCCGTATTTTGACACCATTTTAATGATGTTCCTTCCTCAAGAAAACATGTTTCTAAAACAATATGGTGTAGAAGGAATAGGACAGTTTTCCCCTCTCCCAACAAGAGCAGTATTGTCCAAACACTTGCCCTTTCTATGCATCTCTATAGTTAGGTTAAGTTAGTTAAGTTAGGTTCTTAACTTAAAAAATTATTTTTGGAAGTGTAATTCCCGCCAGAAGACAGGGTGTCCTTAGAGTAGTACATCACTTCAAAAGTTTAGTGGAAACCAGGGCTAAACTTTTAGCTCTGGGTTTCCTGTCTTGGACCAACAATCTAGTAAATAAAGGGAATCTTACAGTCACTGCACCAACAGTAAATCTATCTTGGTTATTCATTATTCAGTCCAGTCAATATCTCCTAAGTCCTATTATTCAAACACCACCATAAGTAAGCTCCATCATCCCCATTAAATTCAGTCTGTGACTCATATCCAGCATGTCTCTAGCCCTCTCTGCCCATGGGAGCCCACGCTGCCCTGGTAGCTACCAATGCACAGGTTCTGAACACCAGGCCTCATCCCTCTCTATATGTTCTCTTTCCAGAGCTGGCCTGACTCCAGTAGAAGAGACAGTGCCCCTTGAGTGGTGCTGGCACTGGAGGGCCAATGCCTGAGGTCTACTTGGGTCCCTAGGCCACGGCAACCTGCTATTAGCAATATACCAACTTTTGAGGCTGCTTGTGGAAACTGCAGCATCAGTGAGACTTTGGTTCTAAGAGTTGGGGACATCAGGTAGGTATAATGCAGTTCTCTCAGGTTTGGTGCTATGGAATCTGTAGCCATTATAGCATGGTAGGCAATGAGGGCAGTTTGGTACCAGGAAATACCTGGGATAAGAACCCTCCTTTTCATCATTATTGAATTTTGCTCCAATTTAATAGCAGGAGTTGGTTTATACCCACAGAATACCTACTTGTTATGGGGGGAATACAATTATTTCTTTTTTCCCCCATTTTAATTTATTTTTATTTTTTCCCTGAATATTCAGATTTTTTTATTTTAACATTTATCATTGTTTTAATTTTTAAAAAAGATTTATTTATTTATACAAGAACCAGGGTACAGGCCAGATGCATGGAGGGTGAGAGGATTCACCAGAGACAGAGCGGGGAACAGAACAGGCAGACTGACAAAATACACTGCTGAGGGGAGTAGCGGGCGAGACAGGAGAGGTCTGCCGCACCATGTGGGATTCTTACTGGCTGGTCAGCTGGCCGGCCAGGATCAAACCCACACTGCAGAGGCTGCAGACAGCCTTACAGGGGGCGCTCAATCACCTGCGCCACCAGGGAGGCCCTGTTTTAATTTTTTAAACAATATTTGCTTTCCTCTACCCCCTCAGATTGAGTCCCCATAGAATACAATTATTTCTTAAAATAAAAATGGGAGCTAACATGTATTGTGCTTACTCTGTCAGGCACTGCATAAATAAACACCATCACCGCATTGGTTTTATAGATAGGGAACTGAGGAACAGGGATACTATCTAAAATTAAGTGGCAAAGTCGGGGTTTTAACCCAGGCAGCCTGGCAACAAAGTCCATACTCTAACTGCTTTGCCAATGCTGCTTCTAACCTGCCTGAAAAATTAGGTCTGATCTAAAGATGACTTTCTAAAAAACTATTACTGTGATTTAAACAGAGATAGAGAACTTACAAGAATCTAAGACAAAAGTTAAAATGTAACTGCCATTACTTCAGCAGAATCTGCAAGAACAATCAACACCAGGAGCAATTTCATTGATGTCAAGAAAAATTTACTTATTGAGACTATGAGGCACTTAACAACCATCATTTTAAAGGAAAAGTCATTGAAATAGTTTTACATATGACTCAGACAAGGGCATAATTTAGCAGGCGTGTGCATGTGTGTGCGCATATATATACATACATCAAGTAATTTTATAAGTCAGAAATTCAGTTACTTTTTAAAAAAAAATTTTTTTTTTGAGGCATGTTTTATTTATTTATTTATTTTATTTGTTTGTTTATACATGCACTGGGTACAGTCAGAAGCGCGGGAGGGTGAGAGAATTCACCAGAGCCAGAGCAGGGAGCAGAGCAGGCAGAAGGACTGAAGCACACTGCTGAGGGGAGCAGCGGGCGGCAGGAGAGGTCTGTGCGCCATGTGGGACCCTCCTCTGGTGGCCGGGGAGCAGCCGGGGATCGAACCGGCACCGCAGAGGCCGCGGGCAGCTTCGCAACCCAGCGCTCAACCGCTGCGCCACCGGGGAGGCCCAGTTACTTTTTAAAATTAAGAGAAAAATATCTTTACATATTAAACTACACATTGATTTATCTATTAATTTGTTACTAGACAACTGACAAAATACTTTGGAGACTATCCCTGCATAAAACTCCAAAGCACACCTCTAACACCTTAGGAGACTTTGGTGTTAACAAAAATCCAAAATGTATACAAATCTCCCCTTCTGAATCCAAAGGATCATTTAGGCAAACCTTTCACAAAAACAATAGAATCTAAAAACTGGTTTCTTTCTAAAAGGGAATGAGAAGTGAAAGAGGGGATGGGTGGATGAGGGAAGAGAAGAAACTGTGTGGCATATTTTTGTTTGAAACATGATTTCATTCAATGTCCACAACAATGTGGTTATTATTCTCATTCTACAACTGATGAAACTCTAAGTAAACAATGTAGGCAAACATCACATACCCAGAAACAGTCATTTATGAGGGACTATTAGTATTTGACACTTAATTCCAAGATTAGAAAGCATATGATTGCATGTTTTTAGTTATGGTCTGCTAAAGCCTGTGGTCCTTTCCTTTTAATATGTTTTTAAAAGTTTGTATTATCAAAATTTAGGAAGGAATCACTCTTTTTCTCTTTAACAGGGTGTTAATAGAAAAAGTATTTCAAAACACTTTTTTTCTTTTAACAAAACTTAGCACAAGCAAGACATTAACCATAGTGAGCCAGTCACCAATGGGTTAACTCCAAGAATCACACAGGGTTGTAATTAATAGTTGGTTATCTCTGAAAGAGCTAAACTATGTGAAAAAATACCTAGAAATTAAATAAAAGTGATCGACATTTATCCATAAAAGGAAAATAGGATTTCTCTCCCTCTGAGTGAATTTAAAAAGTTGGTATTGATGACTTTCTTAAATAGAAAGCATTGCTATCAAAAGAATTCTATGTTTATTGACCTGCTGGTTTTCCTACTAATGAATATGGGACAGTGAACAAGGAAAGGAATTAGATTGAGATAGAGATTATTGCCCCAAATCTGGAGGTGACTCAACAGATGGCTTTAGCTGTCTACATAATGAAGATACTCTAAGAAAACACCTTTCTGAGGCCTCCCTGGTGGCAGATGGATTAAAGTCTTAGCGCAATCAAGTTTATTGTCAACCACTGCAGCATGAGTTCAATCCCCCACCAGAGAGCTAACCCACATGGCTCAGCAGACCTCTCCTGTCTCACCCACTGCTACCCTCGGCATTGTATTTCAGTAGATCTGCCTGCTCTGCTCCCCACTCTGTTTCTGGTGAATCCTCTCACCCACACCCGAGTTCTTGAATGCATAAATACATTTTAAAAATCTTAAAAAAAAAAAAAAAAAGAAAACACACTTTCTGAATGATGCTAGAGGAAAACACTGAATTAGCTTACTATTACATCTTTATAAAATAAAGGCCAGGATGTCCTTCAAAATTACTTTTTAAAAATTAAAGTGAAAAAGCAAAGAAAAGTTAGGGAATTGGCTTAAAGCTTCAAAAGGAGACATAGAACCGTTCAATATCGGGGCTGTCCTATAACAGAAGGACAGTGTTTGAATTAGATCCTTCAGAGTGCAGTGTTCTTTCCACTTGCCAAAGAGGAAGGCACCTGGGAGTCCAGCACCGTTGGAACAAAAAAGATATAAAGTGACTAATGATGCTGCTGAAAAGGTGGAAAGTAAGGGGAAACAGTTTAAGTATGTTAGAACTGCCAGTGGAAATCAGTGGGACTTTTTTTTTTTTTTAAATACATACCTAATATCCCCTAAAGGCTTACCTTTGATTGCATCAGATCAGTAGTATAGCATTCACTATAGAAGACCCATTATCCCTGAAGATGTACAGTTTTACTAACCTGACACAAACTCCAATGTCTGTAACAAGTTTTGTTTTTTTTGTTTTTTTTTTTTAAGATTTATTATATTTCTGCATAGAAGAACTGGAGTGTAGGCCAGAGGTACAGTGGGTGAGAGGATTCTCCAGAGACAAAGTGGGGAATAGAACAGGCAGATGTACTGAAATGCACTGCTGAGGGGAGCAGGGGGCAAGACTGCTGTGTGATGTGGGTCAGGCCGGGGCTCAAACTTGGTATTACAGTGGCTGGCGACAGCTTGATAGGGCTGTGTCTTCCACTCCTGTGCCACCAGGGAGGCCCACAAAATGTTTTTGTTTTTTTTTTTTAAGATTTATTTATTTATGAATACAAGAGCTGGGGCAAAAGCCAGAGGTATGTGGGGGGTGAGAGGATTCACCAGAGACAGAGTGGGGAGCAGAATAGGCAGATTGACAGATGTACACTGCAAGGGGAGCAGAGGGCGAGTCAGGAGAGGTCTGCTGCGCCATGTGGGTAGCTCCCAGGCTGGGGTCAAATTTTAAGATGTTTCTCAAGTTATCTCAATTCCTTTTTCTAGCATCCTGCATTCACTTGTGATCACAGTCTTAATGTCTCTCTAGCCTAAGGGATGATTTATCTGTTACTTAAAAAAGAGAACTAAAGATAAATACAAGTTACAAATTTTCATCATTAGATAAAAAGTAAGCATCTTCCCAACTAGTTCAGATTATTATGGGTACTGTTGCATGTATTATTAACTCTTCTCAATTTCTGAGTGATACATTCCTTTACTCAGATCAGAATAATACAGGCAATTTATTCTAATTAAAGGCATGAAAGATTGGGAAATAAGTGGCTCAATTTTTCTGTTTCAGTCTTCTCACTAACCAAATATTCTTGAATGAGTGGTACAAAGGAACTTGTCAAAACTATTGTGCAATCTTAACAGCCTAACAGGTGAAAATATATTTAAAAGTTCAAGTTTCAAATAAGTGTAAGGTATTGTAAAATTAACTGAATACTTATTATAAGTAATGTGCCACAGCTATAAGGGCTTTTCAAAAAATGCTTGAGGGAAAAACTGAAAATAAAAGGAATTGAATAGGTATAGAGTTTGGGGAAGGCATAGGGAAAACAGAACTTTGGTCTCAGGGCCTGGAGAAGACACAGATTTTGAGAGACAAATAAGCTAACCTTTTCTTTGTTTAAACTGCTTTTCCCCTACCAGCAGCAACCTCATCTTTGGACTTCTTTCTAAATTACATGTATAATTTGGGAGAAGAACAAACCCCCTCCCCCCCCCAAAAAATCAGGAAAATATAACCACCTGAGAAATATAAAAGGTACCTCTCCACTCTGAATAGTTACACTTAGAAAAATGGTGACATATGCCACTGGCCTTGGAAATGACAATGTTTTCTCTAACCTAATCACACTCAGTTCACTTCTTTAATTTAAAGTTAAGGCAACTTTTTGGTCCTCCATTTAGTACTCATTCATTTACCTGGTAATGCAATTTAAGTGTACTACTCTCCTTAAGTCACTTCACCTCAGTGAAACCAAAAAGGTTGGGACAGGGTGTTCAGAAGAATGTGTTTAAATCACATAATTCCTTTTTCCCATCATGGCTATGTGCTCTCAGTAGTAACCTCCCTCACCTATCCCGCTTTATCCAGCAAACAGGAACTCTCAACCTTATGCCAGGAACTGTCCTGGTACTGGGCTAACCACAGTATCTCATGCCCCTGGCCTCAAGAGGGAGATAGACAATAACCAAGCAAACAAATACAAAACTTGCAAATTGAGATCAATGCTATAAAGACTACTCAAACAAAAAACAATTGGAGTTTACAGAACTACTTTAAATAGGAGGGTCAGGGAAGGCCACTCGAGGCAGAAACCCAAGGAAAGATCGACCAATTATACCCACAAGCTGTATGTGGACCTAAGAGAGGGGGAGTAAGAACAGCATTCCTGGAGCAGAGATCAGAAACTGCACCTTGAAGTGGAAAAACACAGGCAGAAGGGATGAAACGGCGGCCAGCTTACAGAGCAAATGACAGAAGACGACTGCCTGGAAAGGCAATAAAGACTATCTCGTACAGGTGAGGCCTTACAAGCCTCCGCAAGGTGTCTGGATTTAATCTAAATGCAATAAGAAGCCTTAGCATCTCACGATCCATTTTTCTTGTGAAAAGATCCCGCCGGTAAAATGAGAAGTGTGAGAAAAATTTGAAAGGCAGAAAACCGCAACTCAGACGTAGTAATTATTCACTTTTCTGGGTCTCAGATTTTCCATGTGCAAAGCAAGGAGGTAGAGCCAGAAGCCATTTCCTTCGCGCTACGAGGTGCCGGGCGGTGAGTTCCGAGAGCACCGGCCTTGTCAGGCTGACCGCGGAACTCGCCTCATCCCCGCCGCCGCCGAACACGCAACTGGCGCCCAGAAACTGTTGGTCCGCGCAGTGAATCAATGAATGGTGGATCCCCGCCGCGAGGGAGGGGTTCCGAGCGCCGGACCAGGCCCCGGGGCCGGAAAAGAAGCCTATCGCCGGTGGGAGAGGCCGCGCGAGCCGGCCGGCCGGGGAAGTGGGGCCGGCTCCACACACCCAGGCGCGGGGCGGACCCGGCCCGGAGCCTCGGGGGTAAGGGCCGGAGGAGCCAGAGACCCGGCCCGACGCAGGGGACCAGGGGAGGAGGCCGAAGCGCCGCGCTGAGGCTCCGGGCCCAGCCGGGCGGCACGGGCGCTTACCGCAGCCGTCGCCAGACTGTGCATGTTGGGAGCGGCCGCCGCTCTCCTCCTACCGCCGGACGCGTCCGCCGAGCGTCCCCGCTTCAGCGCCTCTGCCGCCAAAGATGATGAGGCGCCGCAGCCGCCATCCGCCTCCGGCTCGCTCCGCCCCCTTAGCAGCCTCTGACCTTTAACCCCTGACCCCGCCCACACCACCTTTTCCCGCCTCCTGGTCCTTAGCCGAGTTTACAGGGCCGGAGAATGTTCTTTGCCCCTTTAAGATTCGGTACCGGAAATACGTCTGCCACCTACGAGTCCCCGCACCCCCCGACTTCAGGCAGGTATCCCAGGAGAGGGGCATGAACTCTGACCCCCCTCCGGTGGCCAGTGAAGAGCGGGAAAATCCGGGCCGTCTCGGAGGTATGCGCATGCCCACAGGACTGTAAGAGGGGAAATGGTGGGAGGGCGAGAAGTGCCCGACGTGGAAAAGTGCGCATGCGTACTACTTCCCGGCCGGGGCGGGCCTCCCTCGGCGAGACTTCGTTTGGTGGTGGGGCGGAGCGAGGGCACAGGAGAGGCGGAGTTTGCAAGCTAGCGCGCACGCGCCTAGTGTGGTCCGGCGTCGAGTGTGCGTGCGTGCGTGCGTGTTTGCGTGTGGTCACAGTTCCCGCCATCAGCCGCCCTCCCTGACTGGGGGGAGCGAGGGGTCTCGTTCCTACGTGCCGGGTGTCCCTTCCTTTCCTAGCCCGGGCTCCTCCCCCTCCGCACGGACTCGGTGCTTCCGGCAGGCCAGTCGGGGGCTCCGGACCCGCAAGCGCAGGTAAGGCGGGCCCGGCGAGCTTCTCAACTGAGCCGTTTTCCCTAGCCCCCCACCCGCCCCGTGCGGTCCGCCCACTCGGCGTTCACTCTTCTGGAGTTCGCCCCGCGGCTGCTCAGCCTGCCCCCAACCCCTCGACGCCCCCCTGGCCTCGCAGGTACCCTACTTGGGTCCCCCCACCAGGCTTTCGCTCTCCTTTTACCTGGTCTTTAATGTCACTCGCTCCCTCCGCAACCCAACGTGGCCCCTTTTCGCAAGGGCTGTCATCGCCCTCCACTCGCCCCTTAGCGAGGCCTGCTGTGTCTCCAGGTGACTTCCGTTGCCATCCATCCATCAGGCCTTGGACATGGTATTCTTCTCTCTTGACCATTCTTCACTTTCTTTTCCCTAGCCGGCTCTAAGAGGCTTGAGTTGTATTTTTGTCGTGCATTTGGTTGCTTTCCATCTCTAATCATCAGATAAGGTTGTCAGGTTTACCCACTTTAGGTCATTTTCCATGAAAGCGAATTGTAATTAATGGCATAATCCTGTGTCCTGGAGCGTTGGCCTGTAGTGGTTTTGTGGTAGTTCTTTGAAAATTTCTACCTTGTGTAAATACCTTTTTTGGGGTGGCAGTGTCTGACAAGTCTTAACTGGAAGAGATACCTTGAGAACATATGAAGTAGGTATTGAATCTAGTAGGATGGAGCTCAGAGGAGAGTCCTGGGATGGAAATATAGGTAAACGTATCTATGTAATCTGTTAGGTTGATAGTAATTGAAGCTGTGGAAGTAGATGATATTGCATAAAGAGTATAGTGCTGGAGAAGAGGGTGGACCTAAGATGTAACACTGAAGGATTCTTGATAATTTAACAACTGAATGGAGGAGGACAAGTCTTGTAAAAGAGGTGAGAAAAGTAATCAGCAGCATTGAATTTTGCTGAAAGGTAAAGTTGAATGAGGACTGAAAAACCTGGTCACGTTAAAGTAATTGGTTATCATAGAGATGTTTGATAGAGTTTAGGAATGCCTGGATTCGGTATTAGGTCTTGTTCTTTTACTCTTCCCTTTTGCCCAAAGCTTTTTTTTTTTTTTTTTTTTTTTTTGGTGGGACCCTCGCCAGTGGCCAGGGATCGAACTGGCGCTGCAGAGGCTGCGGGCAGCCTCGCAACCCAGCGCTCAACCGCTGTGCCACCAGGGGAGGCCCTTGCCCAAAGCTTTAATTCCATTTATAAATTGATGACTTAAGAATTTTTATTTTCATCCTGTTCCCTTTGTTTTCAATTCTAGATCTAAATAACCCACTGTTTGACACTTCAACTTGATATTTTTAGGAATTTCAAATATAACCAGTCTTAATTTTTCTCTCCATACCCAAATTCTTTCTCCTCCAGTATACCATTTCATTCAGTGCCATATCCCTTTGTCCACTTACTAGTCAAGAATGAAAGCCATTCTTGACTTCTCCTTCACCCCATGCATCCATATCCTTTTCAAGATGGATTCTATTCCAGTATTTGTCTTGAATCTTTCTGTGCATCTTTAGTATCATTTTTCTAGTTTAAGGCACAATCCTCTCTCACCTGGACTTAATGTCACTGATTCCCTGTATTCTCATTTGTAAAATCATCAAATTTTTATTGTTAAGAGGATTAAATGAGATAACCAAGGTTAACAAAAGGTGGAATCATTTTAATACTCTCCTATCTGGTTGCCTTGTTTTCTTCTAGTTTCTTTCACGCTCTTCCCTAAACCCAAACCAACCATATCACCTCTTTATTCAGTGGTGACTTATTTCTCTGCTTAAAATCCCTCATTGAATTTCACGTCACTAACTGTATTACCTGTAGAGTAAAATTTAAAATCTTTACTATTGTTGACAAGACCCTGCGTAACCTGATTCTGTTTCACTAGCCTCATCATTCACTTAGTCACACCAGTTTATTTTCTATCAAAAGGAAATCACATCATATCACTTTGCACATGCAGTTTGATTTGCCAGCATTGTTTCATCATGACCATTCCCCAATTAACTCATTCTTCAAATTCAAGCTTAAGTGGCACTTCTCAAGTAAGCTTTCTCTCAGTGCTCTTTACCCTCTGTCCTCCAAGTCTTACGTCGGTACCCTCTTAAAATCTTTCATCATGCCCTGTACTTTATATCATTTTTTGGAGCTGGCAATTATGTACTTTCTTGTATGATTATCTAAAATCTGTCTCCTAATAGAGTATAAACTAGTAAGTATTTCTGTTTCTCAAGAATTTGTTAAATGAATAAATACACTGGAATCTGCTGTAAGAACCTGCTGTATCTCTTGGAAGCTCCAGTTTACTGATATTTTTGTCATCTGATAACAGGCACCTTTTAATTCTATAAAGGACACAAAAGAAAAAAGGAAAGGGTTTTCCAGCTTTGGGTCATAAATTCATACAGAAACTTTACTAGGTCACCTTTTCCTTTATTTTCAGCAACAACACTACTTATCTCTGTACTTGTATGGCTCTCTTTAGGGGGGAGAAAGCCTCTATAAATCAGAGTGGTTTGTTATTTTTAAAACAGGTTAAACTCAGACCAGTGAGGATGAGATTTCCAAAAATAGTTAAAGGAAAGTTGTCTGTTTAAGTAAGTTGTTGGTAGTGGATCTAGAAGGACTTTAAAATTTAATAACTTGTGTATGTGAAACATGATTTGTGTTGAAAATAGGAAACAGAAAAATAGGAAGTGAATGCCAAACACAGAGAAGCATTGGATCTATATTATGGGTAGTGATGAGCTATTAAAAATGTTTGAAAAAATTTTAGTTGAACAAGGTGAATAAATAAATATTGTAAAATAATATAAGTATAATGATACTGTACTTTACACTTAAAATATGTAAAGTAGGTAGATCTTATGTTAATGATTCTTACAATAATAAAATAATTATTTTTTAATATTTGGGCAGAAATTAATATCAGTCACTAGTATTAGCACTTACTAAGTACTGTTACAAGAGAAGATAATACAGGTTTCTTCCCCAGGCCCTCCATCTCCACTTCAGGGAGAAAGTTACAGAGACAACTAGTGAAAGAGATAAAAAGTAATTCTGTAGAAAAAGGCATTGTGGGGTAAAGGATTCATTTGATGGAAAAATCCTGAGAGAATGGAGACTGAAAAGTGATTGTGTCAAATCATTGATAAAAATGCAGTATGGTAGTGGTTAAAAAGTGGCAAAACAACAAAAGTAATTCTTAGATAACGTGAAAAATGTACTGGTTACCAGACAAGTTGTGGGAGGAAGGAAAGAATAGGGGGGAGAAAGTGATGAGGTTTTGGCACTTGCAGAGTTGGTGGAGGATGTGTCAGTCTTGTTCACATATGAAGGTGTGAAGTTGTCCTCCCAGAATTATAGTTATGTAAACTAGGAAGGAAATCACTAAAACTCAAGGAAAAAAGTGGGTTTTATTGTTAGACTTAGTTTGGCCTCTTACTAACACTGTAACCATGAATAAATTAATCTCACTAAACTTCAGTTTCCTCATCTGTAAAACAGAAATAATAATAATCCCTATCTTTTGGGATTATTGTGAAAATTAAATCAGATAATATATGTATGGTACTGCGCTGTGCAAAAATGTGCTTCTGCATAATAAATGTTGATAAGAGTAATGGCAATTTCATGAGTTTCTGAATTAGGGTATTAGCTATGAAGGGAATGGGTTTTAGGTAAGTAAGAGTGAGATTAAAGCTGATACTAAGATACTTTGAATGATGGTGAAATAACAAATATAGGAAAGTCTGGAGAACCTCTTAATGAGGGCATGAACTGTATCATCTTGGCACTTGTATCCCAACCACCACCATCAAATTGGAGTAGCTCAGTGATTTTTTTACTGAGTAAACAAGTAAGTTTAATATAAAAGCATTCAAGAAGGCAGTGAGAGATATTTGGGTGGAACTTCAAGGAAAGTTGAAGTTTAGAGAAACCCTAAATTTTAGAAATAGATTCATAAGGTCAATTTTGGAAGGAAAAGTAAGAATTCGAAGTTGACCCATCTTTAGAAATTTGTATCCACACATTATGGAAGTGGTATCATTATGTAACAATGTTTATAAAGTCAACAAAAGATATACTCTTTCACTGTCCTCTTAGTTTCAAAATGTAGCAGGGATAAATAAGCTAGGGTACAAATTGATCAAGGTGCATGCTCCTTCTGGACAATCATTTTGTACAAGAGATACATCACCTAAAGTTCTATTGAGAGACCAAGAGGAAGCATTATATTTTAAATGTTTCCAGTAAGATTGTTTGTGGTTTTTAAATAATCAGAGGGTTAATCTTTGTTGTATAAGTGATGATTTATTTATAAACTTTAATTTTGTAAATTGGATATTTTAAAAAAAGGCACACTTATGTTTTCTTTAGTTGAGTTGATGGCTTCAGAAGAACTGGCATAGCTGCAGAATATGAGTAGCTCCCCACGAAGAGTCTATTGCCTTTGGCACAAGCATCAGAATAAAGGTGAATTGATATTACGTAGAGTTTTTCACTAAGTTACTGAAAAGTAAGTAATGTTTGTGTTTTGAATATGTTTCCAAGAGAATGCAAATTGACAAGAATTGACAGTTTTTTTCTTTTTATTTTGTGCTAACAGTTTTATGCTTTAGCATGCTTTCTTTACCACAGAATATTCTCTGGATAAAAATGTTTTCAAAGTAGTTCCTAAAATAAGAGCATTTAAATAACTGTATGAGGTATAGAAGCATTTTTGTGAGTATTCTTTGAACTTTCATAGAATACCCAAAATTGAATAGTAATTTTAATGATAGTGATGAAATTTAGGGAAAGGGGACTATCTTTGGATGTACTTAAGGAATAATTAATTTTTAATTATTCTTTTGTCTTTTTTGATAGCAAATTAGCATCATGTAGTTCAAAGAAACCTTGTCTGAGTCCTAAGTTCATAGAAGTTTAGCTGTTACTAGATCTCGCTACATACCAAAAAAGAGACTTAATTTTTTTTTTTCTTAGCCAAGTGGGGCTAACCCTGATCATTTGATGAATATACAGAACTAGATGGAGTTAATTCATTTACTGTAAGAGCAGGTAGTGGACTAAAGTGCAGAATTAGAAAAAGTTTTACTTTATTGGCTCTGCCAACTTTATGTTCTGCATATTTTAGTCCTCTTTTTTTTTTAGCCTTAGAAGAGAAATTATTTATAGAATTGGTTAAGAAAATATGCAATATCTGAAGTAAAACTTTATGCACTAAACCTAATTTTACTTTTGGTCTGTAAGAAAAACACCTAAGATAATGGGGTTTATATTATTCCTCGTATTTATTTGGCGCTCTAACCCAGATTGATATGAAGAAATATGAGGGAATTTGACAAAAGATGTAATGGAGTTTCTGTTAATTTACTGAGCAGTGAATGGTATGAATCCCAGTTTAGGCAAGTTTACTATAATGTTTTTGTTTTAATAATGTATTCTGTATCAAGTCTTACTAATAATGTAGCTATATAAATTGCATTTTCTTGTTCATTAATGATGTTTCTTCCATTGAATATTAACAGTACAATTCTGCATGTAGCGAAGTTTAAATGTACATAAAAGCTTAGAGGCAATGTTCAAAAGATGAGTTATTATAATACAGTACATAATGATACACTTGTAGAGCATATAGTAAGTATAAGCTTATGTGGACCATATAAAAGGAATTTATGGTTCCTGTATCTGTTATTGCATATTTTAACATCAAATTGAATAAAATGAATGGCACTTATTTGTTCATTATTCTTGAATAATGAGTTTGTTTCTTGTGTATCAGGCACCATCCTAGGGGGAATGCAAAGATTAAAGAACATTTTGCCTGTTTTCAATTTGGAAAGTCTAGAGACAGAGGTAAACAGTTTATAATGCAAAGTAACAAATGCTCTACTAGAAGTAAGCTGAGTGTACAACAGGAGGATAAAGAAACATTAAACAGTCTCAGTGGGGGTATCGGGTGAAAGAAAAAGTGAAAGGTACCTTGGAAAGACTTCCTAAAGAAGATAACATCTAAGTTGTGCCTTGATTTTATAGCCAGAAAGAAATTAAGGGGAATATGGGGGATTGGGAGAGTACCTAAAAATCCTTGAGGCATGTGGACCACAGTGTAAAGGTATAGTGGCACAAGGATTTTTTTTTTCTTTATTAATTAAACATTTTTACTTTCCTATGTCATTGTTCATTTTTCTACAATATTTGATTTCTACCCTCAGGTGTAGTCCCCATAAATCTCCCACCACCACATTACCTATGAACTGTCACCATAGTCCCTTGTGCTCTTCCCTCCCCTGCTTTGAACCCTGTCCCTTCCCTGCTGTGTGCCTCATATCTGTAGTTTGCCTGCAAGGTTTTTTTTTACCCTTTGTTTGGTTTCCCTATACTCCTCCTATAGGTGAAACCATCTGATTTTTTCCTTTTTTTCTTTTTGTTATTTCACTGAGCATGATCCCATCCAGCTCCATCCATGTTGCTATGAATACAATAATTTATCTTTTTTGATTGCTGAATAGTATTCCATTATATATATATACTACATCTTCTTGATCCTTTCATCTGTTTTGGGGCATTTAGTTTGTTTACATCACTTAGCTATTGTAAATAGAGCTGTAGTAAACATAGGGATGCAGGTTTTCTTTTGAATTAATGTTTTTGTGACCTTTGGGTAGATTCCTAGGAGTGGAATTGCTGGATCATATGGTAGATCCATTTTTAGTAATTTGAGAGTCCTCCATATAGCTTTCCATAGTGGTTAGACCAGTGCTAACAGTTTTATGCTTTAGCATGCTTTCTTTACCACAGAATGTTCTCTGGATAAAAAGGTTTTCAAAGTAGTTCCTAAAATAAGAGCAATTAAATAACTGCATAAGGTGTAGGAGCATTTTTGTGAGTACAGCAGTGTAAGAGGGTTCCTTTTTTCCCAGGCATTAGAGCTTTTTTAAGGGAAATGAAAAATAATAGAGGTGGCTGGATTTGGAGGGCTTTTGGGGATAAAGAAGTAAGCAGGGCCTGAATCATGAAGGGCTGTGTTAAGGAGTTTAGTTTTTATTGAGAGAGGGTGGGGAGCTGTTGAATGACATTAAGGAGGATAGTGATCTCCAATCTAATACCAATAATCAAGAGAGATGTTGAAGATAACTCTCATGTTTCTGGTATGGGCAACTGGGGTAGGAGAGTGGCTACATATTCTTGGCAGTTCTCAGAATCAGTGGAGAAATACCCAAGGACTTATCCAAGCAATGAAGTAACAAATTATTAATGGCAAAAAAGCTGTGGACACGTATTGTTGGCTAGGCTCACTATTTCTACAAGGTTAACTCACTTAGATTTGAGTAGCAGTTATTCATATTTTGCCTTCTTAAATCATTTATGTCACCTGACTGGCCCCTATAGGCAGTTAAGTCGATAACCTCTGTTTTTTTTTTTTTTTTTTTTTTTTTTTTTTTGGTAGAGGCATGTTTTGTTTATTTATTTATTTGTTTGTCTATTTGTCTGCTTGTTTATACATGCACTGGGTACAGTCAGAAGCGCGGGAGGGTGAGAGAATTCACCAGAGCCAGAGCGAGGAGCAGAGCAGGCAGAAGCGAAGTACACTGCTGAGGGGAGCAGCGGGCGGCAGGAGAGGTCTGCGCGCCATGTGGGACCCTCCTCTGGTGGCCGGGGAGCAGCCGGGGATCGAACCGGCGCTGCAGAGGCCGCGGGCAGCTTCGCAACCCAGCGCTCAACCGCTGCGCCACCGGGGAGGCCCCGATAACCTCTGTTAACTTAATTTTTTGGGATCTTTGGTGAAAGAGATGTTACAGACAGGAATAAATTCAGAAAGCAAACATTAACTCCATGTTGCATCAGCAACACCACACTGCTAAATGGGAGTCGTGGATCCTGCTGCATGATGCAGGATGCTGCTGAACAAGCCGGATCCTGGCCTTTTTATTGACAGAATAATCATATAGTATCAGTTACGTGGGGTAGAAGGACAAGGAGAAAAAGATGGGTGAAACTAAAGAATGTGTTTTTGTCATCTGGGCTTCGGGGGGACATGAGTCTGCCAACCAGATAATTCGTATCTGCTTGACAACCAAGAGTTGTAATTGAAACCATACCCCAGGCCTCCCCCCACCATGATTCTAATCTTATCAACAAGGCTTTCCACTGATCAGCTTCTGGGGTCCCTTGTCATACATCGGTCCTTGGGTGCCCCCCACCCCCAACCTCCCCAGGCATGCCCAGTCATACCTTGTGATGTATAAGTCGGGAGTAAGTTTATGCATAGGTCAACAGGCCCCCCCCACCCCGGGGTGTTCTCAGTCATACTTCACGAGGTATCACCTTCCCAGGGTGATCAAGCTTTCTGTTCTTGATTGATTTGAAAGGCCCCTTGTAAGGTTTGGCTATGACTGATTGACTGGGCAGTTCTGACCTTATACAGGAATGTAGAACTGCAGGTAACAAAGAATGGTGGCCAATCAGGCTGCTTAAGTCTAGCAGACCCACAACTCCATTCATATTAGTGCCAAAGTGTGTCATTTCATTTAATTCCAGAACACTGTATTGTAGCATTTGCTATTCCTATATTCACAATTGTGAAAACTAATGATTAGAAAAGGTAAACTACAAATTAGTAAATGACAGAACTTGTTCCTGATAGCTAGACATAGTATGATTTTGCTTTGTATATTATTTTTTCGTAGCTTTTCTAGTTGAGCTGTTTAATCATAGGCAAAGTTTAGTGATTTTTAACTTATTAAATTATAAGCAAGAAACTATTTGAGGCAGTATTTTGGAATTAGTTAAATAAAAAATGTTTTAGCAATTTTAGATGATTGCATCTATATATGAACATCTATGTATATAGCAATTTTAGATGCTATGTACATCTCTTTTAGCAATTTTAGATGATTGCATGTATGTATATAGCCCATACACTATTTAATAATATTCTTTATTATATTTACTTGCCGACATTTGGAAAACTATTTTGAAGAGTTAGACATTCTGTCATTGTAATTTTTTATGTATTAGAAGGTCTTGGGATATTTGAATATCCACCAAAGATAAAAATTGATAGATTCTTTCCAGAATGGTAGCATTAAACATAATTGGTAGATGGCTTTAGGAAGTGGGCCTCCCCGGTGGCACAGCGGTTGAGCGCTGGGTTGCGAAGCTGCCCGCAGCCTCTGCAGCGCCGGTTCAATCCCCGGCTGCTCCCCGGCCACCGGAGGAGGGTCCCGCATGGCGCGCAGACCTCTCCTGCCGCCCGCTGCTCCCCTCAGCAGTGTACTTCGGTCCTTCTGCCTGCTCTGCTCCCTGCTCTGGCTCTGGTGAATTCTCTCACCCTCCCGCGCTTCTGACTGTACCCAGTGCATGTATAAACAAAACAAACAAACAAACAAATAAATAAAATAAAAAAAAAATGCCTCTATAAAAAAAAAAAAAAAGATGGCTTTAGGAAGAGATGGTTTTGTTGTTTTCCCTAGAGAATAAATGATTTTTCAAGTACAATTCTGGAGATTAAGCTAATTTTATTGTTCTTACAGTTTTTATTTGATGTCTTTGTGGATGTTTAGACTACTTATTATTAGAAGGAATTGTTTGATGATATGATTTGATATTTTGGGAGAACTCTTCTAAGAAATGGACTCAACTGACAAAATCTTTTCTTTAATTTGTATTTGAAATTCAAGACCCTTAAGCATTCATGAAGAAGGAAAAGATTCAGCACTTTAATGATGAAAGTAAACGTTGGTCATAGTACAGTGGTCAGTCACATTGAGAATGGAATTTTTAAGTATTCCCAGTTGGTATGTTTCAGTGGCAGCAGTATAGTTGTTAGTGGTGCAAAATGCAAAATTTAGGCACTAATGAAAACAGGTACTGGACACGTGGCAAAGAAGGGAACATTTATGGCAAAAATAAAAGGTGGCTAGATTGTCAGTGAATATCAGTGACTAATTTAGTTGACTTTCTTACCTGTGCCCTCCAGCTAATCAAGGGCTTTGAGTATACTTATAAAATGTGGCTTATTGAAATGAATAAAAGGACAAAACGTGATTAAATAAGATTCTCTACAAACTCTTATTTTAATCATTAGTAAATTTTAACTTATTTTATTTTTCTTCCTTAGAATCTGTCAAGTGAAGGTCTATTTTTGCTTTAATTTGATTAGAAGTAATTTATTTTTAAAGAAAGTATGTCTCCTCTGAAGATACATGGTCCTATCAGAATTCGAAGTATGCAGACTGGGATTACAAAATGGAAAGAAGGATCCTTTGAAATTGTGGAAAAAGAGAATAAAATCAGCTTAGTAGTTCACTACAATACTGGAGGAATTCCAAGGATATTTCAGGTATTTCCAGATTTTGACTTGGAGTAGATCTTGAATAGCACATGCAGTGAATAACTAGTCTGTGTCATAGTGAGTATGTATTGTGTATCCCTTCTAGATTATTATTTCTTGCTTTTTAGTTTCAGGACACTTAATACTTTTATGCATGTATGTTATTCAACAGCATCATTGATGGTGTATAATAAAGGACAGAAAGTAGTCACCATGATCAAAAGAAAACTGATGGGAGGACATTGAGAGGAGCTGAGTTTGTATACTCTCTAAGCTATTTTAAAAACCACATTACAGGGCTCCTTGGTGGCGCAGCGGTTGAGCGCTGGGTTGCGAAGCTGCCCGCGGCCTCCGCGGCACTGGTTCGATCCCCGGCTGCTCCCCGGCCACCGGAGGAGGGTCCCACATGGCGCCAGATCTCTCCTGCCGCCCGCTGCTCCTCTCAGCAGTGTACTTCGGTCCTTCTGCCTGTTCTGCTCCCCGCTCTGGCTCTGGTGAATTCTCTCACCCTCCCACACTTCTGACTGTACCCAGTGCATGTATAAACAAAAAACAAACAGAAACAAACAAATAAATAAAAAACATGCCTCTAGGGAAAAAAAAAACAAAACACATTACAGGGGGACAACCCTGATGGTGCAGGGGTTAAAATTTCAGTACTATCAAGCCAGCCACAGAGGACCTCTCCTAGTTTGCCTGCTGCTCCCCTCAGGAGTGTGTTTCATTGGGTCCACCTGTTCTGCTCCCCACTCTATCTCTGGTGAACACACACACACACACACACACACACACACACACACACACACACCCCACCCCGGCCTAGCCCCCATTTCTTGTAGGCACAAATAAATTAAAACCTTTTTTAAAAAAATCACACTTGAGTAACTTTAGTTATTCCTTTTATTAACATACATGATTAATCCATCACTAGTGTTAGCTTTTAAGAATAGTTAATGTCTTGTAAGGATTACTGTCTGCTTCTTAAATAATCCTGCCAAAGATGGTTTTATGGACTGTTTAAGGTTCTTCTAACTAATCTTTTGAGGATCTCATTATTTTCATCGGTTAAAAGTAGCTAATTTTTGTCTCACTCCTATACTGTTTATTTTGTTCAGACAAGAACTATTCATCTTGATATGAGTTAAATATAAGAACATGTCTTAATTGAATTTTTCTACACTTTAAAATTTGACATTTGTTAATATCGATTATATGACGTATAGTCATTCTAAACTACGGTATCCTATTGGAGAATGATTTATAGAACTGTGCACTTGAGAATCTAAGTTAAGTTAAAATTTCCATTTATCTTTGCTTTTGAACTGCAAAAATAAGTTGCTTATGATTTTGTGATCAAAAAGATTTTTAAATAGATTGGAGATGGTGACATGGGTAATATGAAGAATAGTTATTTCTGCCATATACAGATATTTACTAATTGCCCATCTTAATGAAATATTTTTTTCCAATTAGGGATTTGGTTTTTCAGTCCAAGTCCCAAATTACCACTGAGTAAATATTTAAGCAAACATGGGTCTTTAGGCGCATTAATGATTCTACCTGGGATTCTAGCCTCATGTCAGTTCTAGATTAGTTTGCATTCGGCTTGCACTGGTTAACCACCTGTAGATTATTATGGTGGATGCTGTGCTAAGGACTAAGAATACAGAGCTGAATGAGACCTCTAATGTATTCTCACTTGTAAAACTATTTCAAAGACACTGAAATAATACAAAGAAGAAAGTGTTTTGTGCTCTGAGGATTTAGAGTATAAATAGGAGTTTGTCAAACATAGATAAGGAGGAGTTTTCTATACATGGACAAACACATGCAAGTGTGAATCAGCACTCAGCGAGTCAGAAACTTATTTTAAAATGAATGGACATGGGCCTCCCCATTGGCACAGTGGGTTGAGCACAGCGCTGTGAAGCTGTTCACAGCCTCTGAAGCATGGGTTCGATTTCCAGCCCGCCAGGGAGATTCCCACATGGCCCAGCAGACCTCTCCTGTCTCGCCAGCTGCTCCCCTCAGCAGAGTCTTCGGTCCATCTGCCTGTTCTGCTCCCCACTCTGTCTCTGATAAATCCTCTCACCCTCCCATGCTTCTGGCCTGTACCTCGTTCTTGTATAAATAAAAATAAAAATCTTTAAAAAAAATAAAATAAATGGACAATAGAGAGAAGGTAGTGGAAGTAGAGGCTGAAGAACTAGATAGGTACTAGATCTTGAAGTATCTCATTGTCATAGTAAGTGGCACTTAGATTCTAAGGAGCCAAGAATTTCGAGTAGAAATTTATTTGGGGGCTAGCAGATGACTTTATTTCAAAAGATAAAAGGAATGGAAGAAAAGGAATATTTGGTAGGTTACTGTGGAAATTTAGATGGAGAATGAAAATCCTGAACAAAGGAAAAGACAGTGGGTGAAAGGAGAAGAGGAAAGGATGGATTTGAAAAGACTTCTAGAAGACATGATTCATTAGATTTGTTTGGTGAATCTGGGGAGACTTTGAATTTTTTGAGTGGATGGAAGTTCCTTTTATGTCCTCTGTGATAAGGAGCAGAGGGAATGATTGGGGTATGATTGTTGGAGGAGATGAATTGTTTGAAGCAGTCAGATACTGGTATTTAGTAGGCTTTAGTTAAACAGAACTGGAGCTTTTTTAGTAGAGAAGCCTGGATTTAGAGTTGAGATGGGTAATTATTAAAATTATGTGACTAGAGAGGATTTTCAGTTGTTGAAGTGGTCAGATTCAAGATTATTCTCAGCTTATTTACTAGTGAGCAAACTTCCCTCCTGATAGCTTTCATTTTTAATAAGTGGTGTATTGAATGAAACAGTGGTTTTATATTCTCTGTTTTACTTTTGCATTCTATCTGTTCATTTAAATATTTTGGAGTGAAAGCATCTGAAATTAGTTATTGTGTTTTATGATAGAATTTCAACTGAAGGACATGAATTTAAAATTACTTTGAAGCGAAAAATATGTCATTTAAATTTTTTAATATAAATTAAGTCTAGTAAGAAATTTTTACTATCTGTAAATTGACAAGGTCAATTCTTTCTAATTAAAAAAATTAAATGTCATTTTTTATACTATTCAGAGGGTATGACTTCACCAAAAGGCAGTTTTAGGAAACCTTTGTATAGTCCTGCTGCAAGAAAATGTGAGAGAGTAAAGATGCCTAACTGGCAGGAATTATTTAGATAATAAAGATTCTGCAAGATTTATTAATTTAATCTTACAAAAATTTCAGCCAAGAGAAAATAAAAGTTACTGCTTCTTAGCACATATTAGCCCCTTGAAAGAGTTATAAGATAAGTTATTGAACTAGGTCTGCAGAGGCAGGGAAAAAGAAGTCCATGGTGCTCAAGATCTTGTGATTGACTGCAAGTTAAATGAGTCTGCTTAGATAGTTAAGAAAGAGGGAAAAAGATGTATTCTTACTTTGGTTAGAGGTTTATTTTGATGTGTCATTGAGAGGCTGAAATTCTTTTCAGGATTATAGTTTGGGTTAATATATCATTTCACATTGTAGTTACCTTACCTATACCATTTGTTAGCTATCTTACAAACTTTTGTTCAGTGAAATAAGGAAAGAAAGAAAGCTTCTAATCTAATACAACATTCTAAACTGGGATAGAATAACCATTTTAGGTTCTGAAACGTAACTCATTTGTTTTTATAGCTTTTAACCATATCTGAAAATATACAACTTTCTACCACAAAATCAAGAAGGGGCCTCCTTGGTGGCGCAAGGGGTTAAGTCACAGCACTATGAAGCTATCTGCAGTCACTGTAGCACAAGATCAATTCCTGGCCAGGGAGCTACCCATATGGCACAGCAGACCTCTCCTATCTCACCCGCTGCTCCCCTCAGCAGTGTATTTCAGTCAGTCTGCCTGTTCTGTTCCCCACTCTGTCTCTGGTAAATCCTCTCACCCCCTGCACCTCTGGCCTGTACCCCAGTTCTTGCATGCATAAATAAGTAAATCTTTTTAAAAAAAATCAAGAGGGCTAAGATTACTCTGTAAAATAAATTTTAATAGTATGTTTGCTTTTCCTAAAAGTGAAATCTTTCATTTAAGTGTATCCAGAAATTGGGACTCTCTCATTGGGGTAAAAACAAATTAGTGTGGAGAAGAGTACAAAATGGAATGTGGAAAGTATTCATTTTAAAAAAGCTTAGTATTCATTATATAACATTATACTTTGTTATACATTTTTAATGATAATTTTACTTTTGTATTAATCAGCTAAGTCATAATATTAAAAATGTGGTGCTTCGACCCAGTGGAGCAAAACAAAGCCGCCTAATGTTAACTCTGCAAGATAACAGCTTTTTGTCTATTGACAAAGTACCAAGTAAGGATGCAGAGGAAATGAGGTTGTTTTTAGATGCAGTCCATCAAAACAGACTTCATGCAGGTAAGCACTAATGGTCCAAGGGTTAGACATGAGCAGTTATAAGAGAATATTGCTAGATTATATAGCCTGATGAATATTGATGTAAAAATCCTTAATGTAACCAAATGTTAGAGATTGAATTCAATAGACATTAAAAGATTATTCACTAAAATCAACTGGAATTTATTTCTGGAATGCAAGGACAGTTCAAGAGATGAAAAATAAGTGTAACACCAGATTAACAGAATGAAGGACAAAACCCACATCCCTTCATGAAAAAACACTTAACAAACTAAGAATCAAAGGAAACTACCCTAACATAATAAAAGTCATATTTGAAAAACTCACAACTAACATCATACTCAATGATGAACAGTTGGAAGATTTTTCTCTAAGCTCAGAAACACAGCCCTTTTCACCACTTCTACTAAACATAGTACTGGAAGTCCCAGCCAGAACACATATGTGAGAAAAAAAAATAAAAGGCCTCCAAATTGGAAGAGATGAAGTAAAATTTTGGTCTCAGGTGACAATATCTTAATATGTAGAAAACTTTAAATAACCCACAAAAGAATATGGCTAGAAAAGGAAGATGATTTAAATTATAATTGGGAAAAGTCACCTTGTTACCTCATTCTTAAGTACTTGCCTTTCTATATGAATTTTATTCCAGGATTTTATACTTGCTATGAAAATAGCAATATAGAAAATCATATAATATGATCACATTCCTCTGCTGCCCCCAGCTCCTTTCATTTAAAATATCATTTACAGATATCTTTTCAGGAATAATCTGTTGCTTATAATGTTTCCCATATTACTGTTAGTTTCCAGCTCCTTCATCAGTATTTGTTATTATTAATATTTTATAGTTGATAAACTTAATTGAATTTTTCTGACTTAAACTTTAGAAAATGAAAATGTAACAGTGCTACTTTGCATGAATTTAACTGACATGTCTATTTGACACACAATTTAACTTCTAAAAAAAGTTAATAATTGTTTGCCTACTCATTATATTTTCATGTTACCAAATCTGAGCTATGTGAATTTACCAGAGACTCCGACTATATTTTTACTTTTATCATATTGGAATCACTGTTTTCAGAATTAATGTGTATAAGAAAAACTTATCTGTAAATACATTGACATGAAAAATCATGGTAGACTGGGGACCAAGCCTAAAAATGACAACATGGCATAATGGAAAAACTTCCTAGCTCTCCTTGTTAACTTCCTGTGTGGTGTGGGTCAGTCACTTACTGAGTTTCAGTTTTCTCATGTCTAAAATGAAAGATGTGTTACCCTAATTTTACTGCTTATTAAAGAATTAGAACTCAGAAAGATAAAGCATCACAGGTACATGATGGAAAGTCATTGCTGTTATTAGAATAATCAGCTGTGGGCTCAGCTAACACATTCTGTGCTCTTGGGCAAATTATTTTAATCTTTTAGGTTTAGTTGGATATAAATACTTTGAAAACAAAGCATTTAATGGCCAACAGGCATATGAAAAATGTTCAGCATCACTTGTAATCAGGGAAATGCAAATCAAAACTACCATGAGATACCATCTTATACCAGTGAGAATGGCACATATTAAAAAAACTAGCAACAACAAATGTTGGCGAGGATGTGGAGAAAAAGGAACTCTCCTGCACTGTTGGTGGGAGTGCAAACTGGTCCAACCACTATGGAGAGCTGTGTGGAGATTTCTGGACCTACTAAACATAGAGCTTCCATATGATCCAGCAATTCCACTCCTAGGTCTTTACCCAAAGGACACAGAAACATCAATTCCAAAGAGCACCTGCACCCCTATCTTTATAGCAGCACTGTTTACAATAGCTAAATGCCCAAAAATAGATGACTGGATCAAGAAGATGTGGTCCATATACACCATGGAATATTACTCAGCATTCAAAAAAGATAAACACATGCAATTTGCAGCAACATGGATGGCGCTGGAAGGGATCATGCTCAGCGAAATAAGCCAGAAAGAAAAAGAAAAATACCGGATGTTCTCACTCATAGCAGGAATCTAGAAAACTTAAATAAGGGACCAGGAAAATGAATAACTATAAGAAAGTGAAAATCAAAATCAACAAAAAACTATGAACCAGAGACACTCTATGAAGGGTGGGGGGTGGGGAGGGGAGGGATTGTGGTCAAAATAAGGGGGTTGCAATTGTATGGGGAATATAAAAATAAAATTTATTTGAAAAATTAAAAAAAGAAAAACAAAGCATTTAACATACATAATTGTATTTCAAGTCAGTGGAAAAAAAGACTGATATTTGATAGTGTTATTTATGAATAGAATAACCAGATGTTTAAGAAGATAGTGAAATTTTGTTTATCTCCTTTTATCTAAATAGTTTACATTGATAAAAGTTACATTGCTCTAAATAGGGTTACATTGATACAAGATTTGAATGTAAAACTGTAAAGGTGAAACTATAAAAGTATTATTAAAGAGGAAGAGTGATTTTAACATTACTGGATGGAAAAGGCCTGAGTATGAAATAAAAGTCAGAATCAGTAATAAGAGAAAAGGTTAATAACGTGGACTGTGTAAAATAAATTTAAGTGATCTAACAGGGAAAAGAAAGACAGGAAGAAAATGCCATAGTTACAGAGTTAATACTGCTAATATATAAAGACCTATTTTACAAATCAATAAGAAAAAGACAACTCACTAGAGAAATAGACAAAAACCTCAGCCAGGAAATTTAGGAAGAAAAGCAGATGACTCTTAAACATGAAAAAATTCTCATCTTCACCAGTGATTAAACAAAATCAAATTCTTACTGTTATGCTGGTTGTAGTGTGAGGGGAAGCAACATATTTTCATATACTTGGTAGCCCTTTACAGATATTTTTTTGGAGACTAAGTGGTAATAACAATTTAGTTTAAAATTTTGTAACCTTTACCCCCACAGTTCTTATCCTAAGGAATTTATCCTGCAAAAATTCCACTAGTGCACATTGTCATTCCATTTTCACACTGTGCCATAGACATACTGTACCGTAGATGTACAGATACACAGTGACTAACCTTTCTATACTCTCAGTTACCAGTATTTATATGGGAGAATTTCCAGCATTTTCTTTTTACATTTAAAATTTTGTCCTTTTATTATGTGTTTCCAGTTTTTGCATATTATTTAATGTTTTGCTTGAGATTCAGCTCTAAATTTTCACTACTATATAAATTCAGTCTACTTTATCAGAATTGATAAGCATTTTGATTTGTTTTCTGCTTTATTTCTTTTCTTCACTATATAAAATAACAATGGTAAAAAGACAAAAAACTATTAACAGTGGTAAATCTCTTTACTAAAGTAAGTGATTTGGGAATTTTTTTTGCCACCAGCCATGAAGCCTTCTCAGGGGTCTGGTAGTTTTGGAGCCATTCTGGGCAGCAGGACCTCACAGAAGGAAGCCAATAGACAGCTTTCCTACTCAGACAATCAGGTATGTTCTTCAGAATCTCTGTACGTCTTCAAAAAAATGTTTATTGTAGACATTTTATAAGGTAGTTGCAGGAAGTAGTAATGTCTAATCCTGGTATTGTCAAGGGTATTTTCTGTACACTTGAAATTTACCATTTTAGCCATCTCAATCACTTCAACTATTTTTATAAATTTTTAAAAAAATCTTCTAATGAAGACAGTGCTGAAAATAAAAAAAGAAGCCCTTGCCCCTTTTAAAGCCAAAGCCAAGGGTTTGAAGGCCAAGAAAGCAATAATGAAAGGTGTCCACAGCCATACACACACAAAGAAGATCCACATGTTACCCACCTTCCAATGGCCCAAGACACTGGCTCTGAAGGCAACCCAAATGGAAGAATCTCTTCCTTTATTCAACCTCCGGGAGAAACAAGCTTGACTACTGGCCAAGTTTCCCCTGACCACCAAGTCAGTCATGAACGAGACAGAAGATAATACACTTGTTCATTGTGGATGTTATGGCCAACAACACCAGCTCAGATAGACCATGAGGAAGCTCTGTAACATTGTGACCATGGTTTACATCCTAATCACACCCAATTAAGAGAAGAAGGCATGTGTTCGACTGGCTCCTGATTATGATGCTTTAAGTGTTACTAGCAATATTGGGATCATCTAAACTGAATCCAGCTGGCTAACTCTAAATATAAATTTTTCACCATTAAAAAATAAAATATGATTTTTCTAAAGCTTATCACATTCTTCCCTTAAAAATTGTTTTACAGGGCCTCTCTGGTGGTGCAGCGGGTTGAACACAGCGCTGTGAAGCTGTCTGCAGCCTCTACAGTGCGGGCTCAATTCCCTGCCAACCAGGGAGATAGCCATATGGCACAGCAGACCTCTCCTGTCTCACCCACTGCTCCCCACTTTGTAGAGAACTCTATCACCCTCCTGTGCCTTTGGCCTGTACCCCAGTTCTTGCATAAAAAATAAAATAAATCTTTTTTAAAAAATCATTTTACAGATAACAATTTAAACTTTAGTATCTCATTGTCATCATTACGAACCACAGTAGAGTGTAGTTCTTTTTTTTTTTTAAAGATTTATGTATTTATGCACATAAGAACTGGGGTGTAGGCCAGAAGTGGGGTGGTGAGAGGATTCACTAGAGACAGAGTGGGGTGCAGAACAGGTGGATCTACTGAAATAAGCTGCTGAGGGGAGCAGCGGGAGAGACAGGAGAGGTCTGCTGTGCCATGTGGGTTACCTCCCTGGCCAGGGATTGAACTCATGCTGCAGTGGCTGGTGATAGCTTGATAGCACTGTCTTTAACTTCTGTGCCACTAGGCAGGCCCCACAGTGTAGTTCTTTTTTTTTTTTTCCTAAGTTTTAAAAAATTTTATTTATTATTGGAGTGTAGTTCTTAAAAGCATAACTTTGGAGTTTGATTTGGATTTAAGACTTGGTACTGCCACTTACTAGCTGCCACTGGAGAAGTTCTTTATACTGTGAAATTGAAATAGCAATAATATTTTCAGATTGCTGTGATATAACACATGTAAAAGTGCTTAGCTCACTATACCATATAATGACAACCCTATAAATGTTTGCTGCTACTATTTCTGTGCTCCTTTTTAAGTCTGTTCTGCATTATGAACTTGGCCCCCCTACATTACATGATACCCAGGCCTAGACTGTTTTGTTGAGGTCTTCTATTTGCTGTAGTTATTTTTCTTTTGTACATATTATTCAGCTAGCCATGAGATTGCTGTGTACTATTGCAACTTAGAAGTCCTTCCCTTGCTTTTCAAGGGAAGCTGGGTATAAAGTAGGAGAACTAAGACTATTATAGAGAGGTAGTCCATACTAAGCAATGAATAAAATTTCATTTTTGTGAATTTTTTTTTCTTGGGTTTTTTTTTTTTTTTTTTACATTTTAATTGTGATACAATTGATATTCAGTAAATTGTAAATATCTAAAGTGTCAGTTTTATAAATTTTGACATACTGATACATACTTACTGGTAAAATCACCATAATCAACTAGTTAACATAACCATAACAACCCTTAAATGATTCCTTTTTCCGGGCCTCCCCAGTGGCACAGTGGGTTGAGCACTGCGCTGTGAAGCTGTCCGCAGCCTCTGCAGCGCGGGTTTGATTCCCGGCCAGCCAAGGGGAAACTCACATGGCATGGCATACCTCTCCTGCCTCACCCACTGCTCACCCTCTGCTCCCCACTCTTTCTGGTGAATTCTCTCACTCTCTGACCTGTAACCCCAGTTCTTGTATAAATAAATAAATCTTTAAAAAAAAAAAGTTTCCTCTTTGCAGTTCTTCCTTCCTTCCCACCTCCTCCCCATGGCCCATATCACTAAGTCAGCTAACGCGCTGTCACTATGAGTTTGCATTTTCTAGAGTTTTGCATAAATGGAATCAGGGTGTAATTTTTTTTTTCCTGACTCCTTTCACTTATCATAATTATTTTGAGATTCATCCATTTGTAGATAGAAATTTAAGCTGTTGGGATGTTTAAATGAGTATTAACATATATAACAGAAGCAAATGTTAATACTTTCCAAAAAAATAATTCCTGTTAGTGGGATTATTAAGTCAATTTTAGTGGTTTTGACTAGCATTAAATAAAAAAGGAATAGAACAGAAAATAGAGGAGCTATTGTATACACTAAGGATAAAGTACTGATTTCTGAGGTTTTAGTTTCAGTTACATTTATATGTGAAATAGGTTGTGATGTAAAATATTTCTCATTATGGGGCCACAAAAGTCCCAAAAAGGTACAAAACAGTGTACACATAATATGTATTATTTGTATAGCAAAAAGAATAATGATTTTCATTTGCATAGGGAGAGTAGAATACTTATTAAGGGGTAGGACAATGGGAAGTGGAAGAACTAGGTGGATGGCAATAGGGTAATAATAAGACATCTCAGTGCATGGCTTTTATAATAACCCGATTTTTTATTCTTAAGAATGTATCACCCATTTGAAAATAAATTTAACTTTTTCAATCATTTGTTCATTTGACCTTGGATTTTTCTCTTTCCTGTCCTAAGATTGTCCTTCTGTAGAATTAAATATATTTGGAAATAACTTCCATAGAGAAATCATATTGCTCTTAATGTACAGTTATAAGATTTACTGTTAAAATACTGTTTGAAAGTACTGTTTCCCAACTAATATGTTAAATTGCTATATTTTCTCTAAATGTTTTGATATGTCTTTAGGGTAGACTTTGATTCATCTTCTGCTAGTACAATCTATCTCACTCTTACTCTCCCTATCCTCCAGACTAGAGGATAGGGAGAAAAGTCATATGAAGTACATGTGACTTGACATTTAAGTTTTGGCAAACAAATGCCATTGTTGCTTCTTTTTCTCACGTGTATGTCATTTTAATTTATCGTAATCACAATGGGATATTTTTCTCTAAAATCTATTTTCATGCTGGTCACTAAAACTATGTCTTGTGTATGTGAGTCTTTTATTCTTTTAAGTCAATAGTTCAAAGCATGATTCCCCACTTTAGAACCCAAGTATGCTATAGAATTCTTAAATTTACAGGAGTACTACATACAGGAAAATTAAACATCAAGCTCAATTTCTCACAATGACTATATAGTAGAATCACCTAAAGTGCTTTAAAAATACTGATGAAAGAGTCTTATCCCAGACAGATTTGGATCAAACCTCCAGAGAATCTCCCAAGTTGTGGGTACTTTTTCAAAATACCCCATGTAAGAATTACCAGTCTTAAAGTATGTCATTTAATTTGAAGATTTAGCTGTATTAAACTTTATCCTTACAGGCCTCTTCAAAAAGAGGAAGTTTGGAAACTAAAGATGATATTCCATTTCGAAAAGTTCTTGGTAATCCAGGTAGAGGATCAATGAAGACTGCAGCAGGCAGTGGAATAACTGTCACCCGGACAATTCCCTCTTTGACATCTACATCAACACCTCTTAGGTCGGGGTTATTAGAAAATAGGTATGAACTACTTTTATTTCTTTTCTTAGTCATTAGCTGTACCTGTTTATAAATGTCTTTTGGAAAGACCAGTAATTTGAGAAAAAGGTCATTGTCCAGTGAGCAAAGTCTTTTCGAAGAAGAAAAGTATCAAGTGTGTTTTTGGTAGATACTTAATATTTGTCTTAAGTGATTGATGCCAATAACATGTATTGAGCATGCAGATATACAGCCCCATGGTACAGAGAGTTAGATAGCAGTAGTCAGTCTGTCTTTGAGTATGTTGGTTTATACTTTTTAATGGTATTAATTGTGGCTTGTAAAAGACCTTTTTTTCCTCTTCTCTACAGAACTGAAAAGAGGAAAAGAATGCTGTCATCTGGCTCAGAATTGAATGAAGATTACCCTAAAGAAAATGACTCATCATCGTAAGTTACTTTAAGAACCTTTACAGCACTAGAGCAATGTTTCTTATATTGGTAATAATCAACTAATAGGGAAAATGTAAGGGGATATTGTTCAGTTTATGGAAATTCCAAAGATCAAAGGACGGAATTAGAAGTATTTTGGTAATTAGGATTGTAGGCTCAATAGAGATAGGATTTGGCCTGTGCTGCCGAAGACCAGCTCCGGCAAAATGTCTGGTTTTTGGCACTTTGCTATCGCTTTGGTCATTTCATCACACTTCTCTTACTCTGGTTTTAAAATATGTAATACTTAGAGAAAGAATAGAGCCAAAGAACTCTGTAAACAAGTGTTTCTTGCTGACGACTCCTTTACTTGGAACCCCTTCCTTCACTCTTCCCCTTGCCTATAAAAAATTTTTACCCATACTTGTGAAAAGTTAGCTTGGGACAAAAGGAAGTAAATCCTACTTAGATTTTATGCAAGAAACAGCAATCTTTTAGAGGTTTTTTCTGGATTAAATAAGAGGATAGACCTGCAACAAGGTAGTCAGCATCTCAGTCCTCTTCCTCATCTTGCAAGGGTTTGTTTTTTGTTTTGTTTTTTAATCATCTGTTGGAGAAAACTTATTACAGTTATCAGTTAGTACTGCAATTAATACCTTAACAGAAATTAGTTGATAGTTAACTGGTGTTCAAAGCCATGTGGTCACCAGAAAGATATTGGGAAAAAACTAAAGAAACTTTATGTATTAATTGGGATGTTGGTTTTGCTGCTGTAACAGATGTAAGAATCTGGGTAGATGATAGTACTGATCTGGTATCTGAAATTACAATCATCTTGGGCAATCATTTGGGACCACAACATCTTCTATTTTGTTGATCTGCTGTCCTTATAAGGAGCTTTCATTTTGTGGACCAGGATAGCTACTTCAACCTCAACTTTGTGCCTGTATTCCTGTTGGTAGAAGGAAGAAAGGATCAAAGAGGGAAGAGAGGAAAAAGAAAAGCTTTTTTTGGGTTAGAAGTTATATACCCCACTTTTGTGCATATAATTCTGGCCAGAACTAAGTGTGTTTATATCACATTATGAGAAAGTCTTGGAAATATGCCTAGCCCAGATTCTACTATTATAGCAAAAGGGTACAGTGATTATCTGGGGACAGATAATAGTCTGCCATAGTTTACCCTTCTGGTCACAAAAGTACCCCTGTCATCATTCTATATGTAAAATTCTTAACCACTTAAGTAATAAAATATTATCTAATACCACTTACTGATTTTCAGCGTATGATCAACTTATAATCAGAAAACAAAGATGTAATAAGCCTTATTGACATTGAAGTTAAAGTACATCTTACAAAAGTTGATGAGGAAGAGGAAGAAACAAAGGAAGTTAGTGGTGGTACAAGATGTATATGTTTTTAGTGTATTAATTAAAATTACCTGAATGTACCTAATCTGCTTGTTTTATTATAGGTTCAGGTATTTGGGAATAATGGAGGGGTGCGGGTTGGAGCTTGTTTAAAAAATATTAACTTTGTGTTCATGGACTTCACATAGTTCAATCACTGGTGAAAATGATGTCAACATTTAGTGAATAGTATTTAAAAACATTGTGGCCTTTGTTTACTTGTTTTATGTTTTAATTCTATACAGCAGTATCATAAACATTCAGTTTATTTCTCAATTGATTCTTTTGATCTTAGTAGCTGAATCATTTCATCTCATCTTGCTTTGCCTAGGAAAATCTATAATCTTGCTTTCTGATTTGACTTTTGATTTAAAAAAAAAAATGCTCCTTCATTTTTGCTAAATTACCAAGGTCATGGATTGTATTGGCTCTTGACTTGGTAATGAAAGATGATTTTCATGTTTCTCACTTGCTTAAGTCACTCACCCCTTGAGGCTTTAACACCTATAGCCCAACTTCCAAGCAAATCAATAAATTCAGCTCTTGAAATGTAAATTTACATGGCGCAGTCTGACGCGATATGATCACTAGTTAAATTTAAGAACTATAGCTTTGTATCTGCATGTATTTTTATCCCAATGTATAATGAATTAAATTATTAACTGTAGGAACAACAAGGCAATGACAGATCCTTCAAGAAAGTATTTAACCAGCAGTAGAGAAAAGCAGCTGAGTTTGAAACAGTCAGAAGACAATAGGACATCAGGTAAATATTTATTTTGTCTTTATATAAGATTCTCTTATTATCTTAGGCTAGAAATAAAAACCTAGATTGGAACATATCTCTATTTTTCAAGGATACCGAATAATTTAGTATGAGATATTAGGCACCAATTTCTAGCCATTATTCAGCTAAAATTTATTATTTTAAAGATTTTTATTTTTATTTATACAATAGCTGGGGTACAGGCCAGAGGCGCAGGAGGGTGAGAGGATTCACCAGAGACAGACCGGGGAACAGAACAGGCGGACAGACTGAAAGCACTGCTGAGGGGAGCAGCAGGCATGACAGGAGAGGTCTGCCGCGCCACGTGGTCATCTCCCTGGATGGCCAGGAATCAAACCCGTGCCGCAGAGGCTGCGGACAGCCCCACAGCTCTTTGCTCAACCCATTGTGCCACTGGGGAGGCCCTAAAATTTATTATTTTAAAAGATATATATTTTTTAAGATTTATTTATGCATACAAGAACTGGGGTACAGGCCAGAAGTGTAGGGGGTGAGAGGATTCACCAGAGACAGAGTGGGGAACAGAACAGGCAGAGTGACTGAAATACACTGCTGAGGGGAGAAGTGGGCGAGTCAGGAGAGGTCTGCTACGCCATATGGGTTGCTCCCTGGCTGGCTGGGGAGTTGAACTCTTGCTGCAGTGGCTGCGAATAACTTCATAGGTTTGTGTCTTAAGCCCTTGCGCCTTCAGGGAGGCCCCAAAAGATTTATTTATTTTATTTATTCAATCATACAAGAACCAGGGTACAAGCCAGATGTGAGGGGGGGTGCATGAGAGGATTCATCAGAGACAGAGCGGGGAACAAAAAGGCAGACTGATTAAAATACACTGCTGAGGGGAGCAGCGGGTGAGACAGGAGAGGTCTGCCACGCCATGTGGCATTCTTGCTGGCCAGCTGGCCGGCATCAAACCCATGTTGCAGAGGCTGTGGACAGCCCCCCAGCACTGTGCTCAACTGCCTGGTCTACCAGGGGAGGCCCAAAAGATTTATTTATGCATACAAGAACTGGGGTGTAAGCCAGAGGTGTGGTGGGTAAGCCAGAGGATTCACCAGAGAATGGGGAGCAGAACAGGGAGAGTCACTGAAATCCACTGCTGAGAGGAGCAGTAGGGGAGGCAGGGGAGATTTGCTGCACCATGTGGGTTGATCCCTGGCTGACTGGGGATCGAACTCATGCTGCAGTGGCTGGCGACAGCCTGAGAGTGCTGTCTTTAACCCCTGCGCAACCAGGGAGGCCTACAGCTAAAGTATTTTGAATATCAGAAACATAGGCAACTTTTATTCCGTTTACAAGAATCTAGCTTTTACATTTTTCCCGATTTACCTACCTGAATTAAGTTGTCATCGTTAAAGTACCTGAACCATAGAATGAGGAGTTAATGTTGCTAAAATTTTAAGGTTCATCAGTGTTATTACTTATTAGATGTTCCAGAATATCTTGAAATTAATTGCCCAAAGCAGTTGATTAAGCTTACCTCGTACCCTGTTTGTACAAAAACTTAAAAACACCAGCCATGAACTTTTGTCAGCATTTCCCATGCTTAATATACCTCTCTGAGACTCTGAACTGAGAGACTCAGATATCTGGTATTGATTTGTATACTATATCAATTTGAAATTAAATTGAAGCAAGCTAAAATATGGCATGATTTTCATAAATTGAGAGTTAAGAGAATTCATTTGATCAGGACTCTTGAAACATTCTCCTTTTAGTGGTTCAGGATTGTGACATTATACTCCTGTGGAAAGAGGTATCTAATATAATTCTTAACCACTTAAATAATAATATATTATCTAATGCCACTTACTGGTTTTCAACATTTATGATCAACCTATAATCAGAAAACAAAGATGTAATAAGCCTTATTGACATTGAAGTTAAAGTACATCTTACAAAAGTTGATGAGGAAGAGGAAGAAACAAAGGAAGTTAGTGGTGGTACAAGATGTATGTTTTTTTGTGTATTAAAATTAGTTAATCACTATAACTAAATTGATAAGACTAATAATTTGTTTGAGAGAGACATACAAGAGTGGAGGTGATGTAAATGTGAAATTTCCCTTTTTCATAAAAGGGAGTCACTGTTTAAAATGAATTAATCAAGAAATAGTAAATACATTTCTAGTATAATATGGTGGAAATTAGAAAAACAGTTTAAAAAACAGAAGCAAAATTTGGTGTTTGGGAGCAGAATAGTCTTTAAATATTTTAACACGTACATATTACTTTCATTAAAAGAAAGAGACAAGAAGTTAAAACACTGGTTACATAGGACCAATGGTAATTTTGTTCTTAAATGAACTTGAAGATTGATATAGGAATTAAATTGTTCCTGTGTTTGGTTGGTTTTTAGGGCTTTTGCCTTTGCAGTCATCATCCTTTTATGGTAGCAGAGCTGGATCCAAGGACTACTCTTCTGGCAGCACTAACTTAGAAAGGTATGTGTTGGTTATAGGTCTTATATAGAACTTGAAGTGATCTCTTCTTGAGAATCTTGAATGATGGAACAGACTATGATGAATTATCCCCTAATTTGAAGTAACAGAATTGATGAGTATCATAGACTCCTAACATTTTAGTTAGGAAGTACTCTAGAAATGTTTTGTTCAAGGTGTTTTTTGGGGAGGTACCTTTTGTCAACAAATGAATAAACTGAGGTTTAGGAAGATTTGTACTGGGACCACAGGATCAGATTCTAGGCTAGTGTATTTTCCATCATCCCAAGTGACTGAGAGCTCTCCTTTGAGAGATGCTCCTGTAAGAGGAAAACACATGTACATTATCAATAGGAAGAGAAAATACTGAAGTCATAGCATTAAAGAATTTGATAACCTAGCTAAATTATAATTCAAGACTATAGACTAATGCTATTTTTAGATACATAAAGATTGAATTTACTCAACAAGAAGAAAACTGAATAAATGAAGGAATGGAAACAAGCCATATCAATGGACAAAATAATTTTAAGCATTTAAAAAAAAATCTAAACACTCAAATTTTTGTTTTGCTGTTGTGTAAACTTGGTAGAAACTTAAAGATGGGGTGCATACAGTAAACAGTAAATCTCCTAGTTATTCTAATTACAGGCAATTAAATCCATCGATATAAAATACTTGGTACTAATAAAAGAGCTCTATGTGATTTCTGTAATACAAGATCAACTTAATATTAATAGTGGTCCTAAGTCAGCAGTAATGAATAAAAAAATCTAATAAAAGGGCCTCCCTGTTGGCACAAAGGGTTAAGCACTGCACTATAAAGCAATCCACAGCCTCTGCAGCACGAGTTCCATCCCCAGCCGGCCAGGGAACAACCCACATGGCGCAGCAGACCTCTCCTGTCTTGCCTCCAGCTCCCCTCTGGAGTGTATTTCACTCAGTCTGCCTGCTCTGTTCCCCACTCTGTCTCTGGTAATGCTCTCACTCCCCACACCTCTGGCCTGTACCCCAGCTCTTATATGCATAAATAAATCTGTAAAAATAAAATCTAATAAGGGCCTTCCCTGGTGGCACAGTGGTTGAGCGCTGGGCTGCAAAGCTGCCCGCAGCCTCTGCAGCACCTGTTCGAACCCTGGCCACCGGCAAGGGTCCCACATGGCGTGCAGACCTCTCCTGCTGCGCCTACTGCTCCCCTCAGCAGTGTATTTCATCGGTCTGCCTGCTCTAGTCCCAGCTCTGTCTCTGGCGAATTCTCTGACCCTCCCACGCTTCTGACTGTACCCAGTGCTTGTATAAAAATAAAAATAAATAAATTTTTTTTAAGAAAATCTAATAAAAGATACTGTGTATGTGAGATCCATAGGAATAAATCTAATAAACATCGCATTTTATGATGAAAAAAATGAATGTGGCACATAAAGAAAGACTTAAGTAAATAGACTGACTATATTTGTTGATAGGAAAGCACAGGGCATCGCTTATTTCCATATTAATTAAAAAAAAAATTAAGGCAACTCCAGTTGGAATGTCAAAGTATTTTTCGTGGAACCAAAGAAAATGAATCTACAGTATTTCAAAAAGTAAACATACAAGAATAACCAAGATAATTTTTAAAAATTCTACAAAAATAGACTTGAATTATCAGTTATGAAAGATATAGTGATGATAAATAATTCAGGGGTTACATTAAAAATAATCACTAGGGGCCTCCCCGGTGGCGCAGTGGTTGAGCGCTGGGTTGCGAAGCTGCCCGCAGCCTCTGCAGCCCCAGTTCGATCCCCGGCTGCTCCCCGGCCACCAGAGGAGGGTCCCGCATGGCATGCAGACCTCTCCTGCTGCCCGCTGCTCCCCTCAGCAGTGTACCTTGGTCCTTCTGCCTGCTCTGCTCCCCGCTCTGGCTCTGGTGAATTCTTTCACCCTCCCGCGCTTCTGACTGTACCCAGTGCTTGTATAAATAAACAAACAAACAAACAAATAAATATATCTTTTTAAAAATAATAATAATAATCACTAGGGCCTCTCCTGGTGGCACTGGCAGTTGACTGCCACACTGTGAAGCTGTCCGCAGCCTCTGCAGCGCCAGTTCAATCCCAGCCAGCCGGCGAGCGTCCCACATTTTGCTGTAGACGTCTCCTGTCACACCCACTGCTCCCCTCAGCAGTGTATTTCGGTCAGTCTGCCTGTTCTGTTCCCCACTCTGTCTCTGGTGAATCCTCTCACCTTCCCGCGCATCTGGCCTATACCCTGGTTCTTGTATAAATAAACAAATAAATTCTTTTAAATAAAAATTAAAAAAAAAAATCACTAAATGCTGAAACAAAATAAGGAACCCAGAAATAATCTTGTGCATATATGAAGACTAGGATTTTGGTAGGTGAAATTAAAAATTAGTGGGGGCCTCCCTGGTGGCATAAGGAGTTGAGACACAGCTTATAAAGCTATCCGCAGCCACTGCAGCACAAGTTCGATTCCCGGCCAGGGAGCTACCCACATAGTGCAACAGGCCTCTCCTGACTCACCCGCTGTTCCCCTGAGCAGTGTATTTCAGTCAATCTGCTTGTTCTATTCCCTACTCTGTCTCTGGTGAGTCCTCTCACCCCGCCCCCCACACGCCTCTGGCCTGTAAGCCAGTTCTTGTGTGCATAAATAAATAAATCTTTAAAAATTAATAAATAAAAATTAGTGGAGGGCCTCCCTGGTGGCCTAAGGATTAAATCTCAGCACTATCACTGCTAAGGCTTGAGTTAAATCCCCAGCCAGGTTGCTAACCTACATATGGCGCTTCAGACCTCTCCTATCTCACCTGCTGCTCCCCTCAGCAATGTATTTCGGTCAGTCTACCTGTTCTGTTCCCCACTCTGTCTCTGGTGAATCCTCTTACCCCCTTGCATCTCTGGCCTGTACCCAAGCTCTTGCATGCATAAATAAATAAATCTTTTTAAAAAAATTAATAGAGGGCCTCCCCGGTGGCACAGCGGTTGAGCGCTGGGTTGCGAAGCTGCCCGCAGCCTCTGCGAAGCCGGTTCAATCCCCGGCTGCTCCCTGGCCACCAGAGGAGGGTCCCACATGGCGCGCAGACCTCTCCTGCCGCCCGCTGCTCCCCTCAGCAGTGTACTTCGGTCCTTCTGCCTGCTGTGCTCTCTGCTCTGGTGAATTCTCTCACCCTCCCACGCTTCTGACTGTACCCAGTGCTGTATAAATAAATAAATAAATCTTAAAAAAATTAATAGAGAATCATAATATTTTTGAAAAATTGATAAGCATATAAGGTTGGGTAGTCCTAAAGGAGATTGGGTGAGAATATTTGTTTTGTTGTTATTTGTAATAATGGAAAAAATTAATTGCCTAAAAGTTAATCAAGGCCAGGTAAATTATGTATGACTTCCATTAAATGGCTAAAAGTGATAAAAAAGTGAAACTATTTATAGTTGTCCTTCCTTACTTGCAGAAGTGTTCCAAGACTCCTGGTAGATACCTGAAACTGCATATACTATGTTTTTTCTATATCTATGATAAAGTTGAACGTATAAATTTAGGCACACTAAGAGATTAACAATAACTAATAATAAAAGAATAATTATGACTGTATACTGTAATAGAAGTTACATGAATATGGTCTCAAAGTATTTTATGTAATATTTTTGGACCATGGGTGATTGAAACCATGAATAAGAAGGGACTATATTATACAGTTTTTCTCAGGCTTTAACTTGGATTATTTCGCTTGCAGGTTAAATAGATACACTATTATATGTCTCTTCAGTTTTGTCATCAACAGATTTGCTAATTTACACTTCCGGAAATTTTCCTTTAGTGACTGTTGTTTCTGATAGTTTCTTAAGTTTAGGATTTTTTTCCCCCTAGTCATTGACTTCTCTAAATCTACTTGGGAAAAAGTAGTCTTCAAAATTGTTCTGTTTCTTCATGATCTATTCTTTTTTATAGGACTAATGTTTCAAACCAAACTCCCTCTGCCAAAAGAAGTTTGGGGTTTCTTCCTCAGCCAGCTCCTCTCTCTGTTAAAAAACTGAGGTGTAACCAAGATTATACTGGCTGGAACAAACCAAGAGTGCCCCTTTCCTCTCACCAGCAGCAACAACTACAAGGGTAGGTAAAATTTTTTATTTTGTCTACTTTTTATAAAGTGATTCAATTGAGTGTGTTTTGCTTGGTATGAAAGAAGTCATGCTAATTATAGTTGTAAAATATTTGCTCGTTTACTAAAGACTTATTGAATCTATAATTAATTTTAAGTCCATTATTTGGTCTCCAAACAAATTTTAAATTTTGGAAAAAAAAAAAATATATATATATATATAGACTTACCTCACTATCCAAAAAGAGCATTCCTACAGAATCTTTGTTAAGCAAAAATAAAGAAAGCAGGGCCTCCCTGGTGGTGCAAGGGGTTAAGTTACAGCACTATTAAGTTACCCGCAGCCACTGTTTGATCCACTGTTTGATCCCCGGCCAGGGAGATAACCCATGTGGCACAAAAGACCTCTCCTGTCTTGCCCGCTGCTCCCCTCAGCAGTGTATTTCAGTAGATCCGCCTATTCTGTTCCCTGTTCTGTCTCTGGTGAATCCTCTCACCCCCTGCACTTCTGGCCTGTACCCCAGTTCTTGTATGCATGAATAACTAAATCTTTTTAAAAAATAAAGAAAGAAAGCAATTACTTTTTATTTATATGAAGTGTTCCCAGGCCCAAATAGTAACCTACCAAATCATACCAGACAATATATAAAACCTAAAAGAATGCTAACATATAGTAAAAGCAGGAATATGACATAATAAATGCACAATTTATAGGAAGTAGTTCCTAAGGAAGGATTTGGTGGTTCCACTGTCACTACTTGGGGGTGGACTGCTTCAACAGTGGCAAAACAAACACTGAGCACCAATTTTTTTTTTTAATTTTATTTTTGCATAGAAGAACTGAGGTGTAGGCCAGAGGTGCTGGGATGAGAGAATTCACCAGAGACAGAGTGGGGAGCAGAACAGGCGCATTTATTGAAATAAACTGCTGAGGGGAACAGTGGGCAAGACAGGAGAGGTCTGCTGCGCCATGTTGTGGATTAGCTCCCTGACCAGGGATTGAACTCATGTGCTGATAGTGTTGAGGCTTAACCCCCAGTGAGGCCCCTAGGTTTTTTTTTTTTTTTACCTTTTTTTTTATAGTATCTTTTTTTTTTAAGATTTATTTATTTATTTATACAAGCATTGGGTACAGTCAGAAGCGCGGGAGGGTGAGAGAACTCACCAGAGCCAGAGAGAGGAACAGAACAGGCAGACTGACAAAGTACACTGCTGAGGGGAGCAGTGGGCGGCAGGAGCGATCTGCACACCTTTGGGACCCTCGCAGGTGGCTGGGGATTGAACCGGCGCTGCTGAAGCTGCGGGCAGCGCGCTCAAGCATTGTGCCACCAGGGGAGGCCCAGATTTTTTACCTTTTATAGTAAAATGAAAATCCTCTTAGGATTTCTTTTGGTTGGCAAAAATAGTTATAAATGTATGTCTTTTGTAAAAGCAATGTGGTATAACAAACTTTCAATAAGTAGGGGATACCTCTGTGTGTGTATTTATTTAATATTCAACATAAAATATATAATATTCACCATAAACTAGAATATGCATTTTCCAATACCATATCATATACTTCATCCTACTCCTTCTCTAGAAATAAGATTCTCCTCTTATTTCAACATTAACTTTCACTTATCATAGAAAAAGATCAAATATGTGGTTACCAGAGACAGTGGGTGTTGGGGTAGGAAGGATTGAAGGAAGATGGTCAAAAATCACAAATTTTCAATTGTGAGATAAATACTAAGATATATGGTGCACATGATGACTGTATAGTTTGCACTGCTGTTTGATATATATGAAAATTATTCCGAGTAAATCCTAAGAGTTCTCATCACAAGGAAAAAGTCCTTTTCTTTCTTTATTTTTTTTTAAAAGATTTATTTATTTATTTATACAAGCACAGGGTACAGTCAGAAGCGCAGGAGGGTGAGAGAATTCACAAGAGCCAAAGTGGGGAGCAGAACAGGCAGACTGACGAAGTACACTGCTGAGGGGAGCAGCACGAGCGTGGCAGGAGAGGTCTTAGCGCCATGTGGGACCCTCGCTGGCTGCCTTTTTTGTGCGCTGGCTGATCTTTTCTATCTGCAGAGGCTGCAGGCAGCTTCGCAGCCCAGCGCACAACCGCTGCGCCACCGGGGAGGCCCGAAAAAGTCCTTTTCTTTCTATTTTATCTGTGTAAGATGATGAATGCTAACTATGCTTTATGCCTTAAATTAGTATAGTGATGTATGTCAAATATATTCAATTAAAACTAGAAAAGCCTCTCCGACCCCATCATGCTTATATTTTTATTAAATTTAAAAAGTGAAATGATAGTATAATAACTATAATAATAGTAACAGTCTTACCTGAAGTGTTTATAATATGCCAGATTATGTGCACTGTATTTACATGGATGTTTAAATCCTTGCAATAGCTCTATTTTTTTTTTTTTTAAGATTCATTTTATTTATTTATGCATATAAGAGCTGGGGTGTAGGCCAACGGTGCGAGAGCATGAGAGGATTCACTAGAGACAGTGGGGAGAAGAGCAGGTAGATCTGCTGAAATATACTGCTGAGGGGAATAGTGGGCAAGACAGGAGAGAGGTCTGCTGTGCCATGTGGGTCAGCTCCCTGGCCAGGGATGGAACTCATGCTGCAGTGGCTGTGGATAGCTTCATAGTGCTGCGACTTAACACTGTGCACCACCAGGGAGGCACACATTTTATTTTATTTATGAAATAAAATAATTTTATTTTACAGTTTATGAATGACTGAGTAGTTGGTAACACATAAAAATATGTATTGTTTCAAATTATAATATAAAACATAAGTTTAATATTATAGAGAATATAGATAATTGTTTCCATTGATTTTTTTAATTCAGGTATAATTAATATACAGCATGGTATTAGGTTCAGGTGTACAACATGATGATTGTTATTTCTATATTTGTGAAATCATCACCACAGTGTCTAGACATCCATATGATGTCTAGATACCTCTTCTTATGGATGTCTAGGAAAAAATTTTTTTCATTTTTGTGATGAGAACCTTTAAGATCTACTCTCTTAGCAACCTATAAATAAGCGATATATCACTCATAGCAGGAATCTAGAAAACTTAAATAAGGGACCAGGAAAAAGAATAACTATAAGAAAGTAAAAATCAAACTCAACAAACAACTATGAACCAGAGACTCTCTATGGGGAGGTGGGGAGGGGACGGATTGCGATCAAAATAAGGGGGTCGCAATTGTATGGGGAATATAAAAATAAAATTTGTAGGGCCTCCCCGGTGGCGCAGCGGTTGAGCGCTGGGCTGCGAAGCTGCCTGCAGCCTCTGCAGCGCCGGTTCGATCCCCGGCCACCAGCGAGGGTCCCACATGGCGCGCAGACCTCTCCTGCCGTGCCCACTGCTCCCCTCAGCAGTGTACTTCGGTCCTTCTGCCTGTTCTGCTCCCTGCTCTGGCTCTGGTGAATTCTTTCACCCTCCCGCGCTTCTGACTGTATGTACCCAGTGCTCGTATAAATAAATAAATCTTTAAAAAAAAAAAAAAAAAAAAAAAAAAAAAATAAAATTTGTAATAAAAATAAAATAAATAAGCGATATAATATGATCACCACTCCATGACTTATTTATATTGTGATTAGGAGTTTGTACTTTAAAAAAAAAAGGGTTTATTTAAAGATTTCTTTATGCATACAAGCACTGGGGTACAGGCCAGAGGTGTGTGAGGTGAGAAGAGGATTCACTAGAGGCAGAGTGGGGTGCAGAATAGGCAGACTGACTGAAATACACTGCTGAGGGGAACAGTGGGTCAAGATAGGAGAGGTCTTCTGTGCCATGTGGGTAGCTCCCTGGCGTGGATAGCTTCACATTGTTGTGCTTAACCCCTTGTACCACCTGGGAGGCCCAGTTTGTACCTTTTGATCACCTTCACCTGTTTCATCTACCCTCTAGCAACCACCAGTTTTATTTTCTGTATCTGACTTATTTTGCTTAGCATAATGCCCTCATTTCCATCCATGTCACAAATGGCAAGATTTCATTTTTAAGAATGAGTTATATTCCATTGTGTGCATGTTTGTGTGTATGTGTGTATAATATATTGTCACATTTTCTTTATTCATCCTTCAGTGGACATTTAAGTTGTTTCCATATCTTGGCTATTTTAAATAACGCTACAGTGAATTTGGGTGGGTGGAAGATATTTTTTTTAGTTAGTGTTTTCTTTAAGTATCCAGAAGTAGAATTGTTGGATCATATGGTAGTCCTGTTTTCAATTTTCTGAGGCACCGCCACACCATTTTCTATGGTGACTGCCCGAGGGTTATCTTCAAATCCTTGCTGACACTAGTTATTTCCTGCCTTTTAAATAATAGGTATTCTAACAGTTGTGAGATAATTATCTTGTGGTTTTGATTTATATTTTCCCAGTGATTAATGTTGAACATCTTTTCATGTTGGTCGTCTGTGTATCTTCTTTGAAAAGAATGTTCAGATCTTCTGCCTATTTTTTAATTAGATTTTTTTTGGTATTATTGAATTGTATACATTCTTTATTTGTTTTGAGTATTTGCATGATTTGCAAATATTTTTTCCAATTCGGTAGGTTACCTTTTCACTTGTTGATAGTTTTCTTTGCTGTTTAATATATTCCTTTTGTTTGTTTGTTTGTTTTCATTTTTTTGGTGTTAAGTCCAACAGTCCTTGCCAAGACCAGTGTCATGGATCTCCCTGGCCAACTGGGAATCGAACCCGCACTGCAGAGCTGCGGACAGCTTCACAGTGCAGCACTCAACCTACTGCGCCACCAGGGAGGCCCAGTTTTGAACATTTTAGGTCTTACATTCAAGTCTTTGATCCATTTTGAGTTTATTTTATGTGTAGTGTAAGATGGTTGTCAGTTTCATTCTTTGGCATGTAACTGTCCAGTTTTCCCAACACCATTTTCTGAAGAGACTGTGTCTTCCTCATTGTATACTCGGTTCCTTAGTCTTATATTAATTCACTATGCATATACATTAATATATGTATGGATTTATTTCTGGATTCTTTATCTGTTAAGTTATTACTCTAATGCTGTGTTGTTCTGATTAGTAACATAATTTGAAACCAGGGCATGGGATGCCTCCAGCTTTGTTCTTCTTTCTCAAGAATACTTTGACTATTTGGTTTTTTTGTGGTTCCATACAAATTTTAGGACTGTTTGTTCTGTTTATGAAAAATGCCTTTGGGATTCTGATAGGGATCACATCAAATCTATAGATTCTTTGGTCAGTATATATATTTTTACAATATTAGTTCTTCAAATCCATGAACATAGAATGTTTTTCCATTTAAGTTTCTTAATGTTTTACAGTTTTCAGTATACTTCATTTTTGTTACTTACATTGCCATGTCTATGGAAAAACATAATGTTTTTCCATTTAAGTTTCTTAATGTCTTACAGTTTTCAGTATACTTCATTTTTGTTACTTACGTTGCTGTGTCCTCAAGTTCACTATTCTTTCCTTGTTTAGTGTCTAATATGCTATTAATCTCACTCAGTTAAATTTTCATTTCAAATATGGTGGTTTTTTCCCTCTCAGGAAGTTTAACTTGGGTGTTTTTAATTATCTCTTTCTTCTTTCCTCATTGTGTTTATATTTTCCTTACAACCTTGATCATATTTATGATAGTTGTTTTAATATCCTTGCTTGTGTTTGAGTTTGATTATTCAAGACTTGTATTTAAGTTCTTTGGAGTCAAATCTAAAGTAGCCTTTAATCTAAGGCAAATTTATTTATTTATTTGTTTGTTTGTTTATTTGTTTCCCCTAGGGCAAATTTAATTCCTTTTCTCAAGAATTGCTTTTCAGGGGTCTCTACTAATACTGCATGAATTCATCTAGGTCTCTTTGCTCTCACTGGTGGGAACTCAAGCAATTTTAAGTGTAATTTAGGAATTGTTTTTGCAAGTAGCTCCCCTGTAATCATTCTTTTCACTGAAGTTCTTGCCTGGTGTCATTAGGCTAAACTCAAGCAGGCACAAGTTGGTGTTTAACTAAATACCTAATGAAACTTACATGTAGATTTCTGAGCTCTTCCTTGACATAGTTTCCTCCTCTTGAGTGCCATGTCTTAGAAATCTTAGGAAGTTCTACCTCTGAGACTCCCAGTTTCTTTCCGTTCTACTCAGCAGGATTTCTGGGCTCTGTTTAGGTACCACACCTGAGACTACAGTTCACAAATTGCTTCCAGGCAAAATCTATATGAGGATAGGACTCACATCCTTTGTTTCCCTTCTCATAAGGATTACAATCCTGTGTTTCCTGTAGTCCAATATTTTATCCATTTTTTAAAAATTATTTATGGCAGTAGAATAATTCCAGACTTTGATACTTTCTCATAATCTAAAGTGGAAGTTCTCCAATAATCAAAATTGGCACCACCAATGAATAAGCACAGGAATATCCTGTGGAATATGGTGCCCTTGGAAAGACACGGTATCACTAGGTACCTTTTCAGCCTGAACTGAATCTTCTCATTATGAGGAAATAGCAAACCCAAACCAGGGAGTGAAAGGAGAACCGTATTCTTTAAGATACCAGTGTTATGAAAGAGAAAGCTAAAGAATTATTCCAGATTAAAGAAAACTAGAGAGACAGGAAAGCTAACTGCATTGTTAACCTGCACTGAATCTTAAGGGAGAAAAAATGCTTAAGAACATTATTAGGTTCAGTTGACAAAGTTGAATTAAGGAAATTAGCTAAGAATATTTAAAACAGCATTCAATTTTATAGTGTTGGTAACTGTACTCTGGTTATGTAAGAGAATGTTCTTATGAAATATACCCTCAGTATTTACAGCTCAAGAGGTATGAGCAATGTAACTTACTGTCAGATGGTTCAGGAAAAGTATGTTTTAGAGAGAGACATGAAATAATAAAGCAGCACATAGTACAAAAGATTAAAAATTGATGAGCTTGGGTAAGGAATATTATTCTTGTGCAGTTTTTCTTAAAGTTTGAGAATATTCCCAAATAAAAGTTTTTTAAAAACATGTAATTTGGGCCTCCCTGGTGGTGCAGGCCATTCAGCACCACACTGTGAAGCTGTCTGCAGCCTCTGCAGCGCAGGTTCCATCGTGGCCAGCCGGCGAGAATCCCACATGGCGAAGCAGACCTCTCCTGTCTCGCCCGCTGCTCCCCTCAGCAGTGTATTTCATCAGTCTGCCTGTTATGTTCCCCGCTCTGTCTCTGGTGAATCTTCTCACCCTCCCGTGCATCTGGCCTGTACCCCGGTTCTTATAATAAATCTTTAAAAAAAAAAACAAAAACGTAATTTTCCAAACATTTGGAGAAATGTTTGATAATAGCCTTTAAAGGTAAACACACAGATATTCTATGATCTAGCAGTTCTACTTCTGGGCATGTACTTAAGAAAAATGAGTTAGTTACATCTTAATGAAAAAATTCAAATGTTCGGGTAAGTGTCCAGAACTTTTTGACATTCATTTGAAAATGTATAATTTTCCTTGAGCTAAAACTAAGTTACTATAATGTTTTAATGCCATGGTCCTCAAAGAGTGGTCCCTAGACCAGCAGCATCAGCATCAACTGGGATCCTGTTAGAAATGTACACTTTTGTATCCTTTCTGTCTGGACTTAATGAATCAGAAACTCTGGAGTTAGAGACTAGCAATATGTATTTTATGAAACCCTCTGGATGATTCTGATGCTTGCCATAGTGGAGAACCCCTGCTCAACATACTTCCAGGAGCTACCGTTGTCTTCAAAAGTACTATTTCTTTTATTTTCAGCTTCTCCAATTTGGGAAATACCTGCTATATGAATGCTATTTTACAATCTCTATTTTCACTCCAATCATTTGCAAATGACTTACTTAAGCAAGGTATCCCATGGAAGAAAATTCCACTCAATGCACTTATCAGGTAATTGTACTTATTGAGTAACCTTTTACTTCATTGACTAGAATAATGGAGATTTAGACCCTTAAAATTTTATGTGCCGTTGTTAACTGTCTTTAAAATACGTGCTAACCTTGTCTTTTTTGCTTTACCAGACGCTTCGCACACTTGCTTGTTAAAAAAGATATCTGTAATTCAGAGACCAAAAAAGATTTACTCAAGAAAGTTAAAAATGCCATTTCAGCTACTGCAGAGAGATTCTCTGGTTATATGCAGAATGTGAGTACTAATTATTTTTAAACACTGTAGAGATAGGGGAAATTGGAATAATTTTAGTGTGTTTGCCTGACTTTTTAAAAACAAAGTTAGGAGTGATTCATTTATTCATATTATTCCAACTGATAGTTAAGAATATAAAATCTGTTGTCATATAATTTTATTCTCAAAACATGTACCCCAGTGTCATTAGATCAAATCTAACCTATTTTCAAAGGTGTTACCTTCTAAGTGCTTTAGTGGCATAAACCTCATTGTTAATAAGAAAGTATTGTAACAAGAAATGGTTGATCTGATTAAGGATATTATGGTCTTTCTTAGGATGCTCATGAATTTTTAAGTCAGTGCTTAGACCAACTAAAAGAGGATATGGAAAAATTAAATAAAACTTGGAAGACTGAACCTGTTCCCGGAGAAGAAAATTCACCAGATATTTCAGCCACCAGAATATATACTTGCCCTGTTATTTCTAACTTGGAGTTTGAGGTTCAGCATTCCATCATCTGTAAAGCGTAAGTAGACTTTCAGAGAACTCATTTTCATTTTATTTTTTAATTTTTTTTTAAAAGATTTATTTATTTATACCCACACCCACTGTGTGGGTACAGTCAGAAGCACAGGAGGGTGAGAGAGTTCACCAGAGCCAGAGCGGGGAACAGAACAGGCAGACTGACGAAATACACTGCTGAGGGGAGCAGCGGGCACGACAGGAGAGTTCTGTCTTGCCATGTGGGACCCTCGCCTGCGGCCAGGAATTGAACCGGTGCTGCAGAGGCTGCGGGCAGCTTCGCAGCCCAGCGCTCAACTGCTGCGCCACCAGCGGTGGTCCTTATTTTGTAATTTTTAAAAATTTTTTATATTTAAAGAGCAGGTTTATTAGGGAAAGGGATGGAAGAATAAAGGACACTTGCATAGACACAAGCGGGCAGGAAGAGCTGCCCTGAAAGGGACAGGTTTGCTGAAAGAGGCCTTTTTCATTTTATCTTTTAATGACAAGTATTTAAAACTTCCAGGGGCCTCCCCGGTGGCGCAGTGGTTGAGCGCTGGGTTGCGAAGCTGCCCGCAGCCTCTGCAGCGCTGGTTGAATCCCCGGCTGCTCCCCGGCCACCGGAGGAGGGTCCCACATGGTGCGCAGACCTCTCCTGCCGCCAGCTGCTCCCCTCAGCAGTATACTTCGGTCCTTCTGTCTGCTCTGCTCCCCGCTCTGGCTCTGGTGAATTCTCTCACCCTCCCGTGCTTCTGACTGTACCCAGTGCTTGTATAAATAAATAAATAAATGAATGATGAATGAATGAATAAATGAATAAATAAATCTTAAAAAAAAATAAAAAAATAAAAAATAAAACTTCCAGAAGATTTTAGTTCATATGTTACCTTTCTTCCTCTGTCAGGATGAAACATTAGTACATCAATGCAACCAGATGCTGTTGTTCATTGTCTTCCTTTTCTATAAAAATGGTTGATGGGGTGAGAACTAAAGAAAAATACCTTGTAAATGCCTTATGTGCTGACTCAAAAGTTAATTTTACTCTATATTTTGTTTTTCTTTTAATCACTGATGAATATCAAGTTCTTTTAGGATACTTGTTTTTTTTTCATTTTCCCCTGAAAATCCCCTCCTATTAGTTGCTTTTTTTTTTTTTTTTTAAGATTTATTTATTTATGCATACAAGAGCTGGGGTATGGGCCAGAAATGCAGGGGGGTGAGAGGATTCACCAGAGACAGAGTGGGAAACAGAAGACAGGCAGACTGACTGAAATACACTGCTGAGGGGAGCAGTGGGTGAGACAGGAGAGGTCTGCTTTGCCTGGTTGTTTATTTTGTTTGACCAGTTTTTATTAAAAGTGTTTGGGGGCCTCCCTGGTAGCACAGTGGGTTGAGCACAGTGCTGTGGGGCTTTCCGCAGCTTCTGCAGCACAAGTTTGATTCCCGGCCGCCGCAGACCTCTCCTGTTTCGCCCTCTGCTCCCCTCAGCAGTGTTTTTGGTCTGTCTGCCTGTTCTGCTCCCCGCTCTGTCTCTGGTGAATTTCTCACCCTCCCGCGCTTCTGGCCTGTACCCTGGTTCTTATAGAAATAATCTTTAAAAAAAAAAAATATCACTGTTGGGCCCCTCTGGTGGTGCAAGGGGTTAAGCCTTAGCACTATGCCCCTGCAGCACGAATTCAATCCACCAAGGACCATTCTGGTCAGAACCAAGTAAGTTTCTATTCTTTGATGCCTACGTGTACCTATCTTTAATTCTACAGCCATTTTTCTCTTGATCTTAACATTTTGTTTCCCCAGAATATACCCTGCGTCCTTATGCTTTTCTTAGTTTAAGATTGATTGATTGATTGATTTATACAAGCACTGGTTACAGTCAGAAGCGCAGGAGGGCGAGAGAATTCACCAGAGGCAGAGTGGGGAACAGAATAGGCAGACTGACGAAGTACACTGCTGAGGGGAGCAGTGGGCACAGCAGGAGAGGTCTGCGCGCCATGTGGGACCCCGCCCGCGGCCAGGGATCAAACCAGCGCTGCAGAGGCTGCGGGCAGCTTTGCAACCCAGCGCTCAACCGCTGCGCCACCAGGGAGGCCCACACTGAACTTTTTAAGCTAGTTGTTCATGTAGTAAAAAATCATGGAAACACTCCATATGTCCATGAGTTATATGGAGAAATTGTGGCATGCTCAAACAGATTAGTTTTAGACAACACTGTAAATGGGCTACAGCCATGTGCAACAAGCATGGTTTAATCATATAGTCCTATTGCTCAAAAGAGACTAGTTAAAAGAAAATACTTTATATGGTTCCATTTGTATAAAGTTCAGAAACAGGCCAAACTCAACTGTTGTGTTAGAAGCCAGGAATGATAGTTACCTTTTGGGATAAAGAGGGGTAGTGATTAGGATAGAACATGTGAATAGGCTTCTAGAAAGTTCATATCATTCTATTTCTTGATTTGAATGGTGATTACATGGGTGTGTTAACTGATAGTTTTTTTTTATTAATAATTTTTTACATTAATTTTTTTAATTTTTTACATCATTGTTCATTTTTAAACAATATTTGCTTCACCCCACTTCCTCAGGTGTATGGGGACTATACCTTAACTGATAATTTTTTAAGCTGCACAACTTTGACTAGTTCACTTTTCTATATGTGTCTTATACTTTAGTTTTTTTAAGTGATGGTTTTTTGTAAGTATGAAATGTAAAACTTTAACTTTTTTAAAAAGGTAATTAAACGTGCTTGAGGTTTTACTGTGTTGTTTTAGATAAATTAAAATAAGAAAGAGAAAAGTCTTAAATGTCTATTTCTCATGCCTCGTTATAGTTTGTCGGTGCCTAATAAATTGTGTGGGGGAACAGTATTTTAGAAATATATTCGTTTTTATTTTTTGTATTGCAGTTAGACTTATAAATGCTTATACTTGTCTTTCATTCTTACAGATGTGGAGAGATTATTCCCAAACGAGAACAATTTAATGACCTTTCCATAGACCTTCCTCGAAGGAAAAAGCCGCTCCCTCGATCAATTCAAGATTCTCTTGATCTTTTCTTCAGGGTAAATAATATCTTTTGGTGTCTTCACATAACTAAAGGTTATGTAACATAAGTAATTGTATTTGAAGTTGGTTTCTTTAGACAGAATTTTGATGAAATTGCTTACAGGGTGAACAAATGAGAAATATTTACAAATAATTATTTTAAAAGTCTTGATAAATTGTTAACTCACTAAAGAAGGAAATTGATTATTTAAGTTGATTGTGCATTTAACTCAGTAGCAAGTGTTTTAGACAACCCTAGAAACAGTTATTTGAAAACAAATATTAATTTGAAGAATATGAAGGGACATGCTAAAATTTGGTAATTCAAATTAAAATTGAATGTATCACACAAGTTAATATGCTAAGATCTGAGGAATCAAAAAATATGCTGCTTTTTCTCAGGTTTTATGTACCCTGTTATAAACAAAAGGGAAGAGTCTTGTTTATCACAAGTTGTAGATAAATATTTGCGTCTGTGATGCTATTAGAGATTCAGAAAGTTTTGGGGGCATAATTGAACTTATTATGTTAAACTATAGTAGTCCTTTTAACTGATGGAAATTTGCTGGGATCTTCCTTTGTTGTATAATAGTGGTTCTTGTTTTGGTGTTTCATATGGGCAGGTTTGTTTTCCTAAGTTTAAAAAAGCATAGTCTTTAAATGCTGAATATTCAGCTCCACCCAAAGATAAATACTCTGTTTTTCTTTTTGTTTTAATTATTCCTTCTATTCCTGTTGTTATAGTAGAATTTGAATCTTTTCCTATGTATCTTTACCCCCATTTTTTAAGGATTTCTTGTTTCAGTTTTCTCTAGGTAATGATATGCACCCCAAACTTTGGTCCTTTTAGAGCAGTTGTTCTTAGTGGGCTGTCACCAGAAGATTGAGTTCCATTATAAGAAAGGGGTAGAGTTACACCTAACTGACCAGGAACTCCGCCTAACCTGAAGGTGATCTTATCTCTGCTATGGCCAAATGTTAAAAATCTAGATATTCTCTTGGCAGTGGTTCTTGTGTACCCAAGGGGAAAAGGTTGAGAATATGCTGCTTTAGAGTCTGGTTACTATCAGAAATTGAGATGTTTCCTTGGAAAAAAGGAAATTAGGAAATAGGGCATATATTATAAAATAAATATATTTTGAGGATTAGGTTTTAATTTAGTAGAGTCTGTAACAAAATTTAAACTGGTTTGGAGTTGTCATTCCATTGAAAAAATATGACGAGAGAAGATCATTAACATTTAATGGGGTAAAGCTTATTCAGCTTCGTGCTTCTTTATTTTTCCCTATTATCATTTTATAGGCAGAAGAACTTGAGTATTCCTGTGAGAAGTGTGGTGGGAAGTGTGCTCTTGTCAGGCACAAATTTAACAGACTACCCAGGTAAAATTAGTTGCTCTTTAATTTTTCTTATTTAAAGTACAAATAAAAGTAAGGCTTACCAGAATGGATTGTTGAAGAAGTTCAGCAAAGCTGAGATACGAAGACAGTAGTAGATGGAAAGCTAGAATGCTCTTACATGAGAAAGGAAAAGGATTTAGAATATTGAAGAAGGGACTTTTTTTTTTTCACATTTTATTTAAATTTTATTTTTTATATTCACATACAATTACAACCCCCTTATTTTGACCCCAAGCCCTTCTTTCCCCGCCCCCCACCCCCCATAGAGTGTCTCTGGTTGGTTGTTGTTTGTTGATTTTGATATTTTTTTTCTTACAGTTATTCTTTTTCCTGGTCCCTTATTTAAGTTTTCTAGATTCCTGCTATGAGTGAGACCATCCGGTATTTTTCTTTTTCTTTCTGGCTTATTTGGAGAAGGGACTTTTGAAAATCCCAAGAAACTGTTAGTGTAATGCTGAAAGAATAATAGGGACTAGCTAGTAGTGCAGTATTGCATAACATTTATAAGTTGTTTTACTGTAGCCTCCTTTTTCCCACATTTGTAAAATCTGCTACAGACACATACACATGCACATGAAAATTAAGTAGAAAGGGTAGTTTTCTTCAATTTGTGTGTTCCTTTGTTCAGAAGATCTTTTAAGTTAGTAAGTTTGCAGTAATCATAAGATAATTTTTCTGAGTTAGGAGTGAAATTAACTTGTATTCTATTAGCGCTGTAGAGACAAAAATAAAACCAGGGCCTCCCCTGGTGGCGCAGTGGTTGAGTGCTGGGCTGCGAGGCTGCCCCCCAGCCTCTGCAGCACCGGTTCGTTCCCCAGCCGCCGGCGAGAGTCCCACAAATAAATAAATAAACAAACAAACAAACAAATAAATAAAAAACCAAACTAGTTATAAAATTATGATGTGGTTATAAGACAGCTTTTAGTTCTTTCCAAGAACAGATCTCAACCACAAACAAGGTTATCATTAAGTATTTATATGGCACTTTTCCTGCAGAGTGCTTTACTTTCTTTTATAAGCTTCTGTTATGGATTTCCTAGAACCTCGCCCCTGGATACTACTTCTTTTACATTCCTCTTTCACCTTCCTGTTCCATCCTAGAAAATTCTTTTCTTTTAAGAAATTATTTTGTATATCACAGCAATATTATTATGTTGACCATAGTTTGTATTTTTCACCTTTTTTTTTTTTAAGATTTATTTATGTATGCAAGAACTGGGGTATAGGCCAGAGATGTGGGGGGTGAGAGGATTCACCAGAGACAGAGTGGGGAGCAGAACAGGCAGATTGACTGAAATACACTGCTGAGGGGAGCAGCGGGCAAGTCAGCAGAGGTCTGCTGCACCATGAGGGTAGCTACCTGGCCGGGGATTGAACTCGTGCTGCAGAGGCTGTGGATAGCTTCATAGGTTGCAGCTTAACCTGTGCCACCAGGGAGGCCTCCGAGGCCCTGTATTTTTTATTTAACATATTTGTTCTTTCCTATTTGTGAGTGTTTTGAGGCAGGTGTATGGGAAGAAGAAATCTTAAGACATAAGGTTGAGTTGCTGGCTGTCATTAACCAGTGTACAATTGGAAATACTTGCTTGACCTGGCAAGTGAAATGTCTCTTCCCTTTTCCATTCTCTAGTTATCTGGCCTTTTAAGTTTTTCTCCTGCTTTTCCTTTTTTCTTTCCTCATAGGTCTTTTAAAGGTGTTAAAGGTCAACTTATTCCAAACATACATGAACTAAAAACCTTTGTATCATAAATCCTAATTTTTGGACTTGCTTGCTCTGTTTTAATTCATTTTAATATTCAAAGCCAATCTACTTTTATTCTTGAAGGGCCTGACTTTTTTTTTTTTTTTTTTTTTGCCTCTTAATAGCTTTTTTTTTTTATTAGTTTTTTAAATTTTTTTACATCATTGTTCATTTTTAAACAATATTTGCCTCCCCCCACCCGGGGCTGACATTTTTTTTCAAATCTGTTCATTTTTTTGTTCACATCTTTACATATTAGTAATTTTTACCGTCATTTACCTGTTTCATACTATATTATCTTTTTTTTTTTTTTTTAAAGATTTACTTATTTATTTATACAAGCACTGGGTACAGTCAGAAGCGCGGGAGGGTGAGAGAATTCACCAGAGCCAGAGCGGGGAACAGAATAGGCAGACTGACGAAACACACTGCTGAGGGGAGCAGCGGGTGGCAGGAGAGGTCTGCGCGCCATGTGGGACCCTTGCCAGCGGCCAGGGATGGAACCGGCGCTGCAGAGGCTGTGGGTAGCTTCACAGCCCAGCGCTCGACCGCTGCGCCACCAGGGAAGGCCCCTATATTGTCTTTTGATAGGATTATTTGAAATTCTAGTGTAACTATGCATTTTAACATTAATTTTAGTCTCTTCATATCATTTGAACCTTTGTGTGCTCTCCAGTTGTTGTGAAGATTATGAATTATAACATATTCTTTAAAGAGAAATATAACTAATAACTTCAGTTTACAAATTTTTGAGTTTGTTGCTCCTGCAAGGAATGTATATATGGTAAGAAAGGATACAGTTTTCTTAAGTCAGACATTATTTTTGCCTAGAACTCTTACAGGAATAATTTCCTGTAAGAGTTCTAAAGTTCAGTTTTTAATGTTGTGGGCTGTGAAATGTATTTTATCCATCAAAGAGAGCATATGATCTGTACCACAGGTGAAAAGGTTGCTATACTAGTTACTGCTAAAAAGAAATGTTTCTACAGAGCTAAAAGCCTTTTCAGACCCACAAACCAGGTCTGGCATTTAAATTTTGTAGAACTTTTTTCTAAACAAAGAAATTTCTCTATTTTCTCTCTTTCACCAGAGAAAGTTCCACTGAAATGAGAATAGTTCTTGTCAAATAACCTTTGATAAATTAATATTCACCATCAAACATAAGGGATGCTTAATGTTTTAATTACCATCAGCAGTTACCTAATACCTATTTTTTTATAAATGGTTTGACATTGAAGTAAATAACTTAAGAATTTAACCCACTATCAACAACATTTGAAAATTTAGTATCTTGTCTGATGTGTTTTACTTAATATTATAAAGGAACATCTAAGGATATTATAAGCATTTTACTCAAGTCTCATTTATCTGCCCAGGGCCTATGTTTTATTTATACTTACATTCTTAGTACCTAGCACAATGCCTGGCACCTGGGGTATTTAGTAAATGTTCTTTGAATTTATTCTTTAAGTTAACAACTGTTGTGGTTAGTTACAGTAATTTTTTTATCTATAAGAGAGCTGCCTCTATTGGACAGTAATGTTCTCATATCCTGTTTTTCAGGATCCTCATTCTTCATTTGAAACGTTATAGCTTCAATGTAGCTCTCTCAGTTAACAACAAAGTTGGGCAGCAAGTCATCATTCCAAGATACCTGACCCTATCATCTCATTGCACTGAAAATACAAAACCACCCTTCACTCTTGGTTGGAGTGCACATGTGGCAATGTAAGTCCATAGGAGAGAATTTCTTTACCTTCCCTTTTGAGCTAGAAAGACTTTAGAATCTTATCAAAAGAGTGACTGAACTAGATAACACAACTCCAAATAAAATCAACAGGAAATGTTAATCTTATTTTGGAATTTTAGTGTTAAATTACTCCCTGACTGAGGTAATTCTTCCAAGTACATTAGTTGCCTTGGAAGAATTCTTCCAAATAAGTTAGTTACCTTTCATAATGAGTTAACCTTCTTAGGAAGTGCTTTTACTGTTTCAGTCACAAGAAGACAGTTTGATACATTTTAGGAATATAAGCCAAATTTGATGGATCATAAAAGTTGCCTGAACACAAAAAATACCAATTCTTGTGTTCTTTTCTGAGAAGTTCTGTTTCAGTAGATTTGAGATAGGATTTGGGAATGAGAATTTTTAACAAATACCTTTTGCTGACTCTTTGAGAAATGCAAATTGAGAAATAGTCTACTAAATGTTATGCTGGAGCCCACAAATAGACTGTGTCTTCATAAAATGTATTATCATCAATCTGAGTACAGAACTTCAGTGTCTCCTACAAAATTTTCCATGAGAAAGAGGTAATACTTACATTTGATTTTGCTTCATCATGTGTTCTGGGAAAACCTTAGGACTTCTCCATGAAAATCTCTGAATCTTTTTCTTTGGCATACTTGGATTACTAAAGAGCCATATATTGTACTTCTTTTTCATACTTGAACACTAGTGAAATAAAGTTTTAGAACTCTAGGGGTAAAAGGGATATTAGAGATTTTCATTTTTTAAAAAAGTTTTATTTATTTTTGTGTAGCAGAACTGGGGTGTAGGCCACACTTGCAGGAGGTGGGAGGATTGTGTGACGAGGATTCACAAGAGACAGAGTGGGGAGCAGAACAGGTGGATTTACTGATACACACTGCTGAGGGGAGCAGACAAGAGTGGTCTGCTGTCCCATATGTGAGTTAGCTCCCTGACCAGGGATCGAACTCAGGCCGTAGCAGTGATAGTACTGAGCCTTAATCCCTAGGCCACCAGGGAGGCCTGGGATGTTAGAGATTTTCTCTAAATTCTTAATTTTACAAAGAAGATCCAAGATTAACTGAAAGAGCTATGTCTCTTGACTAAAGTGGAATAATAGACATTTCAGAAAATGCATGAAGATTTGCAACTTGAATTGTTGCAGTTTTATAAATTTGTTACCCATTGGTTGAATAAAATATATACTACATTATGTAAATTTGTACTAAAGGCCTCAAAAGATGTACTAATAAAGACATGTGCCCAAAAGTCTTAGTGTTTCTGGTTTTCTCTATGGCCTTTCTTTGGAATAGATGTCATTGTTTGATATAAATTGCTTTCTGGTACAGCCGTTACACTTATATTGGCAGTGGTACCATATCAATCTACCAATATAGACACTTTACCTTCACACACCAGAAACCAGCTATCTGACTCTACAGTTTTAATAGCTTTTAGACTTTGAACAAATTCCTTAATCTGTCTTTAGGGTGGTATGAACAATAAATGCAGTAATACACATGAGTTCTTAGTACAGTGCCTGATAGCTATCGAGTAAGTCCTCAATAAATGAGAGCTGTTATTATTTTATTGCTTAAAAGTAAAAAACTGAGACACCGTAGTTTTTTCCAAGTTGTTTTCATATGTAGTATATTTGACTTCATTTCCAGTTCTGTTTATTTAGATTATTTTATGAGGGAGAGCCTAGAAATCATATTTTGCGTTCTCTTTTTGTCTCTATTACTAAAGTATAATTGTTTGCTTTTCAAGAGGATATATAAGGGACTATAATGCAGAATAGTTCACTTTATAAATTATACATATATTTTTTAACAATGTAACTGTGTACATTATATATTTTCTAATAGTTCTAGACCATTGAAAGCCTCTCAAATGGTGAATTCCTGCATCACCAGCCCTTCTACACCTTCAAAGTGAGTTATATTCCTTGTGTACCCAAAATCTTTATTTTTAAAGAATTTAGCTTACCCTAATTTTCAAGTTTGTTCCCTCCTTTGCTTTATTGTTTCTCTTCTGCATGATAACTGCTCTATATTACCGTATTTTTTGAATTTTCCACTGTCTTCTTTAAACTATAATCTAGGATATAGCAAATTTTTAACAGTGACGCAACTTCAAATGATCCCTTCAAAACTTTGTTTTACAACTTATCAAATCATCTAATATGTAATGCTTTCATCCTACAATTCTAGAAATTGACTGATGATGAAGAATTTTAAGGAGTAAAATAACCCCTGTTGGCGTAAAGCACCATTCCTTAAAGATAGGCATGGAAATCCCAAAATATCTTTTTACTTATTGCAATCAAGTCTGGGACTGAACTGGTCACTGAACTGGAGCTATTCAGAAAGGGGACAGGAAAACAAACACAACACTGGAATGTGACTATTCTATAAATGTTTTGTGTTTTTTGCTTAAGACCAGAAGTTTATCCAAGGAGGGAAGCAAATACTTCTCTTTACCTCTCTTTAACTAGAACCACAGTTCCTGATTAGACAATTCTAAATGACTTGGTTGTCATTTGTCTTTAAAATTAACTTTTCTAAAAACTTCATGTCCAAAGCACTCTTGGAAAAGAGACACATTGTTTAAAGGTTTTTGGGGGGCTTATATAACCAAAAATGACTTTTGGGAACTGCTATTTTCTTTTCCTCCTGTTAATTATTTTTCAGTGCAATTAAAACAAGATGACTAACATGACTAGAAATCTGAAATGGTACCGATATGAATACTCTTGCCCGTTCTCAAGATACAAATGAGCAATACCACTTGGCTGCTTAGAAAGTGAGCAAGTGATGCATTTACAGGATGAATAATTTTCATTGCTACAGGCAAGCTGCCTTCTGTGAATATAGTAATTATTAATGGAATGCACTCTTTATGTACCAGATCACTAGTTTCAAGAAAGAGATGGTTTCATTGGGCATCATTATATTTGGCATGGTCATTTGTTCTCCAGGGTCTACTGGTATCTAAGAATTTGAGAGTTGTTCAGTAAAGTTTGATTAGGCCCTAGAAGACCTGTCATGCCGATCAAACTTAAAAGAGGCTGAGTTCTGAACCAAAATGCCATTAGTTCTACAATGTCCTTTTCCACATTTGACCCTGCTACAGTAGTAGACAGGAGTCATCTTTCAGCAAAGTATTTAATTACATGAATGAACAAATTAATATGTTCAGTTTTGCTTGGTAAGCATGAAATCAGAAATGAGGAATTAAGATGGCTAATTGGCTATTTCTAAGTTATACTGACTAAAAGCCCTTTGAACACATAATGGGAGGCTATTCAAATGTTCGGGCTGGAGTGCAGTGATATCTTAACTGCCCTCAGCCACAGACTATGGGTTTGTCACTGACCACTTGCCTCTTTTCTTTGATCTACATTGCTATGCAATTCTCCTGATTTCCATTGTGGGCTTGTATTTCTTGGTGCCATCATTCTATTTGTTTATTTACAATTTTCGCATTTAAATTAATTGCGTTTTTCCATTTTACCTTTTTTTAGTATAGCATATGAATTTATGTTAACATCCATGAAAGAAAGTCCATGCTCTTTGACCTTTACCACCTTTTTCATTTATTTTCAGTTCACTTAGAAGACAACACAGTAACACGTTACTTATCTGGTATCACTGAAGAATGATATGTTTTTAAAAAGTTAACCATTTTAGATGGTATATTCTCAGTAACCTCTTAGATTACTTATATTCTTCAATAAATTGCACTGAAGATAATTTAAATCTATTGTAATGAAATAGAACCAGCATTATGAGTATTCATTATTACACTGTTTTAATATGATAATGCCCTCTACGGCTCTTAATTCTTACAGGACAGTTTACATTAAATAATTTTCTAGTTCTTTATTGTCCTTTTTGTGGTTATATTCTCTCATCTCTTATTAGCTCTCATTTCTTGATGAACTTGCTAAATTATTTTATACACCATTTCCTGGGTAAGAAAGGGAAAGAGTCCCTATCTAAGGAGTAAAGTGCATGGGCTTTGAAACTGCTACCTTCCTCAGAAGTCTTTTTCTTATTTTGGAATCCCTGTGATCTGGAAGGTAGAGGTTACCAGAAGTCTGACCTACATATAATTGGATAAGTGGAATGTTACTGTTAATTTTAAAGTGCATGGATCATAATTTAAAAGATCAAAAATTATTCCTCATGCACTCTGTTGTCAGAGACATTCATTGCTATGTCTGCATGCATTCAACTGAATACTTGCTTTATAAATACAATAAAAAATTTCTTTGGGGTTGATCATTAAAAGAAAAAAGGCACAAAGTGATTAGTTACCGATGATCTATTATAACAGCGTAAGAGTTGTCTAATTTTCGAAGCATGGCTCTTTTGGATTGGGGCAAAGGTAATGCTTAAATATACCTCTTTTGATATATCATTTTTTCTCTGTTAAGTCATTTTCAATAATGGAAAAGCCTTTTATTTTGGTATTTAACATTAAAAGAATAACAAGGAAAAATACTTATCAGACTTATATAGGTTTGTTTGTTTTTTTTTTTTTTAAATTACAGGAATTTCACCTTCAAATCCAAGAACTCCTTGACTTTATGCCTTGACTCAGACAGTGAGGATGAGCCAAAACGCTCTTTCACCCTCAGCCAGAGACTTTGTGAAATGTCGGGTAGTGAACAGCAGCAAGACGACCTGGAAAAAGTAAGTACATTCTCATTAAAATATTGTCTGACAAAGGTTTATATAGCTCTACTGTCCAAATAAGTGGTTTTCATAACCAACATCATCAAACTTAATAAATATACAGGATAGATCATAAACTTAATGGATCTGTCCAAACATTAGTTTTAAATTGTGTGTGCTTTCTCTGGCTACAAACACCAGTCTGTTTAAATAAACATGGATTAAATCTTTAAGAAATGAGCGTTTTTGTAGATAAATTGCTTTCTCCTATTAATCTTCAAACTTCTTTTACATATTGGTCATCAAATAATTACTTATTTTATTTTGAAGAGAGAGGTTTTTTTTAAAGAGTTTTTTTTTTTTTTTTTTAAGATTTGTTTATTTATTTATTTATTTATTTATGCATACATACATACAAGCACTGGGTACAGTCAGAAGTGCGGGAGGGTGAGAGAATTCACCAGAGCCAGAGCGGGGAGCAGAGCAGGCAGAAGGACTGAGGCACACTGCTGAGGGGAGCAGCGGGTGGCAGGAGAGGTCTGCGCACCATGTGGGACCCTCCTCTGGTGGCCAGGGAGCAGCCGGGGATCGAACCGGCGCCACAGAGGCTGCGGGCAGCTTCGCTCAACCGCTGCGCCACCGGGGAGGCCCTACTTGTTTTATTTTGAATATGGGAAGCCATAGTAAAGGTTTTACATCAACAGGCCGACTAGGTCATCTAAAGGTTTAAATAATGTAATAAAGGCATAAGTACATCATTTTCTTGATTCTTAATGATAGTTAATACCTTGAAGATAATATGCTTTTCTAGGAGTTTGCACCATCTCGTGCATTTGTGCTTCATTTTGAATCTTTTTTTTGATAAGATAATGTAATTATCATAGTAGTTCATTTTTGTTCCTGTTTTCCATCTTACTTTAAAGCTAGAGATAGTGTGTGGTTGTTCTGTTGAATGAGGAATGACAGAAAGTCAGAAAATATCCCCAGAAGTGAAAGTTATTCAGCAGCTTCTGAATATAACATGATTATAGAGTAACTTTTATTTTTAGCATTTATTTAAAAAAAAAAAAAAACAAGACCAGCCAACATTAAAAAGGCATATTAGGTGAAATGACAGACTCTTTACAATATTATATAATTGATATATATCTGGAAGAAAATACATCATCATAATTATCTGAGTGATAGATTTTGAGTGAATTTGTTATTTTTATGTATTTTATATATTCCAAATACATACAAAGAACATGCTTAACATTATTAGGATAAACACATATCCTTATATAGTTAATTTTTTTTTAATGGAAGGTTTTTTGTTTTTTTAAAGATTTATTTTTATACAAGAACTGGGGTACAGGTCAGAGGCATGGTAGGGTGAGAGCATTCACCCGAGACAAAGCAGGGAGCAGAACAGGCAGACCGAAGGCACTGCTGAGTGGAGAAGCGGGCGAGACAGGAGAGGTCAGCTGTGCCATGTGGGAATCTCCCTGGCCAGCCGGGAATTGAACCCGCACTGTGGAGGCTGCGGACAGCTTCATAGAGCTGCACTCAACCTGCTGCGCCACCAGGGAGGCCCCAGTTACTATTTTTAAAAAATTAAACTTGCCAGTGACTTTACATATTAATTATTACTTGTCAAACAACCAGAGCTGCTAAGAAAGGTAGATTTTTAGATATAAACTCTCACTTTAAACTTAAGATTGCTATATTTGTAGGCATTTAGTGTCCTCTAAAAGTAACTTTTCTTTAGGATTCAAAATCATGCAGAATAGAGCCTGATAAGTCTGAATTGGAAAACTCTGGATTTGATGGAATGAGTGAAGAAGAGCTTTTAGCAGCTGTTTTAGAGATAAGTAAGAGAGAAGCTTCACCATCTCTGAGTCATGAAGAAGATGATAAACCAACCAGCAGCCCAGATACTGGATTTGCAGAAGATGATATTCAAGAAATGCCTGAAAATCCAGACCCTATGGAAACTGACAAGCCCAAAACAATCACAGAACTGGGTAGGTTTGATGAAGGTAATATATTTAAAATAAGGTGTAACTACATTCCAAAGTTTTATAGTGACAAGTGCTTCTGAATGACAGTAAGTGCGATAGCTCTGTAACACAGAGCTAATACTATTTTTATGCTTACTATTTTTTCAACAGTTTAAAAAATGAGAAGTAAATATTGTGAGTAGTATCCAGAGGCTAGTGGTAAAGTGTGTCATATCCCTTTGGGTGTACAGCAAAAGAAAGATTAGTTTTCTTCTGTGCAAATGTTTGTGTCAGGTTGGTTCTCTTTAACTCCCCACTCTTATCCAAAATCTGTATAATGTTTCTTCATTTTTTATTTCTGAACTTATACCAGATTTTAGTGAATATATAATTCAAGTTTTCCATTCTTTGGTTTCATCTTTTCATATTGGTAGTACGACCAATGAGTAAGAAGTCAGCTTTTAGGCCTCTAGTCTTGGCTATAGCACTTACTTGCTTTAAAGTTTTATGTAAGTTAACCTCTTTGATGCTTATTTTTCTTATTTCCCTATGGAGATCTGCCCCGCATACTTCAAAAGACTGAAGGGGAATGTTAGTATACATATAATGTAAAGTGCTATACAAATTTAAAAAATGGTTTGAAGATTCTGGGGACCATGAGAATAGTAGTATATCTCCAAATTATTTTCTGTATTCATGGGGGTTAGGAATCATTAATTTGGAATTCTTTTATGTGCAAGTGAAGTAAGAATTAGAATTTCCTCAATTTAACTGGAAACAAGCACTTACAATTTTTATATATAGATATTCCTTTTTTTTCTCTCTTGATACATTGATCTTATAAAATCTCCTTGTCTTATTAAACTTATAATCACTGTCCTTAGATATCATTGGTTCATACTAGTGGATTTATCCATTGCAGTATATATTTCTTGCTTTCAGCTCTTCTATTTTCTTAGTCCTTTTAACAAAGGAAGTTATTTATTACTAGTAGTTCTAGATTATCTGTGCCAATGCAGGAGAACTCTGAGATTATCAAAATCATTGCTAATCACAGGGGCTTTATAACTAGCGCAGCTTTGGAAAGAGAAAACTTGTTAACAAGAACTTTATATCTTCATATAAGATCCTCTGTTTATTAGCTACTGTCTTCACCAGTTGGATGCAGCCTCTTTTTGTTTCCTGTTTCTTTATTCTCAACATTCCATTCACCTTCTTAATGTAACTGAAAGCTAAAGATGTTGCTGCTTCTACAGTTCTTTTTTTATATATCAGTTATGAAAAATATTGATAAAGACAAAATAGAGGATGTCTATAATAGACCTTCCCCCCATACCCATTATGTGGCCTCAGTAATTATCAATAAAAAACAATCTGTTTGGGGGCCTCCCTGGTGGAGCAAGGGGTTAAGATGTAACCTATGAAGCTATTCGAAGCCACTGTAGCACAAGTTCGATCCCCTGCCAGGGAGCTACTCACATGGCGCAGCAGACCTCTCCTTTTCCCCGCTGCTCCCCTCAGCAGTGTATTTCAGTCAATCTGCCTGTTCTGTTACCCACCTGTCTCTGGTGAATCCTCTCACTCTCCACACCTCTGGGCCTGTATCCCAGTTCTTATATGCATAAATAAATAAATCTTTTTAAAAAATATTCAATATTGGGTAATTTTGTCTTACTTCCACATTTCCAGAAGTAACCTGATTGACTCAGATGTCCATTGCTTGTTCAGTGAATTAAGGCCAAGGGGACAGATTGGACTTGTAAATTGTAGACTATGGAAATGGGTGTTTCTCCAGGAGTTCAGGAAAGTGTATTTTTTAAATTGAGATCCTATTGTTTTTTGCACTTAAGTTATCCCAGGTTTCTTATTCTCATACTGAATACTCAGAATAAGAGTACACAAGGGGTTAAGCACAGCACTATGAAACTCCGCAGCTTCTGCAGCACAAGTTTGATCCCCAGTCAGGACACTACCCACATGGCGCAGCAGAGCTCTCTTGTCTTGTCTGCTGCTCCCCTCAGCAGTGTATTTCAGTCAGTCTGCCTGTTCTGTTCCCCACTCTGTCTCTGGTGAATCCTCTCACCCCACCCACACACACACACACACACACTGTACACACACACCCCTGGCCAGTTCTTGTATAAATACCTTTTTTTAAAAAAAAAAAAGATTTATTTATTTATTTATACAAGCACTGGGTACAGTCAGAAGCACGGGAGGGTGAGAGAATTTACCAGAGCCAGAGTGGGGAACAGAACAGGCAGAGCGATGAAATACACTGCTGAGGGGAGCAGCGGGCGCGGCAGGAGAGGTCTGCGCACCATGTGGGACCCTCGCCAATGGCTGGGGATCAAACTGGCGCTGCAGAGGCTGTGGGCAGCTTCGCAGTCCAGCGCTCAACCTCTGCGCCACTGGGGAGGCCCAATAACTTTTTTTTTTAATTTAAAAAAATAAAACTCATTGCTGGTTTAGAGTCTAAAATCAAAATGCTATAAGCCTCAGAGTTGTCTGTGCTGCAGAGAATTATCTATCATTTAAATGGTTAAAATTCAGTGTTAGGACAGATAGAGTATATACAGTTTTTTTTTTTTTTTAATTTTTATTTATTTATACAAGCACTGAGTACAGTCAGAAGTGCGGGAGGGTGAGAGAATTCACTAGAGCCAGAGCGGGCAACAGAACAGGCAGAGTGATGAAATACACTGCTGAGGGGAGCAGCAGGCGCTGCAGGAGAGGTCTGTTGCACCATGTGGGACCCTTGCCTGCGGCTGGGAATCGAACCGGCACTGCAGAGGCTTGGGGCAGCTTCGCAGCCCAGTGCTCAGCTGCTGCGCCACCAGGGGAGGCCCTATACAGATTTTAAATAATCCGCATAAAATTAATCTAAAGGTAATTTTTGTTGATAATTTCTTTTGATAAGAATTTCCTTAACTTGTTAAGATGAGACTTTCTGCTTGGGTAAAAGTTTTGTAAGTACAATATATACGTGTAAGTGTTATAAAAGAAGACTACTTTTCACTCAGTTACCTGTGTTAAAAATTATAAGGACATTTTTGCTCTCAATTCAGATAGCCAAAGCAAAATAGTGATCATATTGTTCATTCCAACTGACCATAGTATAGAGATTCAGAAGGTGCAAAAAGAAATGATTAATTTTTTTCTTACCCTCCTGGATGTGTGTGTTAAACATATAGGTTGTCATAGATTGTGCAGCATGTGAAATATGTATTATTGATACATACTTTTAGCAGCTCTTTTGATTTAGAATATATACAAGGCTTATTTGATTATCAATATGAAAACATACTCATTTGATATGCAATATAATAAATGGGAAAATCTCAACATAGCTTAATCATTCTAGCCTAATTCTTTTATATAATATAATTTATATATATTTTACATCATTGTTCATTTTTGTACAATATTTGCTTTCTCCTCTTAGGTGTAGTCCCCATAGAATTCCCACCACCAATTCACACACCGCACCTACCTGCATGTACCATCACCATAGTCCCTTGTGTTCTTCCCTCGCCTGTTTTGATCCCTCTCCCTCCCCCTCCCCTGCAAAATGTCTGATTTATAGTTGCCTGTTAATTTTGTCTAACTTAATTCTTATTTAATTTACTCTAAATAATACTTTGTTCCTGTTACTTGGTCATGTGTCATTATGATCTATGAATACTATTGGTATGAATATGACTATTTATTCTTTTCCATCCTTAACCATAGTGTGCTTGTGAGATTGGTTGAGTTTCAGAACCATTGCTTTAAATCAGTGGTTCTTAACCAAAGACACTTTTGTCCCTAAGGATATACATTTGACAAAGCTGTGACATCTGGTGGGGGTGGGCGGGGGGTGAGGGGGGAGTGCTACTGGTATCTAGCAAGTAGAGTTTCAGGGAAGTTGCTAAACATAATGTAAATGCAAAAAGTTGCCCCTCCTCCCAACAGCAACAAATTGTTGCACCTGAAATACCAATAGTGGTGAGACTGAGAAAACCTAATTTAGATGTAGTAAAATGAAATTGAATGTCCCAGGCAAGTTATGGGTGAGGGTAGGATAAATTATTCTTTGAACAGTAGATGTCACTGTAGATTTCAGTTTACTTAAGATTTCCCAGTTTTGATATGTTCTGCTTCCTCAGATCCCACCAGTTTTACTGAGATTGCTAAAGACTGTGATGAAAATAAAGAAAACAAAACACCAGAAGGATCTCAAGGAGAGATTGATTGGCTCCAGCATTATGATATGGAGCATGATAGAGAAGAGCAAGAGCTTCAGCAGGCATTAGCTCAGAGCCTTCAGGATCAAGTAAGAGATTTTATGTTACTACTTCTCTGTACCCGTCTTTGCCAAGAAGTAGGATAACTAACATGTATTGAGCATTTCCTGTGTACCAGGTATTTTTGTAAATGATTTACATACAGTAAGTCACTGATCCATCTTAGCAAAAAAAAAACAAAAACTAGAGTTTGGGGCTTTTTGCCTTGCATTTGAAACAGAAACATCAATAGTTTTTCTGTTTTTGAAAATCCAGATGCAACAAAATTTACTGTTGATTACTTGCATTGTAATTCATTGCATTGCTAAAGCAACATGGGGCCAGTCCACTTTTGTAAGCTTTTTGTAAGATATAGAAACAACCAGTGAACCACTGTGATTTTATCATTAATATTTTTAGGCAGTGTGTTTTGGGCATTGTCTTAAATTATGAATCCTTTCTATGATTTATTTGAACATAAAATTTCAGGAATATCATCTGAAATTTCACATGTTAGTCATAAACTAACGTCTGCATTTTTCTTTGTGTAACTATCTGTTATTCCAGTATTTAGTTCCTCATGCTTATATTTGCCAAAGCATACTGATTTTATACTGTAGCAATCCCTTGAGGTATCTAACTAAGGTGATATTCTTACAGTTTTCTAATCCTGTGTGATGCAATCTAAGTTGTTTTAGTAATAAATATTTACCAAGATTCCCTTGAATGACTATACAATTTCAGTGTTTGCAAATAAATAAGAAATCTTTATTTCTTATTCAAATAAATAAATTCTTATTTATTTGTTTGCAAATAAATAAGAAATCTCTAAATCTTCTTTAGAACAGTATTAATCTGTTCTTTTATCCTCAGTCTTAACTGTTTATTAATATTATCTTTATAAAATGCTAATACTAGATTATTCTGAGCCATCCTCCCCCTCCCACCCCACCCCCCGAAAATGCTGATGTAATTGATCGGAGGTGTGGTCTGGGCATCTAGATTTCTTTCTTTTTTCTAATAAGGATTTTAAAAAAGTTTCCCTGGTGATTTTAAAGTGCAGCAAAGGTAAGAAATACTACTTTAAAAGCATTTCAGTAGCAACTGTTCCTTATTCTTTAATTTTAAGAAGTACCTCCCTACCAGAAGCTCCAATGCATTCAAAAGTAACAACCAGCAACATTCATTAATATTTACTAAGCATCTGTTATATGATTTGTTCTCTTTAACAAGAATGAAAATGGTTATATGAATAATACTGTTTTTCTTGGATTCATAGACTTAGGGTCATTGTGAGCTAGCTCACTGTCAGCTCAGGAGAGCCAACTCTGCTTTCTCCATCACATTGATAGCTTAAAATTGGCCAGAGTGAGAGTATTTATACCAAGGAAATTAGCAAATGCTGTCAATTGGGAAAGAAAAGAGCAATTTGCTAAATACCTACTATGTATCTACCAAGTACTACTTCATACATGTAAGAAGACAAGGAATTACATCATAATCTCACATTGAATGACATTTGATTGACAAACCAAATGTCTGGCCTTTGTAACCCTCAAGGTTGTATTTTAGGAGGACAATGTTGGGAAAATATCTATATATCCCTTAGACAATCATCCTTCAAATGTCCATAAGACTATGGAAAACTTTATTTACAAATATTTAAGAGTAGCCAACTTTATCCTCAATAAATAAGTTTAATCAATACCTCTTAAATAATCTTAGTTTCATTTTTGTCCCTTTAGGAGGCTTGGGAACAGAAAGAAGATGATGACCTCAAAAGAGCTACAGAATTAAGTCTTCAAGGTATGAAGATCTTTTTTTTTTTTTTAAAGATTTTTTTTTTTAATTTATACATACAAGAACTGGGGTATAAGCCATATGTGCAGGTGAAAGGATTCGCCAGAGACAGAGTGGGGAGCAGAACAGGCAGAGCTATGGAGATACACTGCTGAGGGGAGCAGTGGGTGAGACAGGAGAGGTCTGCTGAACTGTGTGGGTTAGCTCTCTGGCCAGGGATCAAACTCACGCCTCAATGGCTGTTGATAGCTTGACCTTGATAGCGCTGAGACTATAACCCCTGTGCCACCAGGGGGGCCCTTTCTTGTATTTTAAATGAAACAAGAATTAAAGATTGAATTTTGATCATTTGTGTTAAATTTCAAAAAAAGAATATTGAAGAAAATTAAGATACTGACCTCTTTATGATCTTTTTTTCTGTGAGAATTTGTATTTACTGTAGCTGTACAAGATATACCGAGCGTTTCACTGGTGACATTATATGGGATTTAGTGAAATTGGATTATCTGTAAAATTATATTTCTTTTTTCAGGTTTATTCATTTCTTATGACAGTTATACCCTTTCATAGAAGTGCATTTAAAAGAATAAGGAACATTCCTTTTACAGATACCTGGTACCTGGATTGTTTTTCCCCAAAGTAGGTAAATTGGAACCCTAACAATAATATGTTTTGTTTTCTTAGGATGATAAAATGTGTACATCAAGCTGCTTTTTCTCTTCCTATTTGTATTCCAAGAGCTTTTATATGACTGTCTTTGTTTTCTTCAGAGTTTAACAACTCTTTTCTGGATTCATTGGGTTCTGATGAAGACTCTGGAAATGAAGATATTTTAGATATGGAGTACACAGAGGCTGAAGCTGAGGAACTAAAAAGAAATGCTGAAGTAGGTGACATTTTACTTCCTTAGTTGAACTGGCCAGGTTGTCAGTATTACTCCTGCTCTTTACCTTCAAGGCCTTACTGCCAGTGTCTGTTGCAGGTCATTTCCGCCCCTTTGGCAGCCGTCAAGCAATCTTCACTTTCTCTTATCCTTTGCTTCTTGTTTCTTACACTCAAGATTCAAAATAAAATTAACCAAAAACAAATCCATCCTGACCACCTCATTGCTTGTTAGGTAACAGCTGAGCAACATGGCTCTCAAAGATCTATGTATGTGAAATCACCTTTCTTTCAAAACTATAAATAGCAAAACTAATTGGTTATTACTCAATGAAAATGAATTAATGACCAATGCACAGGAGTCCATCTGGGAGCCAATGAAGTGGCTCCATCCAGTGTGGGATAGACTGAATGGTCTGGAAAGGGAATATTTAGAAGATACAGAGTCTCATGTCCCACCGTAGAACCAGCTATCATGAAGACAACTAGGAGTCCATGCAACGGGTGCACCAGTGCATTGAGTGGTACTGTGCCTCTGGCTCAAGCCCAGGCCTGATGACCAGTGAATTGGAGAAGTTCCAAGATTGCCTGGCACAGTGCACTATGTATTGCAGTGACAAAGCCAAAGACTCAAAAGATGCAGGGATAAAGAGCTTCAGCTGAAGTATTTTATGGCCAAGTTAGTGAGACTACATGCACCTCATGACCAAGAAGATAAAGGAGGCTTTTGCCATTGACCATTGGGATATAGGGCAAGCATCTATTTAAAAAATAGAATTGAGAATTTAATTTAGATATCTTTTTTTTTTTTTTTTTTTTTTTTGCATAGAAGAACTGGGGTATAGGCCACAGGTATGAGGGATGAGACTGAGTGGGGAGCAGAACAGGTGGATTTTCTGAAATACACTGCTAAGGGGAGCAGCGGGTGAGACGGGAGGTCTGCTGTGCCATGTGGGTTAGCTCCCTGGCCAGGGGATTGAACTCAGGCTGTAGTGGTGACAGCACTGAGACTCATCCCCTAGACCACTAGGGAAGCCTGAGAATTTTGATCTTTTAAGAAAAGTTTTTGAGGGCCTCCCTGGTGGCGCAAGGGGTTAAGCACTGCACTATGAAGCAATTTGCAGCTTCTGCAGCACAGAAGTTCGATCTCCAACCAGCCAGGGAGCAACCCACATGGTGCAGCAGACCTCTTCTGACTCACCCGCTGCTCCTCTCAGCAGTATACTTCGGTCAGTCTGCCTGTTCTGTTCCCCACTCTGTCTCTGGTGAATCTTCTCACTCCCCCCCCTACATCTCTGGCCTGTACCCCAGCTCTTATATGCATAAATAAATAAATCTTTTAAAAAAAGAAAGAAAGAAAGAAAAGTTTTTGAATGATACCAGCAAGTTTGTTTCAGTCTAAAAAGTGAAATAGAAAAGTTTGGGTCAGAGATAGCACAGGAGAGTTTTCAAGAGCCTAAATTTCATGTGACAAGCACTTTTCCTGGCACTAGGAATTTCCCTTGTACCAAGCCAAAGCCCTCCAGTGTACCAGATTCTTCTCAATATATAGGTGCTTCCAACCTGGCAAGTTACTCTAACCTGCCTATGAGTGTGAGGAGAGGTGTTTTTTGCCATCCTCCTGTTGACCAGAGAGATCACCATACCATTCTCCTAGGCTGTAAAGCAGTCCTTGAGGTCACTAATTTGAAAGGAGGAAAAGGTCTTTATTTTGGTTGGTTTTGTTTTATATAAAAGAGCATGTAGTTTGGGCCTCCCTGGTGGCGCAGACAGTTGAGCACAGCGCTGTGAAGCTGTCCGCAGCCTCTCCGGTGCTGGTTCGATCCCCAGTAGCCACGGAGCAACCCACATGGTGCAGCAGACCTCTCCTGTCTTGCCCGCTGCTCCCCTCAGCAGTGTATGTCAGTCAGTCAGCTTGTTCTGTTCCCCGCTCTGTCTCTGGTGAATTCTCTCACCCTCCTGCACATCTGGCTTGCCCTGGTTCTTGTATAAATAAAATAAATCTTAAAAAAAAGAGCATGTAGTTGATTTAAGATGTGAGTTGGGAGAGCAGGGTAGTTGGATAAGAACTTTGAAAAGTTCTTTGTAAACATCTCTTTCTGGACTTCAAGGTGTAGCCATGTGTTATTTGAAATTTTCACACATCTTTTAACTTGGAGACTGCAAAAACATGAGAGAGAATGTTGCACTGGGTGTGGGAGAGCTCCCTTCTCACTGGCTGCTTAGGCTGGGCCCTCAGGCAGCAGAATGACAGGGCAGTCTTGCAGTGTCCCTTGCAGGACAGGGATTTTGATTGTGCCAGTATCTTGGAAATAACAATGGAAGAGTCAGGCCCATTTCTGTTGAAGTAAAAGAGTTACGAAAAAACCTGGCTTTCCAGAAAAGAATGCAGTGAAAGCCCTAAACCCAGTGTTGCTCACTTAGTCCCCTGAAATAGCATAGCCCTGATGAGACAATCCCTTAACCACGGGAAGGCCAAGGGAGAAAAAGTAAGCAACTCAGGGACTAGGAGAAGCAGTGTCTCCTTTCACACAAAGGGGGGGATAATCTCCCATTACCAAATACCACTTTCCTTGGGGCCTTTGTATCCTGCAGTGTTTCTGCCCCAGTTCTAACACCTTGAGTTATGTATTTTCCAAGTGGTAAACTATTGAATAAATGAAGTTAACTAGCACACATTGAAATCTTTGTTTACCCTTCTTTTTCCTTAGATAATTGCTTTCCTTATCTGGATTCCAAATTTTTATAATTTTTATTTTCCAGGCTCTCACTATGCTAGTACCATCACTTAATTTTTAACTAACATTGAGTGTTTAAGTTACTTCTGCTTCTTCACTGTATTAAGTAATACATTGAGGAACTCTGCATGATTGTAATGTTTTCTTTAAGTAAATCCCCAGAAATAAATCATGGCATCGAAGTTTATGAACATTTTAATGGTTTCTGATTTCCATATCTATATTTCTTCTAAAAATTTAATCTTATAGTGCTTCCTGTACTGCATGGTACCACTTTTCAGTTTTGCTTTATTTTTCTATTAACAATATTTTAATAGCATATTTAAAACGTAAGTTTATCCATAATCCCTTCAGCATGTCAGCAACACTCTTCATTCTTCTCATTCTGTTTTCCAGTTACCTAACCTCAGTACATACTTCTGTAAAGCTGTGTGGCTATTAATGTGCATTCATGTGGGTTTGAAAAATACGTTAATATGTTGACTGATAGAATGTGTTTTAAATAATTGGGTGATACTGTACTGAGTTAATATACCTTTAGCCATTAAACTATTATTGCAGTGATTGTTAGTTTCAGCTTTTCATTATTATAGATAATGTTATACATATACTTTTGTTTTAAATTATTTTCTTAGAATAAGTTCTTAGTTGGGAGTAGAATTCTTGATTTCAATAGATATGAACAGTACCAACCACTGGATTTTTTTTATTGAGTTTTGACTACATACACACTGAAGCTTAGCCGTGTCAGCTCTGTTAATAAATGCGAATTTAGTGTTTTGCTTTTATTCAGCTGAAAAGTTAAAAGTCAGGCCCACTTCTGTTTTCCAGACAGGAAATCTTCCTCATTCGTATCGGCTCATCAGTGTTGTCAGTCACATTGGCAGCACTTCTTCTTCAGGTAAATGGACATCATGATTAGGCATTTGTTCCCTGTTATGTTGCTCTGCCAAGTTTTATGAAGTAAAAGTAGAATAATCAAGAAAAACATTGAAATTTTTTATTTGATCATACTAAATGTGAATTGTGTTAACAGGTGCAACTGTTTTGATTTCTCTATTCATAAAGAATCAAAATTTCCCTGAACAAAATGTATTTATTAAAAAATTTTCCCAGTATACTTCATTCCTACTTAAATGAGTTTATGTGCTTTTTAATAGGTTTTAGAAACATTGTTGGGGATAAGATGGTGGAAGGGGTGACTCTTTCTATATCTTTCTGAGACTTCTGCACCTGAGAAAAATTCAGTATGTTCTTGAAAAAAACAATGTTAAGACTTTGTTTATTTCAGGGCATTACATTAGTGATGTGTATGACATTAAGAAGCAGGCGTGGTTTACTTATAATGACCTGGAAGTATCTAAAATCCAAGAGGCTTCTGTGCAGAGTGACCGGGATCGGAGTGGTTACATCTTCTTTTATATGCACAAGTAAGAAACTTGCCAATTCCAAAGCAGGAACTAAAAATCTAAACTCATTCTTCTTCCTTTAAGAATAAATGTTCCTATCACTTAATTGGTAGACAGTTTTTGGTTTTCATTATCTTTGCCTAGGGCTCCTCTCTTGATAGGAGTCCAGAATATTCTCTCTTAGCAATAATCACTCATCACACAGTAGCATCTAGATATCAAACTTTTTTGATAGAAGCTGTCCTGTCAAACCTTTTTGATCTTGCCAGTATTATTAACAAGAAGATCTGATTTAAATGAATGGGAACTACAATAGCTAGCTATTGCCAGACCTCACCTAACATTCTTAAAAATCAGCACCAAGGATAAAGATGGCAATCCAATGACTTGTTTGTCTAATAAAATTAGGCACTAAATGGTATTATGTAGACTTTATCAGTGTCTCTTCTGTCTCATCCATTGCCTTTTGCTCACTGAATTTCCTGTTTTATTTTTTGTTTGTCTTATTTTAAGGGAGATCTTTGATGAACTGCTTGAAACAGAAAAGAATGCTCAGACACTTAGCATGGAAGTGGGGAAGACTACTCGTCAGGCCTTGTGAGAAACAAACTCCTGGGTTAGCAGTGTGTACTGCATAGTCTGTTGCCACCCACTCACCCTTCCTCTGCCCCAAGAGAATTTGGAACTCTACTTGATGCGGGAGCAACATACAGCTCAGGGCCAAACCAAAAGACGAAATTACAATTATGCGGAATGCTCCGTGCTAGTTGTTTATGGAAACTTTGGTCTCACATCTGTAGCTGATTATCCTCTTTTTCTCCTTCAAGAGTGGCACTTCCTTCTGTCTTAGGAATACATGTTGTAGATATATATATATGTGTGTGTACATACTTATACACACACACGTATGTGGAATGAATGGACCTTAGAGTTAGAATGAGCCACCAGAGTATGCCTGCTCAAAATTAATAGCACAGCAGTTTGGAGAAGTGAAGTTGTCAAAGGTCCATTCACCTGAGAAATGTATGAAGATACACATATCAGTTGGCATTCGGCTTTTATGTTCCTGAAATAGTTTCACACAAGTCTGTAATCTTTCATATGTGTTTCTTATTAGTAAAGTTCACTGGAAAGCCTGCTCTCCATGTTACACTAATGACAGCTTGTCCTTATCACAAAGGAGGAGCATTTCTGCCACCTGACTTGAGCTTTTTTTTAAAAAAAAAAAATTATTCCGTGGGTTTGTAATGCTTTTGCTGTTTACACGCAGTCCCAAGAAATGGATTGTTGGTGCTTTGGAATGTGTTATGATCCCTCATTTGGTGTTCTTTGTACCCTTTGCATTTTCTTTAAAGAGATTCCTTCATACAGTCTGTTCATTATATGTCAGCTATATTACTGTGATGGTGAAGAGAGAATCTTTTATTTTTTTTCTATATCATTGTTCCATGGAACAAGCATTACCCTAACAGATTGCCACCCAAACTTTTAAGGGAGAGGAATATAATAACCCAATTGGAACTCCATAGCAAGGATACTTAGGGATAAGGAAGAATGTTAGCATCACTGTTTCTCGAGCAGAGAGTTCAAGAGCAGTATTCTTGTGCTAAAACTGTAATTCTGGACCACTATAAAGCTGATAGCCCTACCACAAGTGTGAAATTAAGTACATGACCTATAGGTTAAAGCTTGAACATTTCACCATTTGCTCTCTGACTTTATCATTAAACGGGATGGGAATTACAAATGTGATTCATATCACAATTCCAAAAAGTTAACAAATAACAAAGGTGCATAATATATTTATCTTATTTTTTAGGTGCTTTGAATTGAGGCTAAGTGGGGATGCAGCATTAAGTGCTATATTAGTCGCTCAGCTGACATAACCAGTTTGGTTATGCAGCTTGTAAAACCATATAAAAAATGAGTTTGAGGGTAGAATTCTGTCCACAAAATAATTTTGTGAGCCCAGGAATCATTAGAATCACACAATTAAGTATAGCAAAGTGAAACCATCAATATTTTTTTTCATGGGTGTTTTTTTCTTTTATTATAAATAAGATGATTCAGTTCTGAGGTAAGGATAAAACCACATCAGGTTTTCAAGAGAAGAAAACATATTTTGAAATGTACGTTAGTACATCATCACACAAGGTACAGCATGTTTTCTGAAAGTTTGCCTTAAGAGAGGTCCAGTCTCACTCTTGAAACTAGGATATGTTCTAACATAGTAACCTGCTCTAAAGCTTTGGATCTTTGAACTGTAAATGGCCCATCACTTTTGCTTAACTACTGATTAAAACTTTGCCTCTTGTCATCTACCTGCATTTTATTGTAGTGAACATTCTAAAATGTTCACATTCTGAAATGGCGTGGTAGCAGGGTCTGCAGGAGTAGAATAGAGCAGAGGAAATTATTTATTTTTAAAAAGTAGGTTCCTAAATTTTGTTTTCTGCAAGGAGAGCCTCTTTTTTTTTTTTTTTTGCTTGAAAATAAGTGATTTTCTCATAATTGAGTGATCAAATTCTTTAGCTGTTTATTCTTTGTGTCTATATTTGAATGGCACTGTTAAAAATGAGTGGAAATGATTTGGAAGTCACATTCACTATTCTTGACTACCTGCACCACCTCTGCTGTGGAGAGTGGGGATGATTTGAAGTGAGGACTGCATTAGGGCATAAAGAAAAATAGAAATGCCATAAGCCTAGAGTGCCTCATTTGACTTGCTTTTTTGTAATGTATTTATACGGTTTAGAGGTACACTTGGCTCTTCTGATTTGATCTTCATGTCTTGGGCAGGATTTATTAATGAAAAATAGGCTACTGGGGTATATGAGTTTTTTCACAGTTCATATACTCACAAAATTGGGGTTTGATTTTACTTAATATCTGACCATTGTTGTGACCTTGTCAGCCACCTTTCCAACTTTACTCCTTTACTGTTATCCCTTTCACTGCAGTTTCTCATTTTATTGATAGTGAAGGGTTAGTGACAACAGATGGAAATTTCAGCTGGAGCATGTTGATGGGATTTGTTGTTTCTTGGAGTTGACTGTATATATTTAAAATGTGTAAGTAGATAATATATTATTTTTTATGCACAGTATGATCAGTTTGCTCAGAATCGGGGGTGGGGTATTTGGCATGTTGGGGCAAGGAAGGGACAAGATAGGTGGGAACAATATTTCAGTCCCAGGTAGCCTGCACAATTACTAACCTTCCTACTAGAAAATACCAAATGTGCTTATATTACTTTAAATGAGTTGAATTGGAACTTGACAGCACTTAGTTCTGTATATGTTGGTCTTAATTGGAAATTTGGGAAAGGAAAAACCAAACTGAAATTCAAACTCAATGATTACTATCTAATAATACGGAGAATTAAAAAGTTGCATGTGGCCAGATGCTATTTTTACTTCAGTTGCCATGGCTGTAACTTGGGCCTATGAGAAGGTAAATTTTTGTATGGAATACATCTGTATGCGCACTCAAGTTTCATTTCAACCAGGTAGAATAAAAAGCAAATCCATGAATTGTTATTCTATTTATATTTTTGATTCCAAAAGTTATTTGTTTACTTGCCATGGTCTGTTAATTTCAGGCCTCATACGATGGCTCAGTAACAATGTAAATGTGTTTACATCCTAAGACTTATACAGTGATACTTACAGATCAGTTAATTAACTCTGGAAAGCAAATATTAGACTACCCATTTATTTCTCTCCTTGATCAAGTGTAAAATTCTTCTAAAAGAGAAGCTTTAAAATTAAAACCTCAACAAGTGAATTTATGAATTTACTATTATTCCATACTAGTACCATTATGTAACTATATAAATATAGTTACCATTATGTAACTATATAAATATAGCTCTACACATGTACAGCTACAGATATAGTTGCATAATGAACATTATCTGGAAACACCTAAAATTAAAGACATTCTTGGCAGTGTTTTCATATATAGCTGAATATTGAGAGTATAGAAAGCACATGATGGGGGAGGGAGACATTTGGGAACACAGAAAAAAAGGTAGTTTGTAAACTCATTTGTGATCTATTAAAAAGAAATTATATTAAAACAAATAGAAATATTACCCTTCTCCCTCTTTCTTCTCCGTTCTCTGAAATGAATACAGTGGATACTCTTAGTTATCCAACATTTTAATCTCCCCCCAACCTGTTTGATTTAATTGACCCCTTTAGGTGGTCTTTTAAGTCAGGAAGCAAAGCTGTGTTTCCAAATATGTGTGGCTCTTTTATACCAACGGGGATTCTTAGAAAAATCAACAAACCAGTATCAGATGCAAGTCACATAAAAATGTCCCCCCAAAACCAGATATTTCCTTTTCCTTCTCCCATTCCTGCTTTACACTGAGTAATGCTCTCTCACGAGTGTGTACAGAAACTAAACAGGATTTCTGCCTTCTAACACCTGATATATAACTTCTGACTGGTCTTTACTGATGTGTCTTACTAACATTCAAAAAGAAATAATCTGTTTTACTGGAAAGCTAGTTTTGTTAGGCCTTGAGGGTTTGGTGACATTCTTTGTGTCTCACCACAATCATCGACTCCTTGTTAGCATGCTTTGATTACTAGACTTCAGGCAGTTTCTTTCATTGTATCATATTTATTCAAAATTAGTAAATTTTCTTTTCCATGTGTGCTATGACTGAGGTTTTTAAGTTTTCAATAAAAAGTGTGCCAGTAGGAATATAAGCAGTTGGTTTTAGTACCATTGGGCTTCAAGTACAGAGGTTCTAAATAATAGACATGTCCACTGGGTGAGAGAACAGAGTGGATGAGGGTCTGGATCAGGACCCAAGTGCGTTTGGTCAAATGTTGAAACAAAGATGGCCTATCCACTGAACCGGTCCTTGTCGAGAACAGAGAGGGGTGGAAGGAGTGGAACCACTCGCCTCCGAGGTTTTCTTCCATCTCCCACTTCTCTGCCTATCAATATTTTTATTTATGCTTACAGAGAGGGAAAGCAGAAGTAAGGTTCCTATGCTTGCCTAGTTGAGCCACTACCAAGTTTGCTGGCAGCTTTGGCCACCTTTTTGTGAGGTGATTCTCTTTGTGTTCAGAGTGAATTTTGATTCTGATTCCTCATGTTGTTTTGTATGGAGCGGCACATTATCTGTGTTTTAGCAGAACTGTTCCTCTGTACCCTTGCGGTTTTTCCTTGTTTTTGTTTCCTTTTTAAATTATGCATAGAGGTTTTTTTTTTTGTGTGTGTGAAATTAAAGCCTTTATTAACCTTGTGTTGGTTCGACTTGTTATTTCTGAAAAATACATATTCTTGCAGCCTAACCAGTTGTTCGGGTTTTGGAAATCACCTTCTGTTCACCTCTGACTTGGATTTCCATGCAGCACTGTTGCATCTTAAAGGAAATGGGATGGCAGATCAACACGTGGTCAGCACTGAGTTCTCATCGTCTCATCCAAGGAGCCTGTGGAGCTTTGCAGAGGTTCTGGATAATGGACTGTGAGCCCAGCATCAGCCTTAACTGACTTCTGCCGTTGCTTTAAGAGTACCTGAGGGGGTGAGACAGCCTGTGCGTTTCATACTCTATCCCTTAGACCTCAAGCCTAGGCCCAGCAGGTGTTTCCTTCTCTGGGGACTAATTAGCATGGTGAAACCTCCTAAGAGCGTTACTTCTGGGCTAGTCAACTCGCTTTCAAAGAAGGGGTCCCCTTTAACTTACCACCAGAGTAAGGCAGTGAGGAAAGAATATGTAAAAAGGAAAAGCCAATGCTCCAGAACATTAGCCCGCTTGCTGTAGATAAAAATGAGTTATGATAGGGAGAAGTCTAGGAAGGCACTCAGAACTCGTCCCATGGAGTGTTTGGCTGCGCTCCTAAGAGGGTAAACCTTGAACAGGATGGAGACACTGGCCACCTTCTTGAAGGCTGATGGGGCCACAGGCTGCTCGTGGGGGCACCATCTTTCTGGAGGAAAAGGCAAAGTGGCATTGCCATAGGCTGCTTCTCACAAGTACAACTGTAAAATTTCACTTCAATTAACAATTGCTTAAGAAAAAACTGCAGGCTGAGCAGGGTGCTGCTTTGCATCCACAGCCATTTGCTTCTCAAAATAGTCCTTTTTCTTTCTTGAGGCTTTGTTGCTTCCATTGAGGCAAAGCAGAGAAAGCAGATGGAGTCATCCCCAAGGCCTTGGTGAAATCCTCAGGGGACAGGTGAGCCTAGAAGAGAGGGGCCAGAAGGCAAAGATCACATTCTTCCCTGTTGGAGTCACATGGATGTGGTAAAGAAGTCAAAAGCTAGAAGCGGAAACTGCTTGAGGACCAGGAAAGAGATGGGAAGGAGGTAGGTGTCATCCTGAGGTCTTGAGACTTGATCCCTGAATTTGGAATGTAATAAGAAGGACAGCAACAAGGTGAGGTAGGTTGCGCACCTACCACACAGGTTTGAATATGCCCATGGTCGGGATGAAGCTAACAGTAACACTAGCCCTGAAATAAGAATTAGGATGTTTGGCGTAGCTTAGTTAGAGTAGCTTCTCTTTCCAGACCTTAGTTTCCCCTCTATGAAATGAGAGAGCTCTCTCAAAGACCAAACTTTGTTCTTTTTAATGCTTTTATAGGGAAAAACTCCAATATGAAAGGGCACTGGAAATAAGGTATCTGTTCATTTATCTTATTAAGCAGTGAACTGTTTCTAGAGGGTCTGTCTCAGCCTGGCTCACAGAGGAAGCAGATGAGCGGTAGGAGGGAGTCCCCTTGAGTCTGAATTACAAGACTAAGTGGCTGTTGTCATAGGCGACAGCTCTCCAGCTCCACCCTTGAAAGGGCTCACCATCCTGGGCCCGACCTTGCTCTGCATCAAGTTAGCCGGCTGGCCACATGGGCCCACCTGACCCTACTGGACAGAGAAAGCTGCGGTCTGCCTTACACGTGCTGCGGGGCACTTAGCCCAGGCAGGTTTGAATATTCCCATGATCAGGATGAAGTTAAAATCCAAGAACGTCGTCTTCTGATGCCAATACATGTTCCCGGGCACCACACTGACCCCACTTTGGTGATTTTTGGAGGTAAGGAAAGACCTCATCTTAACCTGCAAAGTATATTTTTGTGCTTGACTTAAGGAATTTTACCATCGTAACACCTTGTCTGTCTTGACACGCAGGTTTGTTCCTGGTTAAAGATAACATGTTAAACCTCATGTTTCTCATATTTGAATGTGTTAGTCGGATTTTGTGGGAGCAGATTTTGCGTAGAGAAGGTGGCTGCAGAAGTTATAACAGAGTTAAGGAGAAGCTAGGAAATCCAGAGAATAAATTCAGAGTCAAATTTTCCTAGCTCTTGAGTGGAAAACAAAAGAGTTGGGTAAATGACTTGTACCAGCTTCTCTCATCCTACAAATGTCCTAAAAGATTAGATGATGGCACTTTCTACCATTTCACTCTTGACCTGCAAACCACAACTGGGAGTCCCCTTTCTAGGCCTTGGGTGTCTTTAGACAGAAGGTGAGGATTGACTGAAATGACCTTTGCTCCCAGCTCTAACAGGCTATGATGGTGACACTGTTAAAGACATACTGAAGTAAGAACCCCAACTTAAAGTTACTATCTAACAGCATCTCCCAGCCCGCAACTCTGCTCCCCCAAGCACCAGGAGGGAACAGGGTCGGGGGAGAGCAGTAGGTTTTTTTCCCCACGAGACTGCTCTGCTACATGGAGCTGCCCTGAGAACATACTGTTGATTCTCACAGAGGGCCCTAAACAGCTGCTTGGTCAACACCTGTGGATGGATTTCAAGCTCAGGTGATCTGAGAGCAGGTCTCTAGCCCATCCATTAGATTTGCCTCGTGCTTCTGGGCATTCTCTCCTCAGTCACCTGGGAACTCTCCTTTTCCCAGGCGGGGTGCCGGAGCACCTTCTTTTGGGACCTGACCGTAAATATGAGTGGTTTCAGAATCCATGAATGGGAAGAACTGCCTGCTTCAGGTCTGTTGTAGCGCCACTTTCCCTCCAGGCCCCCCCCCCACTCCGTGACTGCTGTGTCCTGGGTCTGCAAATGGCCTCGGGTGCCTTCTCTGGCCCAGCCAGGCTGGCTTCTTAGCTGAGACAAACTGGACTCTGACCCCCAGGCTAGATAGCAGGAACTGCCCATCCCAGTGGACTTCTGTCTTTCCACTGTTCTTGAACCCTGCAGTTCTGCCAGCTGATGGCTGGCCTCGCCCTTTCCCACATCCGCCTCTCTCTGGTTTACTCAGTGGTGCTCAAACACTTAGATTATCCTCTTGCTATTGTCACACCCATCACCCCACTCTTAACTGTCACCAGCTTCTTCCGTTTTAGGAGCAGCCAGAGTGGTCTGAAGTCCCCACCCACCCTCCCTACTTGGCACTGAGCCCACAATAAAAGAAATCAAGACAACTCATCATTAAAGAATCTAAGGGCCTCCCTTGTGACCTAGGGGTTAACTCTCAGCACTGTCACCACTATGGCCTGAGTTCCATCCTGGCCAGGGAGCCGACCAACATGACACAGCAGACTGCTCCTGTCTCGCCCACTGCTCCCCTCAGCAGTGTATTTCAGTAAATCTGCCTGTTCTGTTTCCCACTCTCTCTCTCTGGTGAATCCTCTCACCCCCTGCACCTCTGGCCTATACCTCAGTTCTTCTATGCAAAACTAAATAAAATATACAAAAATAGGGGCCTCCCTTGTGGCGTAAGGGGTTAAGCACCACACTATGAAGCAATCCACAGCCTCTGCAGCACGAGTTCGATCCCCGGCTGGCCCATATGGTGCAGCAGACCTCTCCTGACTCGCCCACTGCTCCCCTCAGCAGCGTATTTCAGTCAGTCTGCCTGTTCTGTTCTCCACTCTATCTCTGGTGAATCCTCTCACCCCCCGTACCTCTGGCCTGTACCCCAGCTCTTGTATGCATAAATAAATAAATCTTTAAAATGTATATACACACAAAAATAAATAAAAATAATCTAAGACTTATTAGACTACTCCTACCATATGGGATTGTCTTGATTCTGCTTGTTCCACTCAAAACTAGTGATCCATTTTGCCTCCTGTCAATCATCTGATTCAGTGACATTTCCTTTGGAAATACTTTCTGTATGCCACATGGTATGATGGTACCAGTGGGACTCAGAAACCTGTTCTTGCTCGGGCTTTGCTTTTAAGTAGTCACATTAAGCAAGTCACTTTGCCTCTCTAACTTCAGCTTTCTCAGGTGTAGAGCAGGCAATGATAAAAACAGCTGACATCCACAGAGCTCGTTCTATGTACTGGGGCCCAAGCAAAGCTCATACTCACATGGGATCACCCCATTATCACAGTGGGGACACAGATGAGTGGATCTCTAGCCCTTAATCATCTGCAGGCTACAATCTGGGTTGGCCAATGAATGGACAAGCTTCATCTCTTTGCCTTCCTCCTCAAGTTTGACCTACCTCCTTCCTGCTGGGGTTCACACCCTCAGGGAGCTCCTCTGGAGGCACATTCACCAACTGCTCCAGGGGGAAGATAGGCAGAGGCCCAGAATTGAGGTTGCTGTTAGCATTGAACACCTCTAGTTTAGGATTTGTGATCTCCTGGGGAAGAAAAGAAAAATACTGGTTACTTCAGATGGTTTGTGGCCACCTCCCAAGTTGCCTTTCTCCCTGAAATCAACATGGATTCTAGAGTATCTCCTTCTAGAAACTTTCCATGACCCCAACCCCCAAACCTCCCACAAACACATACACACCCTCCTGATGAGAACACATTGGACTGGACCCACAAGCTAAAGTTTGGTTGTCTGGGCCTCCCTGGTAGCACAGGAGTTAAGTCTCAGCACTACCAAGCTATCAGCAGCCACTGAGGCATGAGTTCAATCCCCAGCCAGGGAGCTACCCACATGGCGCAGCAGACCTCTCCTGTCTCGCCTGCTGCTCCCCTCAGCAGTGCATTTCAGTAGATCCTCCTGTTCTGCTCCCCACTCTGTCTCTGGTGAGTCCTCTCACTCCCCCCTACCTCTGGCCTACACCCCAGTTCTTGTATGCATAAATAAATCTTAAAAAAAAATAAAGTTTAGTGGTCTATCCAACCAAAGTGGCACAAAATGGTTATTTTGTTCTATGACTTTAGAACTTCATGGCTTCCCTTAGGTGTTCAAGGTCTACCCTGGCATTCATGAACCCTTATCTGTTACAAATTGTCATCCATTGATTCACTTAGATTTGACCTATCTATACTTTCCTGCCTGCACCATCAATCTCCCAAGCAGGGTTCATCGAGTGTCACCAGGGTCTCAACCTGAAAGTATGGCTGAAGAGCCATATATAATATCTGCTGAGGGCCTCCCTGGTAGCTTAGGGGTTAGGTCTCAGTGCTAACACTGTGAAGGCCCACCATAATGGCCTGAGTTTGATCCCTGGCCCAGAGCTAACCCACATGGTGCAGCAGACCTCTCCTGTCTCACCCACTGCTCCCCTCAGCAGCATATTTCAGTAAATCTGCCTGTTCTGCTCCCAACTTTGTTTCTGGTGAATCCTCTCAACCCCCACTACCCATACCCATGGCCTGCACCCCAGTTCTACACAGAAATAAATAAAATCTTTTGTAAAAAAAAAAATCTGAGTTCCCCAAGGTGGAAATTGTTCTTGTGTTCTGGACACATTTCTGCAAGGTCTGTTTGTTCTTATTCCACCTGTAGTCTGTAAACTTGAAGGGAAGGCTTTGATTTCATATTTCCATACCCCAAGCCTACAGGTTAAATTTATCACTATTAACTCCCTGAAAGATCAAAGAAGTTGTATTTATTCTACCTGGAGAAGGGATCCCAAGGGTAACAGTAATAGAGAAAGCATTACTTCTTTTTTTTTTTTTTTTTAAACTTTTTTTTTTTTAATAGAGGCATGTTTTATTTATTTCTTTGTTTGTTTGTTTGTTTGTTTTGTTTATACATGCACTGGGTACAGTCAGAAGCGCGGGAGGGTGAGAGAATTCACCAGAGCCAGAGCGGGGAGCAGAGCAGGCAGAAGGACCGAAGTACACTGCTGAGGGGAGCAGCGGGCGGCAGGAGAGGTCTGCGCGCCATGTGGGACCCTCCTCCGGGGGCCGGGGAGCAGCCGGGGATGGAACCGGCGTCGCAGAGGCCGTGGGCAGCTTCGCAACCCAGCGCTCAACCGCTGCGCCACCGGGGAGGCCCAGAATCTGCATTTTAATAATCTTCCCCCCACCCAGGTCCCTAGCACCCAGATTCCTATGCATGATAAAATTTGGAAAGCATTTCACTAGGGAATAGAGGAGACAAAACAGCTAGATTCTTTGACGTCTTTAACAACAAGAACTTGATGGGTAGCGAGAGAGAATAGCACAAGAGAAAGCAGAGGTCCTGGTATATTTTCTGGCATTTTTCTCAGCTCCCACAGATCTGACCATCATCAACCAGCCAGCACAGGCACAGCCATCTGCCCAATACTCACAGCAGTGATCTCGTCCCAGTTCGCAGAATTTCCAAGCTGCTCTTTCTGTTCCTCATAGGATTTGACGCTCTGCATATAAAGTAACATATTAGACCTGAATCTCTGGAGCAGCAGAGAAAAAAGACCATCTTCCTTCAGGTGTTGAAAAAAGGTTGACCTATAAGGCCTGATGGTGAGAAAGGTTAGAGGGAGCACAGGTGGAGGACAGTCCCCCAAAAAAGAGGTTGGATGGTGAAGGTGGACACCAAAAGGACTGATAAGGCCAGGGCCAGAAGATATTTGCTCCTGCTTAGTCCTAAATGGGAATGAACAGGAATGTGATCTTTTCCCAACCTTAGCCACACACAGCCTTGAGAACACTGCCTATGTGGTGTAGGTTCTGGGAGACTCGGGGGACCTGGAGAACTGAGGGCTCCTCTAAGAGCCTGGAGAATTGAGGAGAATAGAGGGACCCATGGCTCCATGAAGAAACTCATCTCTGTATCCTCAAGGCCTGGCACTGAGCACGGTAGCTCAAGAACTGAAGTTATGCTGAATGAATGAATGAGCAAGTCTGAGAGAGAAGCCAGCGCAGACTTGAGGTGCAGAAGGCCTGCCAGGGGTGTTGAGTCGAAACTCTGATGTGGACTTACGAGGTTCTGGCCTCTGGATTTGCAGTCTTGAGACTTGTTGAAATCCACCTTCAAGACTAACCAGTCCATCCACTACTGATTTTTTTTTAAAATGTATTTGAGGGAATTAACCTAAACTCTCAGTTTCCTTAAACTCACCTCTTGTGCCAATTTAGAGCACCTGAAGCCACCAGGCTAGGACTCAGGCTACGTCAGCTTTCCTCCTTCCTACAGAAAACCTTCACTGAGTTTCCATTGTGAGGACCTGACCTCTGTTTCTATCTGGAGGAGTTTAGGAAAATCCAGTGGATGTTTGATTCACTTTCCTTCAGGTCAGGAAGGAATGACCCCATATGACCCACTTTGATTAGAATGTAGTGCCAGGAAGACATGTCTATCCTTTAAAACTGATTTATTTCCTTAGATCTGGCATGCGACCTGCCGACACAAAAGTTTCTGCAGTGACGGAAATGATCTATTTCTGCGCTGTCCAATATGGTAGCCACTAGCCACAGGTGAACACTTACATTGTGGCTAGTGAGAAATTGAATTTTTGGTTTTAATTTTAATCAACTCAAATGTAAATAATCAGTACAACTCTTACCAATAATACCCAACAGCTTTGAGCTAAATCTGGTGCTCAAGAAAGGTACTGTAATTAGCCTAGAATTTTGATCTATTTCCTTCCCTCTCCCCCCCACCAGGGGACTTAATAGTCCAAAGTGCAGCCTCATTCTTTATTCTAAGCCCCCTTAGCCTGGCGTCAGCGTGCCCTGGGTGTGCCATGAGGCTGCCCGGAGAAGGATGAGCTGGCTGTGGGATCAGTATGGGCTGAGGCTACTCACATTCCACTTGAAGGGATCCCAAGCCAGGAACCAGCCAGTGAAGATGGGGGGCTCGTGTCCCTGCTTCACCACAATGATGGGGGTCTCAGGGTCACGGCCGCTGGGGTGAGTCTTGAGGTATTCCTGCACGGTGTCAGCTGCAGCCTTCTTCTCTTCCTCGTTGGCGTGCTTCCCGATCCAGAAGAAGATCTGTGGGGAATCCCAGGGCTCGGTCAGTCTGTCCCGTACTGCCTGGCCTACAGGGCTCTTCCTGGGTTCATCCAGGCTCAGATGTCCAACGACCTGGGCCCAATGACCTTGGGCAGGCCCCACCTGGCCTCGACTTTGCGTGTGGGAAGTGAGGTTGGACAGATGCCCTCTGCCTGGATATTCTGCAAATGTGTGATCCGCAGCCTCTTCAGAGCCAAAGATCCTCAAAAACACTCCTATTGCCATGTGAGAAAAATTGGGCTTTGGGAGAAGAATACATCTGCCCAGCAGCCCTGCAGCATGTTCTTCTCTAGCTGCCTTCCTTTTTCTTCACCTCCTTTGGTTCATAACCCCATGACCATGGAGAACAAATATGTGAGACAAGATGACGTCAGACCTTACCTATCACTAAAGCCACTACCTCGTGGTCCTGAGGTTTGAAGTATTAGCAAAAGAGATCCCTAGGCCTTAATCCTACCTGGTCCCAGACATCTAGCAGGAACACATCATCCTCTTCCAAGTCATCCTGATTGAAGTCAGGGATTTCTGTGGCCATGAAGCGCCCAGTCTGGTTAGAACACTCGAAGAGCCGGGGCGAGATGACCTGGTTTTCCTCCTGTAGTCTGCAGGATGGAGAGAAGATTGTATTGGCAGGAGGAAGGTGTGGTGAAAGGGACTCAAGGATTCTGGCATGGAAAGTCTGTTTCCCAGGAAAACGCTTACTATTGATCTCAAAAATTCTCCCCTCTTCCCAAGAGTGTCAGAGTGCTCCCAGGGAGAATTTCCCAGTGCTTTTCCAGGAATGCATTCCAGTGACTCTGCTATGCTCTTGTTAAGCAGTTCTTTTTGATATCTTCCCTCTGCTATTCCTGCTATCGCTGCCGTACATGGCCTTTAACTTTTGAATTAGGAAATAGTGACTCATGGATCTGCTTTAGAAAACCATTTGACAGCCTCCCTGGTGGCACAGCGGGTTGAGCGCAGCGCTATGAAGCTGTCCGCAGCCTCTGCAGCGTGGGTTCAATTCCCAGCTGGCCAGGGAGATACCCACATGGTATGGCAGACCTATTCTGCCTCGCCCACTGCTCCCCTCAGGAACGTATTTTGGTCCATCTGCCTGTTCTGCTCTGTCTCTGGTGAATCCTCTCACCCTCCAGTGTATCTGGCCTCTATCCCAGTTCTTGTATAAATAAATATTTTAAAAAAGAAAGGAAAGAAAACCATTTGAAAAAAGCCTTACAGCTGGTGCTTCTCAGCATCCAGGTCCTGTGCCAGCACAGAAGTGCAGGCTGGGTGGGCTCTACTTCTTCCTGCTCCTCTCTTTGAGCTGTCTCCTAGGCTTGTGGATGCCCTGGACTAGAGAAACACCCCCACCAGGCCTGAGCATGCCATGGAGAGAGCACAGACACAGCCCCCGAGCCCAAAGGGCTCCCAAGTCATGGGTCACCCCTATTCAGCCCTGAAGGTCTGGCATATAAACTCTACTGAAGGGTCTTGAGGGTTGAGGTCCTGGGAAGCTCTCCAGCCTCAGGAGGTGAGCTGCGGTAAAGGGACCCAGTAGTTACCTCTTGGTGTTGGCATAGGGGGCCTTCCCACCCAGGGCCATCCAGAAGTTGGCCGGCTCCTGTCCTTCCACCACCACTTGCTTCTCCGTCCGGGAGATGATGTCAGCGACCGTCTTGGCCATCTCCCGTTCATCCCCACTACAGCCCTGGGGAGGACAGGGGGGCCTTGATGGGTTGTGCTGGAAAAGATCATCTCCAGTGCCAGCCCTACCCCTGCCCTTCCCCCAGTCCCTGGCCCAGAGCTCTGGGGTCTGGGAGGGCTGTCCTGGACCAGGACCCCCGACACGTGGCCAATGCAGAGACAGCCCTCCCACCCCCTCCTCTGTCTGGACATGCTAATGAATGGCAGAGGAGGCAAGAGAGCGTGCACGCCCCTTCCAGGGCAGGAGAAAGCGTCCGAGAGAGATCTTTGCAGAGATCAAAGGAGAGACAGCAACAGGCACAGGGGTGGAGGGCCCGAGACAGAAGGACAAGACCAACACTGGCACAGCAGGGGCCGGCCAGAGACTAACCAAATGAGACCACCTCAGACGCAGATGCCGACAATCTAACCATGGTCAGGCCCAGCTGCGGAGGAGGGAGATAGGGTCATAGGCAGCTGGGAAACCAGAGAGCAGAACCTATTCAGCCAGAGGCTCCGGCCTGACCCAGGTCTACTCTGTCAAGCTGGGGGTCCCCCACAGCCCACTTTGGAGAAGGAGGCTGCTTGGCCCTGCACACACCTTCCCACACCACAGGTAGCAGCAGGATGGGGTCTTGAGGAGAAAGACGTCGTTGGAGTTGAGGGAGGTGGCCCGGGCTGGGACCTCGAAGGCCTTGGTGTTGTTGGCAGTGGTTCCCCGGACCTGGAACAGTCTTGTGGAGGGCTCAGGCTCTGTGTTGCCAGCCCGGGAGGTCCCTCCCTGCAAGGTGTGGGCGAAAGCAGGGAAAGAGGTGGGAGGAATTTAGTGAAGAAGATGATGGGGGATTAGGGAGGAAAAGGGCTTGGGGCAAGATCTGCTCATCTTACCAGAACATTGCTTTGACCATGACTTCCCCTGCTCAAAAACCTTCACTGGCTCCCTATTGCTCCTTGATGACTAGAAAACCAGCTCTCAGCTTGGCTTTAGAAGGGCCCACATGATGAAGATAAAAACTGCCTTTCCAGGGCCTCCCTGGTGGCGCAGGCGGTTGAGCGCCGCACTGTGAGGCTGTCCGCAGCCTCTGCGGTGCCGGTTCGATAACGGCCAGCCAGTGAGGGTCCCACATGGCGCGCAGACCTCTCCTGTCTCGCCCGCTGCTCCCCTCAGAAGTCTATTTTATCAGTCTGCCTGTTCTGTTCCCCACTCTGTCTCTGATGAATCTTCTCACCCTCCCACGCATCTGGCCTGTACCCTGGTTCTTGTATAAATAAAAAAATCTTTAAAAAAAAAAAAACCCACAAAACTGCCTTTCCAGGGCCTCCCTGGTGGCGCAAGGGGTGAAGCACAACACTGTGAAGCTATGAGTTCTATCCCCAGCCAGGGAGCTACCCACATGGCGCAGCAGACCTCTCCTGTCTCGCCCGCTGCTCCTCTCTGTCTCTGGTGAATCCTCTCATCTCCTGCACCTCTGGCCTGTACCCCAACTCTTGTATGCATAAATAAATAAATCTTTAAAAAAAAAATTGCCTTTCCAGATTCTCTGCTCTCCCCAAACCCTCCAGTTTAGCGTGGTCAGGCTTCTCACTGGTCCTCTGGGGACTTTTCTGGGCTTTTGTCCTTGCTCTGCCCCTGCGCACACGCTCTCATCTCACCTCTGCCAAGCACTTCAGCTCAGCCCCCCTTTCCACCCTGAAGTCTGTGCCTCCTGTCTTCGCCGTCTCCTTTGAACTCGGCTAGCATTTCTGACATTTAGCTGCACGGGCTGTTGGGCCACTGTGGCAATGCGCTGCTCACCCAGCAAGATGGTGCAGGTAGCAGCGTGGCATTCCCCTCCCCACAAGTGTTTTGCAGAGGGCTGTGTACTTAGCAGGTGCTGATAAGCAGATCATCATTTACGTGACTGCAGATACTATTGCATTAGGCTGGAAGGCACCAAAGCTGTTCGGACATGTCCTTCATTTAGGCAATTCTAGCCCAGATAATTTTTAATGCATAGAATTAAGGAGCGGGAGTGGAGAAACAGCACTTGCACACACTAAGTGCCATGTATAATCAAATTACGAGCATACTCAAATTACATATCTATATCTATTACCAGCTCCCGTCCTCCTACAAAGAATGGGCTTCTCCCAGCCCTGCTTCACCCTCATGCCCTGCCCCCTCCCCTGGGGGAACTTGGGGTGCTTCCTGTGCAGCAGTCACACCTGGTAGACCACCATTTTTCCCTTGAAGATGGCCATGAGGTGGGGAGGTTCCTTGCCCATGGGGACCCGGATCTGGACCGGTTCATCGTTGTACTGCTGGTCGAGGAAGACGGCCTGGTAGGCTGAGGCTGCAATTTCATCCTGGCTGGCCTGGCTGCCCTGGGGACGAGCAGGACAGAGGGAGGGATAGGTCAACCCCCTATTCAGACCCCAGCTCCAGACTCAGCAACAACTCCACCCTAACCGTCTTTTCCACCAAACACCACCCTGACAAAACACAACCTGACCCAAGACCTCAGTTATGATGCAATCCTCACACCAAATCTCTGCCCAGCCCCCACCCAGCCTGACCCACCTGCAACCCCAACCTTGACCTAAGCCTCCTCTCCTCCTTATTGTGTCATCCTCAGGAAGCAACCTGGCTAGCAAATGACCCACTCCTGGCACCCACATCCCTGTCCCATCACATCTGAACACAGAAACCCAGTCACAGCGGGCGAGGGAAACATGCAGGAGGCCACAGAAATTAGGAGACTCAGAGAACCAATTTGAAAAGGGCTGTGAATGCGGGTACTCAGTGTTAGCAGCATGTCCAGAGCAGTCCCAAGGTGGCAGAGGGGTGAGCTCCCCATCACCAGAGGTATTCAACTCAGGGGTGATGGCCACTTGGCAAGGGTACAGCAAAGTGGGAGCTGAGTCAGCTGTGCCCTGGACAGGACGGGGCAGCACCTGACCTGCCAGATGTAGAGCAGGTAGTGCTTCTTCTCTCCGATGAGGTAGGTGTAGAGCAGCAGGTAGCAGTCGCCCCCGTAAAAGTGTCCCAGCCACTTGGAATCCACAGGCACCAACTCTAGATTCTCAATGCGCCACACCTAGAACCGGAATCAGGTCAGTGTGAGGTCCAGGATGGGCCCGTCAGTCACCCTCAACCCCACCACGGGCGTTCCTCACCATACCTGCACATCCCCACTGCCATCGTCGACCATCTTCTGCTGGGCAGCCACCTGGGGCTGGACATGCATGGTCGCGGCATCAAACTTCAACTGCTCTACCTTGGCTGGAGTGAAGGGGAATCACATAATACCAGCTGTTTTGGGGGGTCCTCACAACAGCCCTAAGTGCTTAGATCCTAAGTGCTTAGATCCCTAAGTCCTCACAACAGCCCTAATGCTTAGATCCATTTTACAGATGAGGACACCAAGGCAGAGAGATTCAGTAGCTTCCTGGGGGTCACAGAGCTGGAGAGAGGCAGAACTGCCCGGAGCCCTCTGCCATCCCAGGACTCATGCTTGAATGGTGCCCCCAGGAGAGCCGGAGAACAGCAAGACGTGAGGCTCCAGCCTGGTCCCACCTCCCTCATGCGCGGGCCTTGTCTCCCAGCTCAGCGGAGAGCTCCATGGACATGGGTGCTGCATTCACCTTTCACCCTCCCGCCGCCCTGCACTGAGCTTGCCCTCGGTGACACCTGGGAGCTGCTGATTTCCAGGGAAGCCCAACCCTTTGCAAATGAAAAGCAGGTCGTCTGAGCTCCCAGTTGTGATAACTTTTTTTTTTTTTTTTTTTCATTCTGAAAGGGCAGGCTTAAGAAAAAGACGCTTGCATAGACACAGGCAGACAGTCTCAGGGCAATATCTGTTCTGGCAACACTGGAGTTGATCCGTGCCCCACTCTGGGGAGCCCAGAGCCATTCCACGGCGCAGGGAGGAGGAGTGTCAGGAAGGAGGGTGGGGACAGGCCAGGGGCTCTCACCCACGGAGCCCACAGTGTGGGTCTTGCCCAGGCCTGCTGTCCGGTTGGGCACTGTCCACTTCTGGAAGAGCTGCTGGAAGACGGCTGACTCGGCCCCATCATTCTGCACCTCCACCTGGGTGCTGGGCGGGTACTGCTTCGCTTTGATAAAGTTCTGGGGGACGAAGTGGGTGGCTGGGGTTGCGTCCCTCCCAAGCCCCAGTGCCAGCCAAAGCCCGCCCTAACCCTGCGCACACTCAACCATAAACTTCCCAAACCTGAGCCCTAGCCCAGTCCCAGTGCTGACCCCAAGCCTTACCCGGCTCCAGCCCCAATCGGAGGTTGGCTCAGACCCCACACTTGAACCCCTAATTCTAACCCTGACCCCCAGGTCCCATCTCCAGCCTAGAACCAACCCCAGTCCAACCAGCACTGACCCCGGGTCAGTTAGGATGACTGACCCCTGCCCTGGAGGACCCCAGACTCTGCCCTTGCCCGGACCACACTGGCCTACCCCCCTGTGTTAGGAAGGATACCCCCACTTCCCCGCTCTTCTCCCAAGCAGGGAGGGGAAGCCCACATTCTGAGGAGGCGCCAGGGTGACTGGCTCCCCGGCAGTCGGGGAACCCCCAAGATGACTATAGATCACACCCCTCCCCCGGCCCTGCTATCCTGGGGTCGCCCCTCCCCCCCCTTGCCCACAGCCCCACCAGCGCCTGGCTCATGGCTCCCTTCCTCTCCTCGGCATTGGCATTCTTGCCCTTCCACACGTAGATCTTCAGGCCGCCCTGGTCCAGGATGTAACAGTCCTAAGAGGCAGAGATGGAGGCCCAGGGGGAGACTGTGATGGTGCTGGGCTAGGGGGAGGGGCTGCAGGCACAGTCTCCATCCCTCCATCCCAGCCACTAGCCCCCTCCTTGCTCCTGCTCGGCCCCCAGACCTCTCACCTCATGACTCAGCAGGTTTTGAGTGAGGGGCCTTGTGGCAACTTCTCTAACCACCAGCTTTCCCTCTGAGTCAGACACACTGCAGGACAAAGGCACCGCATAAAGGAGGGGTCCCACGCCCCCAGCCAGGGCACTGCCCCCCCCAGATCCTGCCCCCACACACCCCCCCCCACACACACACACCCCGCCCAGTACCCCACCCCAGGAAGGGCCCAGCAGTGCACTCACTGGAACAACTTGAGGTTGGCCTTGACGGCAGGCTCCACCACAGTGTCCGGCATGGCTGCCTTCAGCTCCCTCCGCTGGCCCAGCACGTGGTTCATGATGGCCATCAGCTGAGGGCTGGCCTGCTCGTTCTCCCCTTCCACCACGCCCACGTGGGCCCGCCCGCCGCGCTCCTGGTCCCGGATCTCCTTGGCCAGGGTCATGCCCTGCAGAGAAGCCACAGGTGACCTCCGGAGGCTAGCGAGGGGCAGGTTCATCGCCTCAAACCATGCTGGATGAGCCCAATTAGGTGTTCTAGTTACAAACATTTTTAAAAACCCCAGGCCCCCTTCTATCTCCACACCAGGCCCAGCTGGGCTCACCCAGTCCCAGTCCACAAATAGACTGCTGAGGCCCATGCGAAGTCTGCAGCCCAGCTTTCTGCCCAGAGTTTTATTGTAGGGTAAATAATTGGCAGCTTTTCTGCCCTCCTGCCATTAGGACTGATGATGGATCCCTGCGGCCCTGAATGCATGCCTGATGGCGGGCGCCTGGAGTAGGGTGTGGGCCTACGTGGGTGGGTCCATCTGGGCTGAGACTGGCTTATAAGGGCGGCGTCACGGGACACCAGCAGAGCATAAGGACCAGAAAGAGAACAAGCAGGAGACCGGATGAGAACCAGCAGAGACGCAGAGGCCATGAGAGAATGCCAGAGAGCCCAGAAATAGTAAAGACTCGCCAGGGGCTGGGAGGCCTGCCAGACTTCCGGCCCCTGGCACCCCTGCCTGCTGTGTACCGGGTAAATGTGCAATAAAAGCCTGAAAGCCACAGAGGGCTCCCGGACTCTCCTTTACCTGTCTGCTCTGGTCATAGAGACCCTGCACCGTGCTCTTCCTGCCCCTACATTTATCCAACCTCCAAAATAACCCCATTTTAAGGTGTACAAAACCTAAGATTCATTAAAAAAAAAAAACGAACTCTAGATTTGCTCCCCAAATCTGAGCTTTGCAAGCTTTCCCACCTCAGGAAATAGGACTCCACCCATCCCCACCTGCCTCACCCCTGTCTCTTCCTGTCCCCCATCAACACACATCCCGGGGATGCCTCCTTCCCAGCCCAGGAGCAGGGGCCCTCCCCATTCCTCACCTGAATGGCTGCGGGGCCTACCAGTGTCCCCGGAGTCCCTCCACCCCCTTTTACCACTCGGAACAACCGTCAATGGCCTCCCAGGTCCTGAGAACAAAGCCCAGCCCTCCTGCACAGATGTCCAGCCACATCAGCCCCTCTGAGACCTGCCGGCCCTCCTCTCATTGTCCTCAAAGTCCCCATCATGCTCAAGTTACACCAACGGCCCCCCTAAGCAGCCACAGGGCCTTAGGGCTTCCTCCGGCCCACCTTCTCCTCAGCCCAGAACCCCCAGGACTGCCCACCCCACCCCCACTTTCTGGCTCGTTCCTTTACATCTGTCTCCCCACTGGAAGGTCAGCCGGAAGTCAGAGCGAGGGCAGGATTCTGCCAATTTCGTTTGCCACTGGGTCCCAAATACACACTCACACTCCACCACACACAGCCCTGCACTCAGACAACCAGGGGAGCCAGCAGGGAAGTGGGACCAATGGGAGGGAGGCAGGGGTTGGGAGATAGACCAGGGGTGGGGGTGGGGAGAAGCAGGTGGGGGCAGGATGGGACTTCAGGGAGTTGGGAGAAACGGCCGGTTTACCCTGAGTCTCTCCATGCGGTTACTCTCCTGCCCGTTCCATTGGATGATGAGCCGCCCGAGGTCCAGGAGGAAAACATCCCCGCGGTTAAAACTCTTCCAGGACATCTCCACCTGCAGAGCCACGGCGCGGGGGAGGCACACACCTTACTCAGGCCCCATCCCTCAAGTCAACCATCCTCTCTTCCCACCCCCACCCTGCCCCTCACCCCTCCTCAGCCTCTGTCTCCCACCCAGGCTTGGAGGGGGACAGGAGACCACATCCCCAAGGCCCACGTCAATGCCCACCTCTCCGGCTATCACATTCCTCTTGCCCTTGACATGCAGCAGCCGCTGGATATCGTAGGAGTTGGTCTCCACGTGCTTCATACCAGAAGCCACACCCCCTTTCCGGATCCTGGGAAGAGGTGCATTGAACGGAGGCAGTGGTCAGGGAGGTGTGATAATCCCCTGTCCTCCCAGATCCCGGATACCTAGCTGCCTCGGGGGCGGGGGTGGGGGGTGGGTGCGAGGTCTGATACTAGGGTGAGGTGCATGAACAATCATGCTCAGCTTCACACACTGCAAGATGGATCTACTGCCTACATGTGTGTGACCTTCTTTGGTGGTTGGGAGTGATGGCCTCCCTAAAGCCTGCACCTGCTGAGCCACACACACCTTACACTTGCCCTGCTGAGACGTCTGCAAAGATGGGTGCATGACAATGTGGGCTGAACCGTGTGCCCTCCCAATTCCTGTGTGAAGGCCCTAGCCCCAGTGTAATGGTATTTGTAGGAGGGTCCTTGGGGAGGTAATAGGTTTAGAAGAGGTCCTGAGGAGGGGGCCCTCACCATGGCATTAGTGCCCTTATAAGAAGAGACATCAGAGACCTTGCCCGCTCCGAAAGTGTGGGACGAAGGGAGCGAGACTTAAGGGATGGATGGGGATTGGAGCTACCTTGAGTGCTCCCGGGCTACCCTACAGATCAGTAGGAACTTGGCTCCTGATCGTGTGTTTTGATGGGGAAAGCCCAGAGGCCAGAACTTCAGATTTTTAAGAACAACCAGATATCTGGATTTTTAGTTTGAAAGGCCTGCTTTGGAGAAAGAGAGAGTGGTCATTTGCCCATTGGATGGAGGAGGAGACTTGATGTGGTGCCCTGGAGGGCCTCTTCTAGCACGGAGCTCTCAGGGACATTCAAATTGGAGTTGACTTATAAAAATTCATGGTAGGCAGAATTATGGAATTTCAGAATGGCCTCTGGGGCAGCCAGAGACACATGGTGGTGGAGGGGGGCAGGTAGGGATGAAAAGCAAGGGTGAAGCAGCAATAGAAATGAGCGTGGGAGAGTGGAAAGTTGAAAATCACCAAAAGCCCACTGTGGGCCCCCAGAGTGGGCTCCTCCAGGCCCCAGATTCCCTTCCCGGCCCAGGTCACCTCCCCCTGCCCAGCTCTACTCCCCAACTGCCTGTTCCTCCCCCGCCCTGGCCCCGCCCCCAGCCTGCAGCCCCGCATACACAATGCCCTGCTTGAAGTAGCCACGGAAGGCTTCGCTCTCATTGCCCTGGACCTCGCGGTGCTGGATGGCGCGGCCCTTCAGGAAGTCATCCATCTGCGTGGTGTAGATGGCAGCCGCCCCTTGCTCGTCCTGGGACGAGGCCTGGCCGATCCAGAAGTGGATGTCATAGGACAGGTTGTTGCCCGTCTTGTGGGTCTAGGGAGAGGACATGTCCAGTCTACCAGCATCCCTGGACTCCACGGCCCTCTGCACCGCCCCCACCCTGCTGGGCAGGCTCTCACACACACCTGGGTCCTGGGTCACAGGCCAGCCCTGAGCTGTGGTCCCAGGGCACCAGACTGAGACATGGGACCAATGGCTTCCCCTTGGGGCCTGGCTCACCTCCAGGAAATAACTTGGTTGGACTCTAGAAGGTTCCCAAAGTGCGGCACACGGGCCAGCAGAGGCCCATGAGGTAATTAGATGGTGCACAAATAAATGTATATTTGAATAATTATGTAAATATTTTAATGACTTACTGTCGTGACACGGGACACTGCTTGTCATATATGACAATGATATATATAGAGTTATATTTTTATAATTGTATTTCAATTTTAAAAGTGAATCAATGTAGGGCCTCCCCGGTGGTGCAGCGGTTGAGCGCTGGGTTGCGAAGCTGCCCGCAGTCTCTGCAGCGCCGGTTCGATCCCCGGCTGCTCCCCGGCCACCGGAGGAGGGTCCCACATGGCGCGCAGACCTCTCCTGCCACCCGCTGCTCCCCTCAGCAGTGTACCTCGGTCCTTCTGCCTGCTCTGCTCCCCGCTCTGGCTCTGGAGAATTCTCTCACCCTCCCGCGCTTCTGACTGTACCCAGTGCTTGTATGTATAAATAAATAAATAAATAAATAAATAAAAAGTGAATCAATATAAGGAAAAATGCAAATGCATTAACACTTCAGCTGGTACCTGGAGGGCAGAAACCAAGAAGGTATATCAAGATGACCACCGGGTTTGGGAACCTGGACTCAAGGAGGAGTGAGTGACAGCCCATCAGCGCAGAAGATCCTGAGACTGTAACTCCTCAACAGGGAGTTCGGCTCCCCAGGACAGGAGGGCCTTTGATGTGTCTGACCCTACAGAGCCACCACTAGGCCACGGGCACCTGGCAAGGGCCATCTTGGGGGGAAACCAGGCCAGCTCTTCCCACCCCCCAGCCTTAAATCCCCTCCCTGACACCACAGTGAGGGGTTTGCTGTCTGCTCAGTGCCTCCCCTGCAGACCCCGCACTCACAGCCAGGACTACGTAGCAGTCGCCATCGAAGAAGCTGCCAAAGGTGCTAGAGGGGACTGGCACCATCTGCATGGCCTAGAGAGAGAGAGAGGGTCAGGGGCGCCCTCCCCCCACACCACGGGGAGGAAGCAGAGGGGATGGCCGAAGGGGAAAGGCACGGGAATGAAAGAGGCGGCAGAAACACCTGCAGGAGGGGCAGGAAGGAGGCTCCAAGAGGGAGAGGGAGGGAGGGAGGGAGATAGAAGATGGAGAGGAAGAGGAAGGTGGAAAGACAGGGAAGAAATGGACGGAAGGAAAAAAAGAGATGAAGCCAATGAGGAAACACCCCAGGGAAAGGAGGGGAGGCGGACTGGCAGAGATGCGAGCCCAGGGGAGGTGGCTCTTTGGAGCGGGCATCAGGGTGGGAGGAATCCCAGGCCTCTTCCGTGCCCCTCCATCCAGGCCTGCCCACCACCCCCTCCCTACCCCTGTCCAGGCAACCTCACCTCGATCCTCCATATCTGCACCCCGGGAGTGGTGGTGTTGAGGGACCTTTTGACCTGGGAGTTCAGTTCGGTCATGGCGATGAGCCTAGGGGAAAAAAAGTGTGGGAACAAGGAACTGGGGAGCTGGGAACAGCCCCTGTTTCAGGTGCGGCTCTGCAGCCCAGCCCAGCCCAGGAGAGCTCTCAACAATTCCGGGAAGCCACGAACCTGGGAAGGGAGCGGTGGACTTCCCGCCCACCCACCTCTGCTCTCATCCCCACCCTGCCACTCAAACCCCTACCCTGGTGCCTTAGCACCTTCTGAATAAAGCCCCACATCTTAGCCTGCCTCTCAAGGCCCTTCTTTAGCCCCCAGCTTTTCTTTCTTTTTTTTTTTTTTTAATTTTTTTTTTTTTTTTGAGTCAGGGTCTCGCTATGTTGCCCAGGCTGGAGTGCAGTGGCTATTCACAGGCGCGATCCCACTACTGATCAGCACGGGAGTTTTGACCTGCTCCGTTTCCGACCTGGGCCGGTTCACCCCTCCTTAGGCAACCTGGTGGTCCCCCGCTCCCGGGAGGTCACCATATTGATGCCGAACTTAGTGCGGACACCCGATCGGCATAGCGCACTGCAGCCCAGAACTCCTGGACTCAAGCGATCCTCCTGCCTCTGCCTCCCGAGTAGCTGGGACTACAGGCGCGCGCCACCACGCCCGGCCCCCAGCTTTTCTTTCTGAAAAATTTTTATTTAAGCTATGCCTGTTTAATAATATAAATATACAAAGTTTAAAATAAAAAAAGGAAAGCAAAGAATAAATAAGAACTGAAAAGCATATGTTCCCAAAAGGATTGAAAAAACAGGTGCTCAAACAAACATGAAATTCATTCACAACATTCATTCAGCCAAAAGGTGGAAACAACCCAAATGTCCATCAGTGGATAAATGGATAAACAAAAGATGACACATCCACACAATGGAATATTATTCAGCCATGAAAAAGAGATGCAGTACTGAAGCAAGCTCTAAGGAAAATGAAACTTTGAATATATTATGCATACTGAAAGAAGTCAGACACAGAAGGCCATGTATTGGGGCCTCCCCGGTGGCGCAGCGGTTGAGCGCTGGGTTGCAAAGCTGCCCGCAGCTTCCGCAGCGCCAGTTTGATCCCCGGCTGCCTGCAAGGGTCCCACAAGGTGCACAGACCTCTCCTGCCATGCGTGCTGCTCCCCTCAGCAGTGTACTTCGTCAGTCTGCCTGCTCTGCTCTCCGCTCTGACTCTGGTGAATTCCCTCACTGCCCCCGTCCCACCCATATTTCTGACTGTACCCAGTGCTTGTATAAATAAATAAATAAATCTTTAAAAAAAAAAAAAAGGCCATGTATTATATGATTCCATTTATTTTTAAAAAGTTTTATTTATTTATGCATACAAAAACTGGGGTACAGGCTAGAGGTGCGGAGGGGGTGTGTGAGAAGATTCACCAGATACACAGTGGGGAACAGAACAGGCAGACTGACTGAAACACACTGCTGAGGGGAGCAGCGGGCGAGTCAGGAGAGGTCTGCTGCGCCCTGTGGGTTACCTCCCTGGCCGGGGAATCAAACTCATGCTGCACTGGCTGCGGGTAGCTTCACAGTGCTGGGCTTAACCCCTTGCACCACCAGGGAGGCCCTGTATGATTCCATTTATATGAAATGACTAGGTAGGTTAATCCATAGAGAGAGCAGGCAGATTCCTTGTTGGGCTGAGAGGAGGGAGAAATGGGGAGTGACTGCTATTGTGTAAGGAGTTTTCATTTGAGCTAATAAATCAGTTCTAGAACTAGACAATGGCGATGGTTGGATTGCGTTGTGAGTGTACTGAATGCCGCTGAACAGTATTCTTCCACGTGGTTAAAATGGTCAATCTTACGTATATTTTGCAACAATAAAAAAATGCAGCTTCCTATTCCTTCCCAGCTACTCCCAAATCCTCCTCAATCACTGTCCTGGTCCAGGCCCACAAGCTGCAGACCCCACAAGGGTGGGAGTCATATTGGTTTGTTCAGTACTGAATCCCCAGCCTCTACCACAGTGCCAGCACGTTGCTGGTGGGTGGGCGAGATGGGTAGGTGGCAGATGGATGGATGAATAAAAGAAGGGAAGGAAGCAAGGAAGGAAGCAAGGAAGGAAGAGTGAAAGGGAGCAAGGGAGGGAGGGAGGGAGGAGGGAACCAGGAAAGTGAACCCTTTCACTTTGAACCTTCCACCCACTGAGTCAGAAGGAATGTCCCTCCCAAGCTTCTCTCACCATTTCTTTTATTGCTCTTTCTGTGTTAACCTGTAACTGTTTTCTCCGCTCCAGTTGCTATCAACGTCACCTGGGAGCTTTTCAACAACACTGATGCTCTGATGCTCAGGTTATGTTCCCTCAGATTCTGATTTAATTAGGCCAAGGTGGGGTACTTAATTTTCTTTTTTAAAAACTTTCTTTTTTTTTAAGATTTATTTATTTATGCATACAAGAGCTGGGGTACAGGCCAGAGGTGTGGGGGTGAGAGGATTCACCAGAGACAGAGTGGGGAACAGAAGAGGCAGACTGACTGAAGTACACTGCTGAGGGGAGCAGCGGGCGAGACAGGAGAGGTCTGCTGTGCCATGTGGGTAGCTCCCTGACCAGGGCTTGAACTTGTGCTGCAGAGGCTGCGGACTACTTCCTTGGTGGAACAAGAGGTTAAGCACAGCACTGTGAAGCTGTCCGCAGCCACTGCAGCATGGGTTCGATCCCCAGGCAGGGAGCAACCCACATGGTGCAGCAGACCTCTCCTGTCTCATCTGCTGCTCCCCTCAGCAGTGTACCTCGTCAGTCTGCCTGTTCTGCTCCCCGCTCTGTCTCTGGTGAATCCTCTCACCCCCCTGCACCTCTGACCCATCCCCCAATTCTTATATGCATAAATAAATAAATCTTTAAAAAAATTAAACTGTTGGGCCTCCCCGGTGGCGCAGCGGTTGAGCACTGGGTTGCGAAGCTGCCCGCGGCCTCTGCGGCGCAGGTTCGATCCCTGGCTGCTTCCTGGCCACCGGAGGAGGGTCCCGCATGGCGCGCAGACCTCTCCTGCCGCCCACTGCTCCCCTCAGCAGTGTACTTCGGCCCTTCTGCCTGCTCTGCTCCCCGCTCTGGCTCTGGTGAATTCTCTCACCCTCCCGCGCTTCTGACTGTACCCAGTGCTTGTATAAACAAAACAAACAAACAAACAAACTAATAAAAATAAATAAATAAAACATGCCTCTATAAAAAAAAAAAAATTTAAACTGCCCAGTGATTCTGAGATGGCCAAGGCTGAGAACCACTTGTCCCAGGTGCTCTCATGCCCAGTGTGCTCTCATGCTCCTGCACACCAGGCTGAAGGCCGTCCCATCCCCCGCCAAGCCTGCCACCCAGCTGGCACCGTCACCCTCCCTCAATGCTCCTTGACCTGATGAACAATGAATGAAAGGTCACGGGCCCCACAGCCAGCTCCAGCCCAGTGGGGCATGGACAGCCTCTGGCCTTTATCTAATCTCCCCTTGCACCTTGACTCTGAGTCACCTCGGAGCAATGACCCGGCCTTTTACTGCTGGGAAACTCCCTCTTCGGAGACCTGAGGAGTGACCCCCTCCCTGACATTCCAGAGTTTGGGAGCAAAGTCTCCCCACCCAGCTTCTGGTTAGTGTCCTGTCCGGTAGGTCAGGGTCACCTTCAGGTCCCCAGGACTGTGCTTGCAGAGCCCCTTCTGCCTGGGTCCTACCTGAACCCCTGCCAGCCACAGCCTCCTCCAAGAGGTATTTCTTAACCAGCAGAGACTGCAAGCGCCAAGGACGCCTTGTTCAGCACCAATTCAGGTACCAAGGAAGAGAATATTTTATATCAATCACCAGCCCCCTTTCTCCAAGACACACCCATTAGCTGTATGGAAGTGAACCCCATTTCTTCATCTGTGAGGTCAGGGCCATGGACTAGGGGGTCTCTAAAGTCCCGCCAGGGAGAAACTGATTCTAGGAGTGAAACAAGCAGAATAGAGTCGACCTGAGGAGGCACTTCTTACTCATCGGGGCACTTGAAAAAGCAAATGCTCTTCCAAGACAGAAGTCAAGGCAGGGGACCTCCAGCAGCAAGAGCAGGGAAGGGGAACCTCCTCACGGAGGAGGTTCCGGAGGGTGACTATGAGAGGTGGCTCTGTACTCTGGGGGTATCCCCGTGGGGTTGCCAGCTGCGGCTGCCTCTGTACACATGGATGAGACGTCTCTGGCCCCTACCTCTCGCGGGTCCTCCCCAGTATTCCTGTCTCCCCTGAACAGCTGAGAGGAATATGGGTACCTCATGCTCCCCATCACCAACAGCAAACTCCCAGGTTTGGATACACACTTTCTTCTCCCTCAACGTGAACTTACTGGCTCCCCCCTCACAGCTGGTCCTCTGCCTTCGGTGTCCCCACATCAAGGAAGGGCACCATCATCCCCAGATCCCAAAGTCGGCCACCTCTGTAACACCCTGAAGCCTTCCCTTTTTTGCCCTTCTGTCTGCCTGACACCCCGCAATCGTCTCTGCCTGCCGGCAATGCTAGACCCCTCTACCGCCCTGCTCCCCACTGTGCTGCTCCTCAGCCCCGGCCATCTGCTCCCGCGTTCCCTGTACTGAATGCCCTCCCTCCACCCTTCTGCACTTGGCTAACGCTCACTTGCTCTTCTAGGTTCAATTTAAATCTCATTTCTTCCAGGAGACCTTCCCAGAACCTCCTTGGGGCTCCAAGGCATCTGGACTGATGCGTCTCTCGGCCCCTGACCACATGGTCAGGAAAATACCTGTTTATAGGTCTGAGGCCCCAACGTCAAGGACCTGACGTGTTTGTGCAGCCCCCAGCTCCTAGCACATTGTAGGTGTTTGGTAAATATTGATGAAGCTGAGAAACTGAACGTTGGAATGGAAGGGTGAGTCTCCCTGAGGCCCTGGGAGGAGCAGCAGGAGTTAGGGCTCGCGCAACCCCCAGGTCCAGCTTTCCTTTTTTCTCTGCTGCTAATTATCCTCAAGAGTTCAGCCTCCCAGGCCTGGGTGCTGTCGCTGTTCTAGTCCTCAGTCAAGCGGTTCTAAACTGCACAGGGATGTGGCAGTCCTTGAAACAAAGGACACCCCCCTGTTCCTCCCGCCGCCTGTGAGAGCAAAAGGCATGGACGCCGGGGCCCTCCCACAAACCCCCGCCCCCGGCACCGACCCAGGCTACACACTGCCCCTCGCCACTGAGGGTGCCTGAGCAGATGGTGCCTGAGCAGAGGGTGGTCAGTATATCTCAAGATCCTGGTTTGGACTAGGCCCCCACCTCCTCTGCCCCCCCCATTTCCGCTGAATGGGGCCACGATGATGGCTGGTGAGGGACAGGTCCCGCAGAAGGGAGATGGGGAGGGGTACAAGTAGGGTGGACCCGGCCAGAGGGTCCTGCGGCCACCAGTCCCCAGCCTCGGCCTTGGCCTCCTACCTTCGCCCATTCAATCCCCCATGGCTGTTGCTCACACCCTAGGACCCAGGAGGCGAGGACTCTGAGGCCCCAGGGGGTCACAGGAATGGTGACATAAAGATGAAGACATTTCTGGGCCTTCCTGGTGGCACAGGGGTTTAAGTCTCAGTACTATCAAGCTATTGTCATCTACTGTGGCACACGTTCGATCTCTGGCCAGGAAGCTGACCCATATGGCACAGCAGACCTCTCCTGTCCCGCTCCCCTCAGCAGTGCACTTCAGTAGATCCGCCGGTTCTGTATTTCACCAGATCCCCACTGTCTCTGGTGATACTTTCACACTCTGCACCTTTGGTCGACACCCCAGTTCTTTTTTTTTTTTAAGATTTATTTATACAAGAACTGGGGTTCAGACCAGACGTACGGGAGGGTGAAAAAATTCACCAGAGTGGGGAGCAGAACAGGCAGACGGCCGGAAGACACTGCTGAGGGGAGCAGCGGGTGAGACAGGAGAGGTCTGCCGCGCCATGGGGGACTCTCCCTGGCTGGCCGGGAATCGAACCCGCGCTGCAGAGGCTGCGGACAGCTTCATAGTGCTGCGCTCAACCCACTGCGCCATCGGGGAGGCCCTACACCCCAGTCCTTATATGCATAAATAAATAAAGAAGAAATATTTTTTTTAAAAAAGAAACATTTCCAATGAGTAAGAAATGGGCAGAGATGGGCTGGGGGTAAGTACGGAGAGTGAGGTCAGGGCGACCATGTGTGCCGGGCCGCCAGGGAAAATCTAGTTGTACATCTATTAGGCCCCTGTCTTGGAGTCTCCTCGGCCCAGAGCCACCGGCGATGGACACCGGAAGCTGCGGCGGGGATCTGAAAGAGCAGTTGTCTGGGACAGAGACGGCTCAGTTCTTTCCACAGAGGCCCAGGAAGCCACACAGGACTCCCTGCTCTTTCCACCCTCCAGAGCTCCAGCCTCTCCCTCAAACCCGCCCCGAGGTGCTACAGGAGGTTCCAGGCTGCCAGTGGGAAGCCAGAGAACCCCCATTCTGTCCCGTCAGCTCCAGTCACCAATGGCCTCCCCATGTTCCCGCAGGGGTGTCTTACCTGTTTCAAGAGGCAACCGCCACCTGGGAGAGCTCAGGGAGTTGTGGCAAACTGACTGCAGGAGAGCCCTCGACCTTTGTCCCCACCCCCCCTCCTCTAGGAGCTGCCTTCACCATATAAGGGAAGATAGGGCCCCAGAGAGAGAGAATGGGTAAGGGGGTGGGGAGGCAGGTGCCCATAGGTCCCTGGGAACTCAGGAGCCCAGGACAGCCTGACAGCGAGAGCCCATGTGCCCCACCCTTAACTCCTGAGCAAGAGGGCAGGATGGGTGTGTTTCTGCCCAGGACCCAGGTCCTCCCTGCAGGTGGACAGCACTGGCCAGGGAAGCTGGCGACACCAGAACCCTTCCTCCTGCCAACCCAGAGAAGTTGGTTCAGCTCTTCTCCCTCCTTTCATGGGGGCTAGCCCAGGGCCAGGGGTTCATACTTGGGACCCCTCCAGAACAAATGGGATCTGGCCCTTCTACAGGTCTCTTCTACTTAGCATGACCCTCACTCAGAGGGGACACAAGGAAGGGCTGTTCTTGTCTCCCCCTTCAAGGGCACTGGCTCCACCCACAGTTTTTATGAGCTGCCCTAGGAAGTGACTTTGGACTCTGCTGTGCTGCTCTAGCCAAAGCTTCCGGTTTTTCGATCCTGATCCGAGGGGCCCTCTCTCATTCAGGATGGGACAGCAGTCATCCCTGCCAGGTGTGGGTCTTGCTCAGAGACGGGCTTGGTCCACAAATTCTCAGCACTCTGGGCAGGTGCCCCCAACCTCCACCTTGCAGAAATTTCTCAGAACCCTGATCCCCACTAGGGGGTGAGATGAGGTATGGTGTGCCAGGGACAGCAGCTGCCCTCCTGACCACACCCTCCCAAGATGCTGGAGACCAAAGGTGTGGGTGTGTGCACGTGCATGTGTGTGTGTGCATGCAGTGCAAAGGTGTGAGCATGTGGGGCACAGGCTGGAATGAAGAGTCAGCACACTACGATGCTATTTTGTTGTATATGTTCACTCAGTTATGCACATAGTGAAGAAGGAAAGAAAAAAATTCATCTACAATTTGACTCCAGAGATAATCTACAGCTACATCATGGTTAGCGGTATACTGTGGAGTATTTCAAGTCATTCTTCAGTACATGTGGTGTGTGTGTGCCACTTACATGTATAGTATCTATCACCTATCTATCATCTAGCTTGCTTTTTAAAAAAAAGATTTATTTATTTATTTGTGCACACAAGAACTGGAGTACAGGCCAGAGGTGTGGGGGTTGAGGATTCACCAGAGACAGAGTGGGGAGCAGAACAGGTGGATTGACTGAAATACACTGCTGAGCAGAGCAGTGAGGTGAGACAGATGAGGTCTGCTGTGCCATGTGGGTAGCTCCCTGACCTAGGATTGAACTTGTGCTGCAGTCGCTACAGATAACTTCATATGTTGCGTCTTAACCCCTTGCGCCACCAAGGAGGCCCCTAGCTTCCTATCTATCTACTGGCTATCTATCTATCTATCTATCTATCCATCAATATTTTACTAGTGGGATAGAACTTTTTAAATATAATTTTTGGTAATGTCTTCCTTTTTTTTTTTTTTTAAAAAAGATTTATTTATTTATTTATACAAGCACTGGGTACAGTCAGAAGTGCAGGAGGGTGAGAGAATTCACCAGAGCCAGAGCAGGGAGCAGAGCAGGGAGCAGAGCAGGCAGAAGGACTGAAGTACACAGCTGAGGGGAGCAGCGGGCAGCAGGAGAGGTCTGCCCGCCATGCGGGACCCTCCTCCGGTGGCCGGGGGGCAGCTGGGGATCGAACCGGCTCCGCAGAGGCTGAGGGCAGCCTCGCAACCCAACGCTCAACCGCTGCGCCACCGGAGAGGCCCAATTTTTGGTAATGTCTTCTTTTGTGAATTTTTTATATATGTAATATATTAAGGTTGGTAGCCTGCCTGTCATTTACATGGTGTACTTTTTTCAATTTATTGCCTGCTTTTCAATTTAGTTTTAGGGGCTTTCTGTAGAAAATATATTTTTGAATTATTTACAATTTCCTTATTATGATAAACATCAAACATATTGAAAAGTTATACTATTAAAAATAGTGTAATAATAATAAATATTCAAGGATTCAATAATTCACATTGGTATATGTATGTATTTGGAAGTAAGTTGCGACATCACAATACCTCAGCCCGAGTAATTTACCACACATCTAAGAATGAGAACATTCTCCTTCAAAAGTCTAATATGGGACCTCCCTGGTGGTGCAAAGGGTTAAGCAGAGGACTGTGAAGCTATCTGCAGCCTCTGTAGCACAAGTTCAATTCCCGGGCCGGCCAGGGAGCAGCCCACATGGCTCAGCAGACCTCTCCTGTCTGGCCTGTTGCTCCCCTCAGCAGTGTATTTCGATCTGTCTGCCTGTTCTGCTCCCCACTCTGTCTCTGGTGAATCCTGTCACCCCCCACACCCCTGGCCTGTAACCAGTTCTTGTGTGCACAAATAAATCTTTAAAAAACAATGAATATATTAAAAAAGATCAGCACTTCTTAAACAGTAATAGGGTAAGAATCACATGGGAATCTTTTTAAAGTTTAGAAAATGATTCAATCGCTCAGGGTGGGGCATTTACATTCTAACAAGCACCCAGCTGGTGCCAGGCTTCAAAGGTGACACTGGGTGCTTGCCTTTGCATAGCATCCAGAGATCTACAAGGTCATTCCTGGAAGGAGTGGTGTGAAGTTTGACCCCCACTATGCTGCTGACTGCCGGATCTCCTCACTGTAAAGGCCCATACCCCCCCCCCTTTGTAATTAGAAGTCATCTTGGGGTGACAGTTTGGCACTGGCAGCACAAAAGTTTTTAATTATTTACCACTTTCAATTCTCCTTTTGCAACATTTGTTTTCTATTTACTTTGTTTTGGAATCTGTTTTTCCCATGGTGTCTCTTTTGTTCCGTGCTGTACCCTAGTGTCTGCAACAGAGAAGGCAAGGGATGACTGAAGGGAAAAAACGGAATTCATTATTTTTGCTTGATATTATATTTAGGAAGCTATGTTTGCCATCTTAAACTGATTTTTATTTTTATTATTTTTAAAGATTTATTTATTTATGCATACAAGAGCTGAGGTACAGGCCAGAGATGCGGGATGGGGGGGTGATAAGTGGATTCACCAGAGACAGAGCGGGGAACAGAACAGGCAGACTGACTGAAGTACACTGCTGAGGGGAGCAGCGGGCGAGACAGGAGAGGTCTGATGCGCCATGTGGGTTGTTCCCTCGCCGGCCGGGGGATTGAACTCATGCTGCAGAGGCTGTGGACAGCTTCATGGGTTGCATCTTAACCCTCTGTGCCACCAGGAAGGCCCTTAAACTGATTTTTATTTTAAAAAATAATATGGGTTGTTGGAAAAGTCATGACACATTTTTTCTTAGAAAAAATATGTCATGGGGCCTCCCTGGTGGTGCAAGGGGTTAAGACACAGCCCTACGAAGCTGTCTGCAGCCACTGCAGCAAGAGTTCGATCCCCAGCCAGGGAAGTGACCCACATGATGCAGCAGACCTTTCCAGTCTTGCCAGCTGCTCCCCTCAGGACTGTATTTCAGTTAATCCGCCTGTTCTGTCCCCCACTCTGCTTCTGGTGAATCCTCTCACCCCCTACACCTCTAGCCTGTAGCTCAGTTCTTGTACGCATAAATCTTTTTTAAAAAAAGGAAAAAGAAAAAAATACGTCATGACTTTTCCAACAACCCAATACATGAACCTGTAAAATAATTAAAAATGCAAACAGATGTATCATAAAAACTAGTCCTTCCCATTTTAGATGACTTTCATCCAGTCCTCCACCTCTGCTCTGCAGGGTTTGACACAGTTTCCATTTCTTGGGTACCCAATGGGAGCATACAAACGTGGGTACCTCTATGTGTGTCTGTTTTTGTATTTCTCCTCAGTGGGAATATACCCTCGCAAGGGTCATGCATCTGGCTTTATTTCATTTACTGCTCTAGCTTGGACTCCATTCTGTAACTGCTTGGGTATTTCCACCTTTTGTTTTTCATGGTGGGATGGTTTTTCTGGTTATTTCAAGTGTTTTGCTATTACAAACAAGGATGTAATGAAGCCCGTAAACATGCACGTCTACATGTGCACACATCTTAGGTTGCATCAGTTGCATCAGTTGCCCTGCCCCCAGCAACACCGTATCAGGTGCCATTCCCTCTGGTGTGTACACACACTCGTGTGCACTCGTGAGTGTAAAGGGCATGAGTGTGAAGCAGTAGTGACTATCTGTCCCTTACCAAGCTGGGCTAGAGTTTTTCCACAGGGGATACCTCCAAAGGCAGAGGCTAGGTTCCCTCCCTCCCTACCCTCTGGGGCCACCAGCCTCGGGTTTAGCATCTCACATTACTACTCCTTCTTCCCACTATCTCTGCCCAGTTCGGGTCTTCACAGGACCAGGCCTGTGATCTCCCAATAATGCCTCACATCACTGTACCCCAGATTTAGCTTCCAGGGTGCAGACGCCAGGCTTGAGCATGCCCTTCTCTTGTTCCGTGTCCCTCACTGCCCCGCAAAGGCCCCCCGCTGCCTGCAAAAAAGAAACAGCAGGCCGCTCCCCTGGTGTAGCTACAAAGCTGCATTGTCTGGAGCCTTCTGCGGTGTCCGTCCCATTGCGGGGGGGGGGGGGTGTGGGGGGGGGAAATTGAACTCGTGCAAAAGCAAAAGCAAACGTTGTCATTTCCCACGCGCCCCACCGTGGCCGGCCGGGCGTGGTGGCATCCTTTCCTGGTACACCCCCTGGCTCCGCCCGCCTTTACCGGAATCGCTCCTCCTTCCCATCACCTCAGGGCCTCTCCAAGGCCACCCCATGGGGGTGTGTGTGTGCGTGTGTGTGTCCCACACTCACACTCCAGTGTCCCTCCCTCCCTCTCTCTCCATCTGCAGCACTTCAGGTTTTAGATATTCTGTTCCAGTGTCTCTCCGCTCTCAGGGTGAGTTCCTTGAGAGCAGAGGGACGGGGTGTCCCCAGGTGCTGGCACCCCGCCCCACACACACTAGGTGCGGTTGAGCTGAACTCTCCTGTGGGCAAAGGTTGCGAGGCGTGGGCGTGGCGAGGCTGGCTCGTCTCCTTCAGTGAGGCGCCCTGGCGACTCCCCCGGGTGTCTGTGCTCTGGGATGCAAATCTGGGAGGGGATCAGCGTTTGCATGGAGAGAAGGAAAGGAAGGGGGACCCCCATTGCTCCCCCCACTGCCACCCCCATCCCGGGGGTCGAGGGCAGAGGCCGCAGCGGGCTCCGACGCCGCAGCTTGCCCTGAGCCGGGAGCTGACGGGGGTGCTGCAGGCTTCCCGCCCCAGGTCGGGGCTTCCAGGGGCTTTTCCACCAGCCAGAAGTAGGGGGCGCGGGGCCAAACACACTGCAGACGCCCCCTCAGAGCCCCGAGGGCAGAGCAGCTTCTGGGGCGCCGGCACTGCGGCTCGCGGCTGGACTCCCCAGGTAAGGCGGTGGGGGGCCGGGGTGGGAGCGGCAGCTCCTCCGTCCCTGTGCGCGCGCGTGTTTGAGGGGCGCGAGGAAGCTGCGCACCCCGGGACTGGGGTGCATGATGCGGGCCTTCATTTTCCCGGCCCCCAGGGGGGCAAGGGGGGCGCGCCCCGCGGCGGGGCGGGCGCCGGCAGACCCGGGTCCGCGAGCGCAGAGAGGCCTCTAGCGGCCGCCGCGGGGAGCCGCGGGGCGCCCCGGGGGGCGCCCGGGCGCTTCCTGCCAGGGCCGGCGCTGCCCAGCCGCGCGGAGGAAGTGCCGCCCGGGCCGGCGGGGGGGGCAGGAAGTGGGCGGGGGGCCCGCGAGGGCGCGGCCGGCGGGAGCGCTGCCCGCCCGGGGGGTGGCGCGCGGGACCCGGCGCCCGCCCCGCCCAGGCCCGCCCGCCCGCGGCCCGGGGTCAAAGGTCTTCGGCGTGGACTTGAACTTGACTTCCCTGTAGCTCGTCTCGCTCCCCACCTCGAGTCCCAGGGCCTCATCAGGCCTCCCCTCTTCGGGCCAGAGGCCACACCCCTCCCTTCTCCAAGAACCTTCCCGGGGCCGCCCCTGGGGACGCATTCCTGCCTCGCTCTAGAGCGGACATTATCGCGCCTCCGTGGGCAGCAATTCAGCGATTCTGCGAGGAGGGCGCCGCTCCGTCGCGCGGGTCCGAGCAGCGAGGCTTCCAGAGGGAGGATTCAGCAGCAGAGTCCGCCGCACCGGTCCATTCAAAGCTGCTCCCTTAACCTTCCCCGAGCGGGAAGCCCAGGGGGTCTAGGGCAGCCTCTTCACCACTGCCCACCCGCCCCCCCGAATGGGCTTGCTGCAGCGGGGTGCGCTTCACAGGGCACGTAACCATTCCCCCCACTTCAACACCCCAATAACCACAGAGGCAGATGGGGGGTCTGGCGTTCTTTAGTTCTCTTATGTGGGTCTCTCCGCACAGAGAAGGCACTTAAGTGGAAAGTTGCCCTGTGGACTACCCCCAGTCTCGGGGCGTGTGGGGGGGAGCATGACATCTTCCTTGGCACTGGTTCATGGGTCCCCTTAACCGTTAGGCCCTGAGGAGAGCCCAAGACCTTGACTTCCAGACTCAGCATTTGGGGTAGGGGTTTCCAGATAAGTCAGAGCTGGAAGGCAGGTTGTCCTGGAAGATGCCCCCAGCCAGCAGGGGGCAGGGCAGGAGGCTGCAGGGGGTGGGTTGGCACGGGAGAGGGGGCCAGCTTGGTCAGGCTTCCTGGAGACCCCCCAAACCCCACAAAGGTCCCACCTCCTACAGATCCCTTAAAGGCACAGGTGAATTTTGGGGTTGGCAGCTGGGTCTCTCCCCACACATGTAGTCAGCTGGTGGGCCTGGCACAGGGCTAGGCACAGAGAAGGTGCTCAATAAATGATTTTTTGAATGAATAAATGGAGCAAAGAGGTTGTGAGGGGCAGAGGACAGGGCCCAGAGCCCTTTGGCCCAGCTTGTTTCATTGAGAATATAGCAGTTTAAAAAATGTAAAAATCCTTTCCCTCCCTCCCCCAATTTATGGGCCCAGAAAAGGGATGAGCAGAGTAACTCTACCTTGACCCTTCCCTCTCCCCTTCCCCCCAAATCTATATACACATATACATATTTATATGGCACCACAAAGGGGACCTGCCTGTGCCCACCCATGGAGCTGGGGGAGCAGACTTGGCTTCCAGGGCCTTGGAGCAGTTGAGGCAGATGTGGGAGGGTCAGGCCTAGGGTGATGTAGGGAGCAGCCTGTGGCGGCTGCTGAGCGCAGAGAGGTGGGACTCAGTCCTTTAGGACAGAGGCTGCTCCCTTCACAAGTGGTAACAGATCTCTACTTCCCCCTCCTAGGCAGACAGAGGGGCGGGTGGGGGGCGGAGGGGGGGCTGTATCAGTCCCAAGAGATCAGGTGAGGCACCCAGTTCTCCCACCAGCCTAAACTGCAGCAACCTAGGCCGGTCCAGGCCTGAGCTGACCTGGGCCAACCACGCTGGAGAGGGCTGTATGCAAGGCACATGGTATCCACCGTTCCCAGGCTGGGTTCCGGACATTTGGCAGCAGGAACCCCTCCCCTCCCCCAATCAGAACTGGAAGGGGCCAAGGGGCCCAGTTTGGCAGCAGAGAAATATGGCAGCAAAGCAAAAAGAGAGAGGGAGAGAGAAAGGGGGAGCGGGCACCACAGGTCCCCCAAAAAGGAGGGGGTTCTAAGGCACTGATACAGGGACCCAGGGGCATTGCCCTCGGTACAGCCTGCTGCCCCTTTCGTGGCCTGGCCAGGCTGGGGAGGGGATGCCCATTTCCCCAGGGCACTGAGGTGGCAGTGGCTGCAGGGTTTCCTTAAGGCAGAGTCCTCAAGTGAGGGGTGAGCACTGGTTAGGGGGCAGGTCCTGGCCCCAGGGCACCTCACTAGCTGCCCGGTCGAGGCTGCCTGAGCACTGAGTACACATCATCCACGCGGCTGAGCTGCTCGAAGAAGGGCAGGAGGTCGTGGAGCTCCGTGTCGCTCATGTTGTCAAACCACGAGGCCACCGGAACCTGGACAGATGGGGGAGGCCCATGATGGGGGGGCGGGTGGCCACAAGGTCCAGGCTCCCACTGCGTGGTGGGCAGCCCGAGAAGTCCCTTTCCCACGGCTTCCAACCCTGGGGAAAACACTTTTCACATACAACAAAGTGGGTGCTGAGCGAACTGACCCTTAGCCTCCCTGTGTGCAAAGCACTGACATCTATTCTGCTTCATTTTTTTTTTTAAACCCCAACTAGGACCTGCTAAGTTATTTCTGCAACTCGGTAACAAGTCACAACTGGCAGTTTGAAAAGTTGGAACTGTTCCCGTGCCCGGCAGGGCCCCCAGCCCAGGGTGGGTATCCTCTACACCCAGAGGGATGAGCCCAAAGAGAAGTCCAAGGTGGTAGCAGGCAGCCTTCAGGGGGTGCGGGGGGGGGGCAGGAAAGAGGGACAAAGGGGAAGGCACCGCCCAGTTTGGGCACGTGGCGACCAAGGCAGCCTGTGGACTAACCCCTTCCTGGGGCCACAGCCCCCCAGCCCCATCCTGCCCGGCACTCACGGCGTTGTCAGGATGGAAGACGTAGGAGGCAGGCGAGTTGTCCAGAATGAGCACCCGCCGGAGGTCTCGGCCCAGCCGGCTCAGGTCCTTCACGTAGTTTCCCCGGTGGAAGACGCAGGATTCACGAAACAGCCGTGCCCGAAAGGCCCCCCATTTGTCCAGCAGGTCGGCCACGGGGTCTGCATACTGAAGGGGTGGGAAGTGGGCCAAGGTCATCCAGGGCCAAGGTCCGGGTGGCCCCAGGAGCCGTTGAGATCACGGGGAGCTCACCTTGGCGAGGCTGGCGGTGAACAGCACACATTCAAAGAGCTCGCCCATCCGCTGGAGGAACTCGTCCACGTGGGGTCGCTTCAGCACGTAGACCTGGGGGGTGAGCCAGTGAGGGGACTGCTGTCCCACAGGGTGGGCTGGGGAGCTGCTGAGGACTGGGAGGGTGCGAGGGGAGGAGGCAGAGGGGCACAGGAGGGAGGTAGTCCGCTTAGCTGGCCACCCACCAAGGGGAAGCCACCCACCCTCCCAGAAGAGGGTCAGAGTGAGCGTCTGACTTCTGACTTCCTGCCCTGTCCCACAGAGAATTAGAACTAATTCCCAGGTCTTTCCCTTACCATGGCCTCAGCCAAATGTGGGGCCCTGGGGCCAGCCCCCTCACCCAAAGGATGCAGGGCACCGGTGCCCGAACCAAGTAATGGAGAACAGGCTGGACAGTACACAACCTATCCTGAATTACTTGAACTGGGTCCCGGGCAGAGTGGGGCCAGGGGCCGCCCAGCAGGTACCCCATTCCATGCAGGCCTAGGAGTCAGGCCAAGCGCCTCATGGTCTGTGTGACCTTGGGCCGGCCTTACACCCTCTCTGGGCCTCTGACATCTCGCATCTATCAGAGTCCCAGCCGGGCTCTCTGGATTGGGAGGCGGAGTCTCGGGTATCAAGGGCAGATTCAAGCCCACCACCCCCCTCCCATCTGCTGGCACCTCACCTGGTGGACCACCCCATCAATCTCCACAGGGATGATGAAGTCAGCATTGTTCACTGGCTACGGGGGGGAAAAAAAGCTGCTGGAACCAGGGTCAGGCCACAGAGACTGCCCTCCCAGGCCAGGGAAGGCCCGCGTGGAGCCGGGAGCTGAGGGCTGCTGGGCAAGGCCCACCTTGAAGGAGCTGTGCACCAGGGTCTCGTCCAGGTCGATGACCACGCAGATCTTGTCCGAGTCCTGGGCCTTGGCCTCGGGCAGCAGGTACTGGACTGAAGTCTGCTGTGGGAATGAGCAGGCTGACTGGGGGTACCTCTCTCAAACCCCCGGGTATTTGTCCTACACAGGTCTCCCCTCTCCAGCCCTATTCCTGGGGAGTCACTAGGGGTGGGGGAGGGGGCGGAGAAGAGACCACCCTTCCCTGGCTTTGCCCGGCCAGCTCTGGAGCTGGGGCTACTCTCTGTGAGTCAGTTCTCCACCTGGAAAACCAAAGTAGGGGAAAGCGTCCCTTCCTGAGAGACCCTCCCCTGGGTGACATTTGGGGGCCTTCAGGGCCAGGCTGGGGGTGGGGGGCACACTCTCCTCCGTACCCTCCATGGCCCGCCAGCAGTCACGGAAACTCCTTTCCCTTATCTTCCCTCTGGGTTGAGCCCAGGTGTCCCTGCAGCCCCCACCTGGCCCACACGCACCTTGGGGACAGCTCCGTTCTCTTCCACCAGCAGGGGTGCCCCACCGTGGGCAGGCAGGGCCTCCCCATCATCCCGGCAGACACAGCAGAAAAGCGAGTGGAGGATGCCCCGGCTCCGGGGTTTCTGAGAAGCTGCTGACTTCTGATCACCTGAAGCAGAGGCCCAAGGTGGGGGCTTGCACACCGGCCTGCAGAGGCGCGCAAGCGTGCCCAGGTGAACCCCGGGGCCCAAAGGGCCTGACCACGCCCCCGACATTAAGGGTGACACTTGGTAGCTGCAGGCCCCCGACAGTCGGGGGGGGGGCGGCCTGCGGGCTCCTCTCCACGCCCCAGCAACCTTCGGAGCGGGCGGGCTGAAGGGGCGCACCGCGAGCGCTTTTCCTCTTCCCCAGGGTCTCCACTTGTGCGGGATCAGCCCCTGGCGGCGCCCCCCGACACCCACCTTACCTGAGCGCCCCTGCTCAGTCGGGCCGAGGCCAGGGAGCGCTGGCGCCTGGGCCCTGCCGCCCACCCCCGCCCTCCCTGCACGCTCTCCGCCCCGCGGGTCCAAAGTCCTCCGAGGCCGGGCCCAGAGGCGGGAGTGGGGGTCGCGGGCCAGTGTCCAGCCGCCGTCCCGGCTCCGCCCCCGCCCCGCCCGCCCGCCCCGACCTCCAGCCCGGAGCCGAGTTTCCGCCGGCTGATTGACAGGCCCACCCTCCACCCGCCCCGGCCCCCGCCTCGGGCGGAGCCAGGCCCCGGCCCGGGCCGGGCAGAGCGGGCGGGCGTCCCGGCCCGTGAGGTCAACCCCTGGGCCGCGAGGGCGACCCCCGTCCGGACCCGCCAGCCCCGGGGGCCCGTCCAGGCGGGCGGCGCGGCTCCCGGGCCGGCGCGGGTGTGCACAGGCCGGGGCCCGGCCTCCCCGCGGGCGCACTGGCGACGCTTAGGGGGGGCCGCCCTCGGGGGGCCTCGGCGCCCCCACGCGCGACGCGGAAGTTTGTGGAGCGCGCGGATCTGCGCTGGCGGGAGCGCCCGCCCAGCCCCCGCGGCCACCCGGCGCCCCGCAGGTCGGCGGGGGAGGGGGCCTCTCGGCGGGCGGCCCGCGGGCGCCCCCTCCAGCACCCCCTCGCCTGACAGTCCCTCGGGCGCCCGCGCGGGGGGCCGGCGACCCTGGGGCGCTGCGCCGCGCTCGCCCCAAAGACGGGCAAGGCGCCCGCGCTCCAACCCTGCCTCAGTTTCCCCACTTTGGGTGCAGCCCGGAGCGCCCGAAAGGCGCCAGGCCCCGCCCCGCGCCTCTGAACCTCCAAGAGTTCAAACTCGCCCCGGTCCCGACTCGCGCCGGAGCGCCCGGCGCCTCCGCGGCGCTCGCCCCGGACGGCGGCGGGGACGGCCCGGGGGAGGGTCCCGCCTCCCGCCCTGCAGCGCCGGCCGCGGCCCCTCCGCGGGCCCCGGTACCTTTGCCCCGCAGCGGGCCCCGCGCCTCCTCCTTGCTGATCTGAGTAATGACGGCCGCGCTGTCCATGGGGCCGGGCGCGCTCCGCTCCGGCCGGACTCTGGCCCGGGCGCCCGGCCTCCCCCCCGGCTCGGGCCGGAATCGGGGCGCGGGGGGGAGGGGAGGGGTGGGAGGGAGGGATCCCCGCGAGCTTTGGAGGGGAGGGAGCCAGGTTCCAAGGGGGAGGGGGAGGGAGGGGGCGCGGAGGAAACTTTGTTACAACATGGAGTTTCCTCCCCGCGAGGCGGATGCAAACATGGAACCCGGGCGCCGTTTCAAGGCTCCCCCTTAAAAGGGCAACGGCTTCGGCGTGACCTGGACTCCGCCGGGGCTTTCATCACCGCCGGGGCCAGCGCGGCTCGCGGGCCGGGAGGCGGGACCCGCCGGGCTCCCGCCGCGCTCCAGGGGGCGTCGCCGCCCTCCCCGGCCGCGCCTCTGCGGCTGCGTGGCGGGGCCGGGCTCCCCGCGGCGGGCGCCGGGCTCAGCCCCTGCCAGGCGGGCGGGCTCAGCCCCGGCCGAGCCGCGGGCGCCCACGCCGGGGAGGGCCGGGGGCGGCGCCGCGCACCTCCGCGCCCGCGGGGGCCGGGGACTAGCGGCCGCCGGGCGTCCTCATCTGGGGCGCGGGGATAACGCTATCTCGCCTGCCCCGCGGGTCTCCCCGATAGCCGGGGCCGCCCCGCGGGGCGTCGGGAGCCGCGGAGGCTCCTCGCTAGCGCCGAGCGGCCCGCGGACTCCCACGGCCGCGCTCCGGCCCGCCCGGCCCGCCGCCCGCCAGCCCCGGGCCAGCGGCCGGCTCCGCGGGCGCGGGTTTTCCAGCCCCAGCCCCGGGCGCCCGGCCCGCCGCGCCCAACTGCCCTCGGCGCCCCCGCGAGCGCCCGGCCCGCCGCCCGGCGTCCTCGCGGGGGGGGGGGTCGCCCGGCAACTCGACGCCGCGGGGCCCGCGCGCCCGCGGTTCCCCGCCCGGGTGGCGCCTCCTTCCCCCTCCCTGGGGCAGGTCCTCCCGCGCTCGAGGAAATGCCCGAGTCCGAGCGGCGCGCCCCGACCGCCTCCTGCCCTCCCCGCGCCGCCCGCTCCGCGGCTGTCGGGGGTGGGGGCCGGGTGGGGCGCAGGGCTCCCGCCTGGCGCGGGCGCTCGGCCTCTGCGGGCTGCGGGGGCTCAAGACACCCACTGCTCGGGGGAGTTTGAACGCCCGCCTCGCCCGGCGCAGACACGGCCGCGGGGGCGTCTCCCGAGGGCTCCCCGCGAGGGGGCCCCGCAGTGTCGCCGCCGCGAGGCCTGCGGGGGGTGCTGGGTCCGCCCCCTCCAACCCCGTCTGTTAAGTTCCCTCCCTTCGTCGTTACTACGTTGTGTTCACAATTTAAAAAATAATAACAGCGCCTGTCCGCACACTCCCGCCGCCGCGCTTCCTCCCCCGGGCGGCCCGGGCGGCGGGGCGCGGCGGGGCGCGGCGGGGCGGGGCGGGGCGGGGCGGGGCGGGCGGGCGCGTCCCGTCCCGTCCCGTCCACCGCCGGGGGCGAGCGCGGCGCGCGTCCTCCAGGCCCCGCCGAGGGGGGAGCCGGGGGCGGGGGAGGGAGCCGCGGCGGGAAGAGGCCTGGAGCCGGGGGCGGGAGCGGAGCGGCGCCCGCCTGCAGCGCGCCCTGGCGACCCGGGGCGTTGGGGGGTCGGGGACTGTGAGCCCCCAACTCCCACTGGGCCCCCGGCGGCCGCCGCTGTGTTTTTGTAATAACCGCCCACGCGCAGCGGGGCTGCTGCGCTCCCCGATCCCATGTACTCCCCGACCGACTCCGTCTTTTCCCTTCGCGACGTGACCCAGCCCTCCAGCGAGGCAGAGACGGGGTTCGGGCCCCCCAGTGGCACCCGCCCCTCGGGCCTGGCCGCGGGCCGGGCGTCCGCTTTATCTCCGGATGCCCCGCCCGCGCTGACCCCGAAAGGAAACGTGTGGCCACGGACCGTGTGAACCCCCGGCGCCCCGCCCGCCGGGCCGGCGCCGCCCGCTCCCCCGAGCCGCCGCGGGCTGACAGCTGTCAGGCTGGGGCTGGCGCGGGGACAGGCCCCGACTGGGCGGCGCCCCCGCTCTGCCTTTCCGCTTCGCACCCCGTCGCCCCTTCTGGGTCTTGGTAGTGCGGGCGCGTCCCCGCGGAGACCCCAAGGCCGAGGCTGCGCGTGGAGGGCGGCGTGGAGGGACTGGGAAGGCGGAGGGGCCCGGGCTCCGCGGGGGCTGGAGCTGGCGGCAGAGTTCTGCAGGGTGGGGCGAGGGGTTCTTTGGGTTTGCTCCCCGGGGGGTAGGAGGAAGGCCCACACCCGGCTGCAGCTGGGGGTCCCCTCATCCCCACGACCTATCTTTGTTTCATGGGTTTGCCCTGGGGCTGAGTCGGAGAACTCGGGGACTCAGCCGGGGCGTCTGGGCACTAGACAAGTGTCTTCCCCGCATCAGACCTTCCCCGTCAAAAGGGCCTGATCGAGCCTCACCCCGGCACGCGGGGCGCCCCAGCAGGCTCCCCAGCAGGCTCCCGGGAGAGCCGGGCGCCCGGCCACTCGCAGTCTGGCGGGCCGGTGGCGCGCGCCCTCCTCAAGCTGGGGCTGACCCTGGGCACCAGCGCACCAGGGAGACGCCCTCCGCAGGGGCACCCCCTGCCCGAGTGGCCGGCCTCGGCCTGACCTCACTACTGCCCCGTTCGCGGGCCCGGGGTAGCCCTTTTGCCGGCCCTTTGGTCCCCCCTCCTGCCTGTCCTTGCTGTCAAGTCCACGCCCAGGCGTAACCACTGTCGACCAGCCCGCCCGCTTCTTGCTCCCCGGACACCCCTGCTCCTTCTCTCGCTTGCCAGCACCCCCACCCCAGCCCCTCTTCCTATTGGGCTTTCAAGTCCAGCCCCAGTTACCTTCTTTCGCCCCTGACTCCCTCTTTCCAGGTGTGCAGACGCACCTGTGCGCGCTCACCTCGCCCTTCGCAATAGTGCTCTGTTGTCTGATGGCTTGCACGGCCCCCCTGCACCCCCTGCCGGAGTGGGGGGTCCTAGAAAGCTGACTCTGGAATTGGGGACTTTGCTTCCCTCCCCCACGTCTCGCCCGTGACCGGAGGGGCCTGCAGGGGTGCAGCTGGGGGCACCGCTAGGAAGAGGGTCTGGTGGATGCAGGGCTTTCTCTACTCCAGGGCCTGCAGCCAGCCCATCCCCTCCCTCGGCTCCCGTGGGACCCTCTTCCCGGGCCAGCCGGGAGAAGGGGAGAGGGCGGCGGTCGTGCCCAGCCACCCGCTCCCACCGCGGCTCGCTGAGGTCGGGCCGGCGCAGTCCCTTCCGGCCCTGCTCGCGGGCCCCACTGGCGCCGTTGCCCTTTTAAGAGAGAGGAAATTCTTCTCATAAACAAGCGCCCCAACCAGAGCGCAGCGCCCAGCGCCTGCCCCGTCGCCGGACCCGGGGACACCGGGGGTGCTTCCAGGCACAGGGCCGACGCCGGGGCCAACCCTCGGGAAAGACCCCCCGGCCCTGCCTCGCCGCCGCTCCGGGCAGCTCCCGCGGCGGTCCGGGAGCCGCGCTTAGGCTGGAGGCGGGACTTCGGGGAGCCTAGAAACAGCCCAGGGAGCGTCTGTAAAGTGCGCCACCTACGCGGGCCGAAGGGGTGCCGACCTGGCTGCAGACGGGGTTCCCCGCCCACACGGCTCCCCCCACCGCCTCTGGGGGCGGATTCCGAGGCCCCAGGGCGCTCGGCCCGCGCCAGCCGCCTCCGCTCGGGTCCCGGCCGCGGAGGGCGAGGCCGAGGGAGCGCCGGCGCGCGGAGCCGTCCCTGCCCCTAGGGGGAGCTGGGGGGCAGCACCCCGGGAGCGCTGACTGCTGGGCGTGGGAGTCCCGGCCGCGCGGCCCCCCGGGAGGTAGCAAACGAGCTGGGCCTGGGAGGCACAGACTCTGGGGCTTCTTAGGACCTGGCGCCTGCAGGGGGTGGAGCGGTGCCTCCGTTTTACTCCCTGGAGAATGGGTGTGGGTGGGACAAAAAGGTGAACCACTGTAGGAGCGAACCAGACATGCAAGTTGGGGGGCTTTTCTTGATGGTTTGGGGAGTTAGTGCTTTCCCGGCTTTGCTGCCGCCCTTTCGTAGGGGGCGTGAACTAGCTTGCATTTAGCATTCACCAGACTCTCATTTGGAACCCACATCCCAGCACAACTGGATCTGTCAGGTCGCTCCTGAGGTGCTCAATAAACACTTTTAGGGTGATTTTTTTTTTTTTTTTTGGCCCAAGTGTCACGCACTGCGTTAAAGTGCTCTGCATTCATTGCAAGGTTGGTGCTGTCCAGTGTTGCAGATGAGGACGCTAAGGCACGGAGGGTAATCGTTTGTCCCAGTGAGTCAAGAGCAGGTTTTAATGGAGCCCTGGTTGGTGGGCGGCAAAACTCACAATCCTGCTGGACGGCGGGTGGTTCATGTACACGGGCTCCCTCTTCTGCTATTCTTGGGGATGCCCGTACAGAAAGTGCTGGTGGGAGCTGTGGGCCAGACAGGAGGCCCCGTGGGCGATGCCACAGGTCCAGACCTGAAGAAGGGCAGCCGTGAGTTTGTGGCCTGAGGACTAGAGCTCTGGGGGAGCCCCAGGGAACCCCATCCCCACAGCTTCTTTCTGTTGCCTCCCATATCTCCAGGACACCCCTGGCCCTCTAGTACCAGGTAGAAGATGAAGCCCAGGTAGGGTATACCCAGCAGGACCACAAGGCTGTAGGAGGCCGGGGGGATGATGGGCAGAAAGCTGATCACCAAGTAGAAGTTGATGGCACAGATCAGCACCATGATGGAGGACGTGACCACCTTGCTCAGCCTGGGGGACAGAAGGGAGGCTCAGGACTGGCTGCATCTCCTCCTCCTCTTCTCCAGTGCCCACAAGCCAGCCTGGTGCTCAGGTGGGGAGAGGGGGTGATACATGAAGTCATCTCTGGGCTGTGAGGCCTTGGGCAGACAGCCCCTCTACCCCCACCTTTTCCACCTCCTGAGCCCTCAAGCTCCACACTGGTGAGATTCCACAAGAGGAGAGTGGGTTTCTAGAGCTCACTGAATTCCAACCCTGAATCCTGGTGCCAGGTCCCTATTTGTTAACTGGGTGGCCCTGGGCAAGTTCCTTAATTTCTCTGTTTATCTGGATAATGGTAACTCCTATCTCTGGGTGCCTGTGTGGATGAAACGCTGCAGTAATGCAAGTCCAGAGTTTGGGGTGGAGGGTACTCACAGGCCGTTGGCAAACTCCTGCATGAGGGCAGGCATGCTGGTGAAGGTGAGGATGGGCAGCACAGCGAAGGGGAGCTGGGGAGAAGCGGAGGACCCAGCTGAGGGACCCTGCCCTTGGAGCACAGCCAGGAAAGGAGTGGGCCAGGCTTCTTGTTGTCCTCTGCCTGGCAGTGCACCCCTTAGGCAAGTCCCTTAACTTCTCTGGACCACTATGCTTTCCAAGGGATTGGGGGCCCAGAGCAGGAAAAACAGACTGTTTGGATTTAAATCCCAGCTATGCCATTGATCACTTAACTGCAAACATCCGTTTTCCCATCTGAAAACAGGGATACGGGTGGTTCCTACTGCTTGGGTTGGCTGTGGGGATTGTGTGAGTCTTGTGGGCAAGGTGTGTTCAGAATGGGGAGGGGATAGGTTCAATATGGGGGAGGGGCTGCTACTGCTTAGATATGCAGGGGGTAGGGGTGGCCAAGATGCAGCTCACCAGCAAGCTCTGCAACACGTTGAGGTAGTCATTGAGCTTGGAGAGGTCTCTCCTGTCTCTGAAGACTGCCACCAGGACTGTGGGCAGGATGGCGCAGGTACGGGTGAGGAGGACTCGGGCAAAGCGAGACCACCGCAGCTTCAGGAAGCCCTGGGGCATGGGGTGGGTACTTTAGTGGCTGAATGCAGGAATTTCAGAGGAGGGACCCTCTGTAGTCCCTCAGCCCCTCTCATGCCTGGGAGAATCCTCTGCTTTTCCATCTCTGAAGTGGGGGCAGCTCTGTCTCTAGCTATTGGACAGGGGACAGGGGAGGGGGAATTAGGGAGGTTCCCCTCCCAGGTTATTTGCTGGGAATTAACACTTTTGGGGAAACGTGCCCATTAGTCCTGGGTCTGCAGCCTGGGACGAGTCGCCCTTCCACAATCGCCTGTCCTCATCTGTAAAGGGGGCTCATAATGGCGCCCTCTGGGCTGTTCTAAAGAACTGGAGGTTGGTGTCGGAAGCCGCGGTAGTGTGCTGGTTGGCCTCGGCCCCCTGGCCAGGCCCGGCTGTCCCAAGTCCCACCTCCATCACGAACTGTCCCGCGTAGGTGCCGGTCATGGTGGAGCTCTGGCCAGCCGCCAAAAGACCCACCGCCCAGATGTAGAGGGCTGCGGGCCCGAAGAAGCAACCTAGGATCACACCCTGAGGGGCGGGGTGTGGTCAGACACATGGCCCCGCCCTCCCGCGAGGCCCCGCCCCTAAAGTGGGCGTGGCGAGTAGCCCAGGCTGCGCACGTGCCTCCAAGCCGCCCCTGCCCAGCGCGTACTCCTCGGTAAATGTCCACTTCCACGGTTTGGTTGGTGCTGTTGACCTGGTGGAAGATCTCGGCGTAATCGTGGAGGCTGCTGTTGGCACAGATGTTGAACTGCGGGCACCGGAGTAATAGGAGGGAGAAGCTCACATTTAGCCTCGGGAAAACCAGACCCCCAGATCTTGACGGAGCGTGGAAACCGGTGCCCCTCCCATGGACTGAATATTGCCCATATTTTGTGTAGCAAACAATTGTTTTCTTTAATGTGAATTTGTTGCCAAAATTTGAAATTGAGGGAGAATTCCCATGAGAACTTGGTTTCCAGCTTGGAATGGTAAGAGCTGGCATTCCCACAGAGAGACATTTGGCTGGCAGTGAGGGCAGCTGCCCCACGGTCCCCTTTTCCTTGTAGCTGACCCACTTCCCACAGCCCTGTGACTGGCTGAGCCTTTAAGACAAGGGTTTGCCACCCCTATTTAGACCTCTCGCCTGTGCCAAGGAGCAGAGTGAGACCAGGGAGGGACCTCACCAGGTCACACAGCAAGGCAGAGGCAGAGCCTGGGTCCCAGGAGGCCTGGCCAGCCCTCCAGCAACAGTGTTCAGCATTCAGCCAACACTCACCCCTGGCTAGCGGCTGTTAGCACCTTGATATGGAAACCCTCCATGAGAGCAGGGCAGATACCTGTCCTGAACTCCAGAGAGCCAGGGAGGAGCTGGCCAGCTCCTTTCACAGTTGGCTCACCTGTTTCCAGGAGGCCTCCCCAGCCACTCTGGCTGACGTAGCTCCTCCCTCACCCCCACCCCCAGTTATGTTTCATCCTTCACTTTATTCCCTTTGCAGCATATTCATACTTTATCACTGTGTGCTGATTTGTTGTTTTATGGCCTATCTGCTTACTGCCCCCCAAACTTAAGGTGCAAGAAGTCAGGGATTCTGTATCCCCAGGGCCTGAGACCCAATCTGCTCACCATGTAGATGAGCAGTGGTAAGGACTCAGAAGAAAATGACAGCCTGCACTTTCCCCACCTGGCACTCATGCCCAAACAGGCACCTACTCCTCCCAGAGCATCCTCCCAGTGGTTTGCTGGCCAAATCCCGCCCATCCTCTACAGAACAGCTGGAATACTGGCTCTTCCAAGTCTGCCTTGCAGCCCCTGGGGTGGGTCAGACCCTCCAAGAACCTGCCCTGGGGAGGGGCTCCAGGTCAGAGGCCAAGGTCACAGACTTCTGCCAATGCCTGGATTGCTGGGCAGAGGCCCAAAGGGCTCAGCTGAACTGCCTGCAGTCCCCAGCAAAGCCTGCGGGGCATGCGTGTGGAAGGGCAGGGGGACTTACTGCAGCCTCGTTGGTTTTCTGGTAGAAAGCCTGCCCAAAGACTGCCACAACAAAGAGGTTGATGAGGAAGGAGACAAACAGGGCAATGGTGGCCTCAATTAGGAAGTACATGTTGGCCTCTCGGATGTGTGCCCGCTGGGTCCGGTCTACCTCTCGAGACTATGAAGGTCAAAGGCAAGGGAAAATCCAAAGTCGCTTAGAGTTGCCAACATCCTCCCTCAGACCTCTCTGTTTCCCCAGACCTCTGTTCTTTCTAAAACCCCTTCACACAGTCTGGGACAGCCCTTGTTAACCAATGGGCTCCGTAGGTGTCTGCTCTTGCCTGGGAGGCCTGGTCCACAGTGACCAAGTGTCCACAATGGCGAGTGTGTCAATGAAGGTAGACTGGCCTTCGAGGCTCGTGTGACCTGGCCCCGCCCTTCTTTACCTGGCGCCTGACCCTCCCCTTCATTCACTGGGCTCCGGTTCAAACATGCCCAATTTATTTCTGCCTCAGGACCTTTGTACTTGCTGTTCCCTCTGCTTAGACTATCTTTTTTCCTTGGTCATCCTGCCCATCCTTCAGATCTCAAATATCCCCTCCTTAGAAAACCCTTTCCTCTTCTAAAATAGTCATTCTCCCTGCTCAGTCACACCCAAGCACACTTCTCTGTTTTATTTTCTTCAGGGCACCCCTCACAATCTATCATTCTTTCATTTGCTACTATTCCTTGCTCCTGGTGCACCTCCCCTCACTAGAATGCAAGCTCTAGGAAGGTAGAGGACTTGCCTGTCCATTACTGACTCCCAGCACACCAATATATACTAAATGAATAGAGAATCATTCAATTCCCGCCTGAAATCACGAATGCGGAGGCCAAAGGGGTGGGGCTCCAGTCTTGGAGGCGGGGCCAACATCGCTCCCTCCTCCCCTTCTCTGCTCACCTTGACCAGGGAAGAGTGCAGGTAGATGTTGTGCGGCATGATGATGGCGCCAACGAGGCCCACAGCCTGCAGCAGCTCGGACTGGCCGCAATTGTAGCACGTGGGCAGAAACAGGCCCCGAAGAAGTGCTCCTTGATCAGGAGATGCCACCACATACTGTGTGGGGTGGGAGGGAAGAGCCCCATCAGGCTAAGCCCAGGCCTTGCAATAGCGGGGCTCTCCCTCCACCCCAACCGCTGGGGGCAGAGCTAAGGGCCCTGGACCCGCCCCTCAGACGCTAACCACCACCTTGGGGTGGTCTTGGAGGGTCGTGTAGCTAGCTCTGGCTTCCCACCTCATAGCCAAAGGTCAAGGCCATAATGGTAATAAGAAGTCCAAAAAAGGCTTCCAGCTTCCGCAACCCTAGAGGAAGAACAAAGGCGCAGAACAAAAAAATTAAAACCTTGTAACATAAGCAGTGATCAATGCCTAATAACTTGAGCACTTTGTTCCAGGCACTGTGCCAAGTGCTTAACATATATTTTACCTCAGCGAATCCTCACCACAGCAGCATGACGTCTGTGCTATTATTATCCCCATTTATAGATGAAGAAACAGAAGTCTCAGTCTTGTGCAAGTTGCTCAATGCTCAAGCAGAAGGGGAGCTCATAGGCCTCTCCCAGTGCAGCCTAGGCCCCTAGTTAACCCACCCACCCCCACAGTGCTAGGAAACGAGGGAACACCCACCGTAGTTATCGAGGAAGAGGAAGAAGAAGGTGTCCACAATGGTGATGATAACGCCACCCCAGAGTGGGATGCTGGAACCAGAAAGGCCAGGGTCAGCCCGGCCTGGGCTGGCGTCCCAAGTTCCCACACTCAGGGTTGAAGACCATGGACTCTGCCTTCCTTGGGGGCAGAACCCAAATGACCCCAGACAACTTCGGGAGAGGGGTGTGGGAGTACAGGAGACAGAAAATGGCCTGGTACAGGCCAAGCCGGGGGACCAGCATGGCAGGGAGCTTGGAGCCATGGTTCTGAATTCTGTGTGACTTTAGGCAAGTCATTTTACATTTCTCGTTTCCCCATCTGGCAGATTGGCTAACAGCACCGAGTCAGGGGAGACTGCGGGATGTGATGGGCTCAGGAAGTATAAGACCTGGGAAGCAGCAGCAGCTGTTCCCAAGCCTGGACTGATGAGCTGGGGTTCCCTTGGGCCCGTACCGTCCAGCGGAGAGCAGACTGAACGCAATAGCCGTGCCGATCACCTCCTGCATGTCCGAGCCCACGATGGCCAGTTCTATGGTCAGCCAGAGGAGGATGCGGGGCACCTACGGGGAGGAGGTGACCCCTCATCAAGGCTGGGCCACTGTTTTTTTTTTATCTCAGCCCCACATTCATCTTCCCAATCTCTGCCCTAAATTGTCGCTGAAAGGCTGCACGATATATTTCAAGACAGCTGATTTCCAGGTAGGTTCTGTACAAAACACGGGGAGATTAAAGGGCGGGGGAAAAATCTCCCTCCCGCCCTTCTCTCCCCACCCCGCCCCCTTCTGGTGGGGTTTCTGGCAGTGTTCCAACAAGGACATCCTACACCCTGGGTTCCAGCAGCACCAGTGCCCATTTCCATAGTGGTGGCAGTGCTTCCAGAAGCTGGGCAGCAAATGATGGCCCGTGGGCTCTGCCCAGCAGTTTTCTGATCTCCTGGTAATACCTCCTTCCCTTGCACCGCCAGCCCTTCCAGCATCTCATAACTACAACCGTTGAAATTTCTAGTGGTGTCATTAGTTTGCCTGCCTGGACCCTGACTGCAGCCAAATCCCCAGTGTCTACCCCAGCCAATGACCCTTGAGCTGATGTCTACCTGTTTTTCACCTTGGACAAGTCACTGCCCCAGGTTTAGTTCCCCCTTTGTAAAATGAGTGGGGCATCCTGCTCAGCGCTATTCGCTTGAGCCTCAGTCTGCTCATCTATCAATTGGACTTGTGACTCCCCACTTTAGATGGTGTAGATATTTGACCATAGAAGCTGCAAGTGGCTGTTTGGGAGCTGGGGTTGGTGGGTGCTTCCTGTCCTGGCCCATGAAACTCACCTTAGGATAGTAGAGATGGCAGACCTCACCCAAGTCTTTGCCTGTCACCACGCCTAGCCGAGCTGCAAGGCGCTGGCAGAGTAAACCCAGCACCGTGGCCCACAGCAGCACCCAGAGCAGCTGTGAAAGGCAGGAGAGGCCTTCCTTAGAGGACTGGGTCTCAGCTAACCCCTGGGCTGGCGGCACCCTCTGGCACCACTCCTTAGGGAAAGGGTAGGGGAGAGCGCACAAGAAGACCACCCCACCCCCACTCACAAAACCCTCCTCTGTGTCTGTAGGGTGTGGCCGGGCTGGGCTGTCCTGGGGAACTTGTTCTGGCTCATTCGAACTTATAGCCTGTGCCCAGGAATACCAGCCATACAGCCCACTCTGGGGAAATGTGCCAAGCTGGGCATCTCCAACCACTTAGCCTGGTTGCCCTCCAACCCCCATGGTGCCCCAACTCAGTCACTTTGAATCTAGCCACAGCTCCAGTCTGAAGATCCGACTCGATGTTTCCTGGGTCCAGGAAGGCGATGCTCATGAGGAATCCTGGTCCCGTGAAGGCCCACAGCTTCCGCAGGCTGAAGGTGCCCTGGGGGTAAAGTGGAATGAGGGGTCCTGAGTAAAGGGGTGGGAGAGCTGCCTTGGCCGGCCCCCAGCAGAGTTCCAACAGGCTCATCAGCCCAAGCTGACCAGCCCTGACCTCTAGCCCCCATTTCTGGAGTTGCCTGCCCTGGAAAATAATAGGAAGAATCCGCAGGATTTGCTGAATCATAGGTGATCAGAATTCTGGACCTATTGCCTACACCAGACCAGCCTAAATCAGCAGATCCTAAGAATCTGAATGGAGGTTTCCTGGGGCCAAGCTGCCCTGGCTTAGCTTCTCCTTCCCCAGCCCTGTCTCAGAGCACCGGGCCTCTTCTCTGGATTCCATTGAGCCTAGGCCCCTACCCTCCCACCCCCATTCCAGGACTTGGCCTGGCAACTTGGGGACCGGCCAAGATTCTGGAAATGCAGCACCTCCTCTTCTTCTGACGCTCTTGTTCAGGTCCTTTCCTTTAATGTTAAAAAACCCTCATGCCGTGGGCCTCCTGAGGGTGCAGGGGTTAAGCACAGCACTGTGAGGCTATCTGCGGCCTCCCCTGCGAGACAGGGAGCTACCCACATGGCGCAGCTGACCTCTCCTGTCTCATCCGCTACTTCCCTCAGCAGTGTATTTCAGTCGGTCTGCCTGTTCTGTTCCCCTCTCTGTCTCTGGTGAGTCCTCTCACTCCCCCTGTACCTCTGGCCTGTACCCCAGTTCTTGTATGCATAAATAAATAAATCTTAAAAAAAAAAACAACCCAAAACTTCATGCTCTAAGGTGAATTCACCCCAGACTCCTGCCCCTTCCTAGTAAAGCTGAGATTCATTCAGAAAGCACTTGATCATTTTTAGACAACTTTTTTTAAAAAAATTTTTTAAAGATTTATTTTTTATTTATACAAGTGCTGGGGTACAGGCCAGATGCACCCGAGGGTGAGAGGATTCACCAGAGACAGCGGGGAACAGAACAGGCAGACTGACTGAAACACACTGCTGAGGGGAGCAGCGGGCGACATAGGGGTGGTCTGCCGCACCATGTTCTTGCCAGCCGGCGGGCCAGGATCAAACCCGCGCTGCAGAGGCTGCGGACAGCTTCACAGAGCAGCACTCAACCCGCTGCGCCACTGGGGAGGCCCTTTTAGACAATTCTTGAGCACCCCAGTTAAGTGCTGGGAAGAGTAGGAAGGTGTGGTTACCACTGCCACTGCTGCTCAGAGCTGGAAGGAATGTGCCATGTTTTTCAGGAGACCTCCCTCCCCTGCCCGTCAGATCCCATAAGACCCCACCCATCCCAAAAGACCCCCAAAAGTTTCCAGCATTCCCACCGGCTCTGTGTCTGGGATAGGGATCTTTTCACTCAGGTAGGTGCCCTTGGGAGGTACTTGCTGTGACCCTGAGCTCGATGGGCTGGAGATGGAGCCATAGCTGGGCCTGCTCAGCCTCTGGGGGTCACTGTCACCTGAAAAGAGGTGAGAAATGGTGAGTGATTAGCCTCTTTCTGTTGTCCCAGGGTGAAAACCCTCTGCCTTTCTCTCTCACCTCCTTCCTCCTCCAACAAAGTGGAGAGAAGAGTAGGGACACTTGACTCTCACCTTGCTCTGTCACCTCTGCCCTTCATCCAGCATTCCAGAAGCAGCAGGGGAAGTGAGACCCTCAGAATGACTTCCCTTCCATCCAGATCTCTCTTGCCATGAGGAGAGAGACTCTGGGCTCTAAGGAGGGCCAACTGATTCTGCCATAGACGTGCCCTGGCCTCAATCCTGCCTCCTCTAGTAGCTGAGGAAGCTCCAGGGGCTCAGGTCGAGATCAGAGCAGGGGATGCTACGCCCAGGCAAGTGACCAGAGTTGTGGTCCAGGGATTCCCTTTGTCTCCTGACTGTCCTCCCTCCTGTACCCACTCAGACTCTGTCCCTGGAAGTGGCTACTTACCTGACATGAGGGTAGCAGGCTCAGTCTCTCTCTGTGCCAGGCCCAAGCGTCCACTCGGGCGCTCGTGTGGGAGTGTGCCGGCTCACAGCATCTCACCAGCTTCAGCTGCGCTTGACTGTCTTTATACACATGGATGTTATGAAATACTTCCGAAAGGCAGAAGTGGCCAGTTCTGGCGGAAGGGTCTGGTCATAGTAGGAACTTTTGTTCCCCTCTTGGTTTGACCGGAACCCCACAAAATACCTTTGGCCCCTTTCCTTTTTTTTTTTAAAAAAAGATTTATTTATTTATGCATACAAGAACTGGGGTATAGGCCAGAGGTATGGGGGGTAAGAGGATTCACCAGAGACAGTGGGGAGCAGAACAGGTAGGTTGACTGAAATACACTGCTGAAGGGAGCAGAAGGTGAGTCAGGAGAGGTCTGCTGTGCCCTGTGGGTAGCTCCCTGGCTGGGGATCAAAATTGTGCTGCAGAGGCTGTGGATAGCTTCACAGCGCAGTGCTTAGCCTCTTGCGCCACCAGGGAGGCCCCTTTGGCCCCTTTCCTGGCCATGTTCTGAGTCTCCCAAATTAACTCTGATTTCAAACACTTCCTGCCTCTTGGGTGTTCATATCCAGATCTCTTTATTGTGCCTCCCTCCCTGCCTCCATCACAAACGGTCAGGCCCTTCTTCAATTTGGAGTCCTGTGGCCACTGGTGAGTCTAGTGGGAGGGAAGGAGTCTTGACAACTACCTAGGCCTCAGTTTCCCATTGAGTAGCTCAGAGGAAAAGACCTTCTGGGTACTGCCATGTAGACATGCACTGAAGATTCAGGCCAAGGAGATCCTTAAAGAAAGTGGCACTGGTGGAGCAAGGGGTTGAGCACCGCACTATGAAGCAATCCACAGCCTCTGCAGCATGAGTTTGAGCCCTGCCAGCCAGGGAGCAACCCACAGGGTGAAGCAGACCTCTCCTGACTCACCTGCTGCTCCCTCAGCAGTGTATTTCAGTAAACCTGCCTGTTCTGTTCCCCACTCTGTCTCTGGTGAATCCTCTCACTCCCCTCATCTCTGACCTGTACCCCAGCTCTAGTATGCATAAATAAATAAAATCCTTAAAATAAAAAAAAGAAAGTGGCACGGGAATTCTGGTCATGGTACTGCCACTGATTCACTTGAAGTTGTCACCAGATCATGTCCTCCAAGCTGTTTCTTCTGTTAAATGAAGGATGTAGACTATCAGAGTTTAAGTGTAAACAAAACAGTGCAGCTCAGTGTTGAATTATGGATAATGCTGAGCCTCTGTGTGTGTGTTAGGGGAGGTGGTAATAGGGAGTGATGGAGACTATAGCAAAACAGAGATTATATACTCTCTTTGAAGAGGGCAGTGCTCACAGAGTTCTGGCCAGTTGTATTATATGGGAATGTGGGCCCACTGTCATCATATCTTCTGACTTGTCAAGAATGCTGGAAATTTTTGAATTTATGCTTTTTAAATAGTAGGTTCAAAAATTGGAAAATATTCTGTAATAAAAATAAAACACTCTTACTGGCTGGATTCACCAATCTCTAACCTCCAGGTAAATGTGGCCAAGACTCTTCTAGCTCCTGATTTCTTCTTCACAGTTCCTTACCTCCCATGTAACCTCCCTCAGGGCTAATTCTGTTGCCTTGTTTTTCTGCCAAGGAGATTCAAAACCTGAGATAAAACCTGTCTTGGGGTTTCGAACTCCAAAGCTTGATACTCAGATTTGTTACCTGGATTCAGATAAGAGCCCACAGGATATAGGAGAAGGTTCTCAGGCCCAGAATTAACCTGGGGTGTGATATATTCCCCTGTTAGTAAAAAACTTCAACCAGGATGGAGGGAGGCAGTTACTTTCCTGGTATCGATGGGACAGGTTGAGGTCTCAGGGGAGATTGGGTGTGGGAAGATGGGTGAGTGATGGGTCAGAGAGGAGAAAGCGGTGTCATGCTTTGTCATTGTGCCATCCTATTACTCAAGGTGCTGCCACCACCCCAGCCCTGAGGTTTATACACATTTTCCAGTCACTGCCTTAGGATCCTTGAGGGTGCCGGGGTTGGTACCGGGGTAGTATGTTATGATGGTTAATTTTATGTGTCAGCTTCTCTGGACCATGGGTGCCTGAATATTTGGTCAAACATTCCAGGTGTGTCTGAGATTTTGGGGAGGAGATTGACATTTGAATTTGTAAACTGAGTAAAACAGATTTCCCTCCCTAATCCTGGTGAGCTGTTTTCAACCAATGGAATACCTGACTCTAACAGAATACTGGGTAAGGGGAAATCTCTTCTCTCTCTCTCTCTCTCTCTCTCTCTCTCTCTCACTCTCTCGCTCTCTCTCTCAATGTCTTTGAACTGAGATAGTGGTCTTCCCCTACTTTTGAACTTGGCTTGTACTAGAACATACACCATCAGCTCTGGTTCTTGGGCTTTCAGACTCAAACTGGAACTATACCATTTGGTCTCCAACTTGCAGATCCTGGGATTTCTCAACCCCCACGCTCATGGTTAGTCTCTTCCAGATCTATCTATCTATCTATCTATCTATCTATCTATCTATCTATCTATCTATCTTTTCTAATGGTTCTCATTCCCTGAAAACAGGTAATACCTAAGACAGATGTCTTCCCCTTTGCATCTTTTGTGGAGACTTTCCTGTAGTTAGGAACTCAGTAAATATAACTAATTCATGACTGATTAATACAAACATTCCCTAACATAGGGAAGAGGAACTGTAGTGTAATGTTGATTGAGAGGACTTTCTAGCAGAGAATCAGAGAGCAGGAAGATACAGGAGTAAGAGTCCCTTTGGATCTGGAGCTATTGCTAAAAACTGAGCCCTGCATGTATAGGGTAAAGCTTTAAGAAGTCAAATTTCCTCAGGATGGATCACAGAATTAAATGTAAATATGAAACTATAAAACTTTGAGAAAAAATAAGAGAAAGCATTCAGTATCTAGAATTAAATGTAAATATGAAACTATAAAACTTTGAGAAAAAATAAGAGAAAGCATTCAGTATCTAGGGCTAGACAACCACTCGCTAGACTTGATACCAAAAGCATGATCTATAAAGGAAAAAACTGATCAATTGGACTGCATCAAAATTAAAAACCTGGGCCTCCCCAGTGATGCAGCGGGTTGAGCACAGCGCTGTGAAGCAGTCCACAGCCTCTACAGCATGGGTTTGATTCCTGGCCAGCCAGGGAGAAAAACCACATGGCACGGCAGACCTCTCTGCCTCGCCCGCTGCTCCCCTCAGCAGTGTCCTTGGTCTGTCTGCCTGTTCTGCTTCCCACTGTGTCTCTGGTGAACTCTCTCATCCTCCCGTGCCTCTGACCTGTACCCCAGTTCTTGTATAAATAAATAAATCTTGAAAAAAATTAAAAAATAAAATTAAAAACCTTTGCTCAGTGGAGGACTCTGTTAAAGGGTGAAAAAACAAGTTATAGACTCAGAGGTAATATTTGCAAAACACATATCAGACAAAGGACTAGTATCTAGAAATAGAAAAATCTCTTACAGTTCAACAGTAAAAAAACAAACAATTCAATAAAAATGGACAAAAATCATGAACAGACATTTCACCGAACAGGATAAACAGATGACAAATAAAAATAGGTACAGATGTTCAGCATCATTAGCCATTAGGGAAATGCAAATTAGAGTCATAAAGAGATATCATTATACCCCGTCAGGATGGCTAAAATAAAAATATAGTCACAATATCAAAATGTTGGCAAGAATTTGGAGAAACTAGATCACTCATGTTGCTAGAGGATGCAACATGAAATAGTCAATCTGAAAACAGTTTCGAAATTTCTCTAAAAATGAAAAATTTAACTACCCTATGATCCAGCAACTGCACTCCTGGGCATTTTCCCCGGAAAGATGATTTACGTCCACACAAAAATCAATATACAAACTTAACAGCAGCTTATTTATAATAGACCCAACTGGAAACAATACAGATTGTCCTTCAACAGGTAAATGATTAATCAAATTGCTATTATCTGTGCAGAATAGATTTCTGAGCGTTTACCCCAGAGAAATTAAAACTTAGGTTTGTACTGGGGCCTCCCTGGTGGCACAGGGGTTAAAGTGAATGCAATCAAGCTATAGACAGCCACTGCAGCATGAATTCAATCCTGAGCCGGGGAGCTGACCCACATGGCGCAGGCAACAGACCTCTCCTGTCTCGCCCGCTGATCCCCTCAGCAGTGTATTTCAGTAGATTCACCTGTTCTGCTCCCCACTCTGTCTCTGGTGAATCCTCTCACCCCCCACACTTCTGACCTATACCCCAGTTCTTGTATACATAAATAAAAACTCTTGAAAAAAACCAACTTCGGTTTGCACCAAAAACCCATATATGAATATTTATAGCATCTCTATTTGCAACAGCCCAAAACTGGATTGGCCCAGATGTCCTTCAACAGGGAAGTGATTAAAAAACTGCAATACAAACCAAGGGTGACTGTTCAGCAACAAAAAGGAACAAATCTGACACATAGCATAACCTGGAGGAGTGTCTGCAGGAAATCACATTGAAAGAAAATGTCTCAAGAGGTTATATGCTTTATTGTTCCATTTATATGATATTTTTGCAATGATAAAATTTTGGAAAAAAGGGTGAGATTCCCTGGGTCCAGATCCTGGCTCTGCCACTAGTCACTTGTGTGGCCTTGGCCTTAACCTTTCCCTTACCTGTAAAATGAGTATAATAGTACCCACTGCAGAGCGTGCTATGAGAATCACATGAATGACCATGTGGAGAGGGATCAGAATGTAAGTGCCATGTAGAGCTTGCTCTTAGGATTGTTGGTCATTCCCTCTGGCTCCCTGGGCTCTCAGACTAGGTCAAGTCTGCATTAAACACTCTGATAGTGTATGTGTAAGTTTCCTTCTTAACACTCTCCAAGGTCTACCCTCACAGACAAATGGGGTCATGGACAGGTGTCTCTTCCCTTCTATGCTGACCGAGTGCCATGCAGGTGGGCCCTGGCCCTGTTTGCTCACCACAGATCCTAGCCCAGTGCCTGGCACTTGTGAAATGCTCCACATTTCTTTTTCTCATAGTTCAGAGAAAT